TTCCATTCTTTCCCTTCACTGTTACTGGTTCTCAGTAGTCATTTTGCCTAGTTGTTCCCCAACCTTCTCTCAATCTTCAGATCTGTCTCTTGCCATTTTGAACTTAGCTCAAATTCTTTCCTTCTTCCTGTGTTCACATTCCCAGCCGCTGAACGTCATTGAGCTGCTCACTTAAGAGGAGCTTCCTTCTGCTCTGATTTTAAGTGTTTTGTCTTAGATGTGTTCTGGATCACAGCAGTCCAGTTTGGAAGCTCAGTGGAAGTCCTCAGCTCATGAGCTGGAGCATGTCCAGAGCAGGAAGAATATACAAGAGAATTAGTTGTTGAATGATAGAATATCTCAAGTTAGAAGGGAAGGATCAAGTACAACTACTGAAATCTTAGTTTCTACTGAATATGTGGCAATTGCAATCTATTATCCCAATTTCATGAAGAAATGCAATTTTGTAGTGGCTGTCTGTTTCTCACCCACATTTCCCAGTAATTTTTGAACAAACTGGCTAGGTTGAACCAGATTTGAAAGAGGGGTGGAGATCTTGGATATTAGGTTCCTACAAGTTCTGTGTGCTGGCTGGGTAGGGAAGGTACCCTAATAGTGCTTCTACTGAATGAAAGTTCAGGGTTCACTGCAGGCCTTGGGGAAACAGTTGTGGTGGCTCAAGGACTGTATTACAATCATTTTGCATGATGAGTAACTGGTATCTGTAACTAGTGAGTCTTTATTGGCCTCCATGCTCATTTCAGTTCTGAGTGCCTGTCTTGTCCTTGGTGTATAGATTTACTGTCAGCGATTACTTAAGCAGATTTCTGAACTCATGAGACTGATCTATAGGCTGTACGATGTCAAGGAACGTGACTTATAGCCTGTGTTGATGGATGATTCATGCCAAGAATCAGTTACAGTGATTTGCAGTGCTGTCATTAATTCTCAGATGCTTTTCCAAGTAACTTTATTGAAGAAAAACACATTAATCTGTTATAGAGATCAGCACCATATTTACAGCATCACTTCCTTAAGTACAACTTCACTGAGAACGGGGGGATTACATTGGTATTACTGAAAAGAAAGGTCAGAATTGCTGTTTAAGATGTACCTCGCTCGATGTTTATCACTGCAGTCTAAAACAATGACATGATTATGGTCAAGTGTTGCATGATGTTCAGCTCCAGGTGTTAGATGTGATTGCTTATTTAGTTAGCAGGTTGTTACAACTATTGCAGGGTCCCTGGAACAAATCATCACTAAGTTTAGAAGCAGAAACTATGCTGGGACAGCATAGGGACATACCACATACTATCCACATGTGGCCGAATTCAATCAAGGTATAAAATGTGATAAACAGTGAATTAGGAGCAGTGGAAGATTCAGAACATGGTGTGAAAGAACTCTCTGAAACAAATACAGGGTCAAGTTCCACAGCCCTTACTCATGTAAGAAATCCCACTGTGCTCAGTCCTGCTGAATCCCACCAATCAAGTAAAATAAAAAGCAACAGAACTAATTGCACAGATTTCTATATTTATGCAATTACTATTTTTAAGTGGAGCTTCCATATAGAAGATGGGCTGTAAGTAAAAACAGATGTTGAAGCACTGCTACAAGCAACATCTGAGAAAACCCAACCCCCAGCTTAATCCCTGCTTTTGTATTTTCCCACAACTCAGAAGGCAAGTCTCATGGACAAAATGCTGCCTGTGATCTTATTTTATACTTTCCAATATGTACATGATTTATAAGGAACATTTTTCTCTCAGTTCTGATTGTGGAATCAGGAGACACTTAGATCTGAAGAGCGTAACAGAATAACTGCTTTTGTAAAAACTCTGGGAGGATTTTTAGTGGTAATTCCATTTTGCTGCTGGAAAGAAGAAACTTTCCTCTCCCCTTACCATATCAAGTACAACTTTTCCTACTTACCTACAAGGTTCAGAACCCACTTTGTAATTGTTGTTCTGGATTTTTCACCTTTTTTTAGTCTGGTGCTTTGAATGGACAGCTTTCACTTTCTGCCTAGCCCACTAAAAGTGTACTCTGATGCTAACACTCAAACTAATTCCTGGGATTGAACTTTCTTTTTCTCACTTCTTCTCTTAAACTATGCACTTTCCTTACATGGTGGCACCTTAAAATTCACATTTTCATCTGCTTCTGTACTATTCATTTCTTAAGCCCCTTCTCTCTTTTTGTGTGATCTATATACAGCTTCTAAACTGATGTGATGGCAAATATTTTGTTTCTATGCCCCTCTATATACAAATATTTGTAAAGTAGTGTGACAGTATTTGTAATTTCACTATAACTTTTAACCATTGCACTATAATGTCAGTTATTTTTTTTACTCATCCTTCAATTATGCACCACCGATGTGTTTTGCTATTATATACTTTAGTTTTTCTGTCTTTAAAAATTGACCTTTTTATGGTATATTGTTCCTCATAAAGCATTATTAGCCACATGTGTTGCAAACAAACTAGGAGTTCTTTGTTTGTATTCTGGACTTTGTGCTTCCATTTAATTATTTAAGACTACAATTAGTTGTTCATAATAATAAACAATCCAGTTAAGGAAGGATATGTAAGGTCACTGACTCCTGTGGACTCCTGGAGTTGGGGGTCCCTCCTGCCCATCCCCTGGATGCCAGCCCTATGTGCCTGGAGAGCTGGAGCTGTCTTTATCCCACACTGATGAATGGGGCAGCTGCTTTCCACTTTGTGGGTTTAACCAGGCATGAGTCTCGGTCTGCATCCCAACAACACAGCTGCTGGCAGGGGCAGAGGCCACAGGATGCTGATGCAGCCACCCCTGCTGACTGCCACAGAAGCACCACGTGGGCCTATCTTGTCTTCTTGCCCAGAGCCTCAGCAGCACTAACTGCTGTGCGGGTCTTTTACTTACCTGGTACCCCAGCTTGCTGCTCACTAGCAGGCGTGCCTGTGCTCACAAGCCCCATTTGTGCTGAGTCCCTCAGCTACCAGCATGGGCCTTCTGTCTGTTAAATATTCTTGGCTGGATTGTGGACCTTCTGCTCACTGGCACATCCAGTTTGAAGTTTACCAGCGAACTGCGCAAATGCACATCAACACATACTGTGTTAAGAGAAAATGTCAGCCCTCCAAACCCCTCTCTTCCCATCGCCTCCCTGGCCACCAGCTGGCACCCAGGCTCTCAGCTCTGAGGCCAAGACCCTTGCTTGCTTTACCCTGGTAGTTGGCAGCTGGAACCCAGGCACTGTGACCCATGGTCCCCTCTTTAGCTGCTGATACCAAGACACGCAACCTGCTCTTTCCCTTTAGTTGCTGGTACATAGACCCTGTGGTACACAGTCCTGCTTCAGTTGCTGGTACTTAGACTCACTCACTCCACTTGCTGGCACTGCTGGTGTGATGCTTGCTCACCTTCTGGCTCCATCACCAGCCCCAAACTCACTCCAGTCTCGCCAGCTGCTGGCATCTGGTCCTTACAGCACATGCGTGGGGTAGAGTGCGTGGTTACATGGGAACATCAAGAAATTATTTAATAAAAAAATAGGACTGACTGTGGTGGTCAGGTATGGGGCTCAGTCAGACAAGCGTACTGATCTGCTGCTCGTGTGAGTCCAGACACTTCTACACACCTTCCTCCTCCCCAGTCCCCTTCCCTTAAACATACTTAATAAGCTTTGCGTAGCCCTGCAGTCGCACCTCAAGTATCCCAAATCTTGCTGTTCCTCTTATTTCCCCTGGCTTGTTGCTTAACAAGTCCAGCTTGGCCCTCTCCAAAGCTACATGTCATTTTCTTCGTGGCCCACCAGAGACTTACTGGACCCTGTCTCTGCCTCTGTTGACCCTTACCTAGTCTGTGTCCATATGTTTTGTGTTACTTTCGGTGTTACTTATGGGCCTCTTTGAATTGAGAAGGTCCTCAGTCTGATAATCTGAATGCAGCAGATTCTGCATACATTCTACATTCTACATACATCCACATTCTACATACCTTTACACGTATAGGCAGGGGTAGTCAAGTTCTTCCAAATGGGGATGATTGATTCTTCAGATGAAAATCAGCTTCTTGCCTCAGTTTGAGTTGAAGTATGATCTGAAAATAAAAGTCTCAGGAGGGGGATTTTAATCTCTTCTGGGCACTTTAGATGGAGCGGTGATAACTATGAAGTTCATTTTTCTATGGAATTGTATATCAAATTAATATATTTATCTGTCTGGTGGAGAACCAAATGACCTGGTAACGGAAATCCTATGCATCATTCTATATACCTTAGCTAGTTTACTATGTGAATGGCAAAATCGTTAATACTTGCAACGTTTCTTTTGAAAGGCTAATGCTGTGTTAAGGGCTTGGCGGCCTGCCTACTGGAACCTTTTGATCCAATGTGTGCTTCCTAGAAAACCTTGCCAGGTGTCCTTTCAGCTGGTCTGTGGCAAAGCTTTGATGTTCTGAGAACATGGCCACGACTTGGGGCAGCTGGGTCTCCGAAAAGGAAAGGGAAAGCAAAATGAACCATTATCCCAACCTTGCAGTATGGTTAGTCTAGCTGTCACAGCCCAACTTCTGCAGTTGCAGTGAGACCAATGTGAGGTCTGAAAGCCACTGATACTGATTTGGTAGTAGCCATACCTGGCTCTGTGTTATGAGCAGCAGAAGGCACATCACTGTGTGTGACTTTTCTGCTAGATTTATAGTGAGGGCTATAAAAATATGGGTGGGTGGGGCAAGAGGATCCTCAAGAATTTATACGTCTTCTGTTTTAAGCATAAAATAAAAGAAGGCAGGCAGGAAGTCACAGTTAAACAGTGCTCGGTTTGTGCTTGTCGTACCAGTGTCTGGATGATCTGACGGGCGAATGCTGGACACTTAACATTGTGCCTGATAAATTAGAAATACAAATGCTATGAAGCTCATTGTTCATATGGTGTTGCTAAAGCTGAAAGCTTCACAAATAATGCAGAATGTTTCTAGGGAGGTATGTTACTCATGGTCTGTTCTGTGTCTATTGGTCTTTCCAGGTGTTCCAGGACCTTGGCACTTCTGTGTTGTCAGGTGCATTTAGAGGATACAACATCTGCCTTTTTGCATATGGACAAACAGGCTCAGGAAAAACTTACACAATGATGGGAACACCTGTGAGTTACACCATTTGTTTTACACTTACAGTTGAGGATGGGATGTAGAAACATTGTTTTATTCTTAAACTGTCATTACGGTGCTGGTTTACCAGAATGCTTATGTATGTTTTTTCTTGGTGTTTTTTATATATAAAATAAGAGGCAAGCCTTTACACTTAAGTAAATAATGTAGCATCAGCTAAAAAAATAGCAAATGTGGTGGTGTTGAAATATTTCTTATTTCTTTATCTTATCATTTGTGAAACTTATTGCTGTCTTAGGAGACAAAAAATCTATATCCCTGAATGGTTCTACTTTTCAGAAAAGTATAGCTCAAGATAATGCTAAGTATTCCCTCTCATGGATTTTTTTTTTTTTTTTGGCAATCTTAGCCATGCTGAAATTAAATTATGTTCACAAAAAATCTGGAAATAATTCAAAGAAATGCTTTTATAACAAGCTTCATTATCTACTTGAGACATTTATCTGTTGCAAAAGCTATACTTTGGCCTGTAGAAACTACTATTTGCTTTGCTTACAACTTTGAAATGAATTGAATGGTGTTTTTAGAAACTGTTGCATTTTAAGTTACTTGGCTATCAGGAACCACTTACAGTGCCCTTTTATCCTTGGTACTTAGTTTGATGGGAGTCAGTTGAGGAATTGCTGTGTTTGGCTGCAACACAAGGTGATTTGATCTCTATCCATAAATGTTATTGGTTGTTGGTTAAGTGTGAGTTGTCTGTTAAAAGGAGAAATTCTATTTAATGGTTTTTTTTGTTTTGTTTTGTGTTTTTTTTTTTGTTTGTTTGTTTTGTTTTGTGTTTTTTTTTTTTTTTGAGTGGGCAGCTATTTACTTCCCTTATGCTAATTCAACTTATAAAGTGAAATACAAACAAAATTTGTTCAAGCTCCAGAGATACAAAAAGACTGTTCTAGCATGGTTTCTGCTTTTGACAAGAGTTTGGGTTTATTTACTTATTTTTAACCCACAGACATCACCAATTGAATTTTGTCAGATCATGACCTGATTCTCTGTTTTGTTTTAAATCAAGCTTAACTCTGTGAAATGTTAAAATAAAAGTTAAGAAGAGATGAACTAGGCTATTTGTATTAAATTATTTTGAAAATATTTTAGCAATTCAAAATAGCCAACTCTTGAAATTATCATTATTTCTTTCTAAGGAAATTTCCAGGTAGTCGTGTTTCTTAGATATTTCTGGCTGATAGAGAGGTTTGTTTCTCTAATGAAATCCAGCTTTGATTTAATCTTTAGTAATATGCATTCACTGTGAAATAGTGTTCATAACTAGCAAGAATCAAGTGTTTGGTCTAAACTGAACTTTTGTCCATGGAAGTATATTTACTTGAAGAATCTGGAATTTCTCTGTACCCCCAACCCTCTTTGAGCATACCCTCCAAAAGCTTTTCATGCTGTTCAGCAAGGAGATTCCAGCTAAGGCTGAGAATCTTTCTCAGGGTGTTGCAGTCACCAAAGTGTGAGTAATCATGTCAGAACAGCTTGTTACACAAAAGCAGAGCTGCGTAGCCTGTTGAGGCAAATTTTAAATTGGGTAGTTTGAGTGTTTTTAGCAGCCAATACCTTTTCTCTGACAGGCCATATTTATAACTCTGGAACTGAAAGTTCTGTGATGCCATAGCACAAAAAAATAAAGTAGAATAAGGAAAAACAAAATACTGGAACCAGTCAAAATAGTCTGTATTTTCCTGGCTTTAGCTGTATTGCAACACCTTTGACAAAGGCATGCCCAGCATCTTCACATTGAACAGTGCTTAGATCTAACCCAAGAAGTCTCTAAATTTCGTATTGATGCTGTGTAATTGTTCTTAAATGACCTTTGCTACAAGAAGCATTTTCACTGAAGCTAAGACAGGTGACGTTTCACAGTACACTAGTCCCATGCTAGATGCTTCAGCTGGAGTAGTAGGGCACCGCCATGCTGTTCTGAACTGCAATACAGAGTGGTTTGTGTTGTAATCTACCATACAGTCATAACTGCAGTGCTGTGCCATGATTCTGTCCTTTTCATATTATTTGGGTGTTATTTAAAAATTAATTTTGCAACAATGATAAAAAGTATATTGTTTAATTTTTTTTTTGTGTTGTTATTTGAAGGCATCCATTGGGCTGACACCTCGTATATGTGAGGTACTTATTTTTTATTTCACCTGCAATTGTTTAAGCTGTTAGATTTTCTTGATGGATTTAAAATGTACATCAACTGGTTTGTGCAGGGCCTCTTTTCAAGGAAAGATGATTACTCAGACCAGACAGCATCTTGCAGAGTAAAGGTCAGGTAAGTTTGTCATCATTTTGGGAATCCTATGGATGCTTTCAAAAATACATTCCGGTAGTCAAACAAAGCAGAGACTAGTTTATTTTGTTTCTGTTTTCTCAGATAATAATAATTTTGGAACATGGGGGAGAACACAGGGGAATGATGAGAAAGTGTTGGTGTTAGTTTTCCATCTCAGTATAGATCTGTCTGTTCACTTTTGTGTAGACAGCTGAATTTGCTTCCTGTTTAACTCCTAAATTTGAGCCGTAGTTCTCCATTCCCTTCCATGGTTTCCACTGGCTTAATTAAGCACTGCAGCTAGAAACTTGAGGATTTAAGCTTACTAGTGTTTAAAAAGCAGATTTTGTGAATTTTTAAATTGCCTGATGCCTCTTGCTTCTTGGAAGTTTGCTACTCTTAGTTCTTTAACATGCACTTTGTAAGAAGGAACAGTAACAGAGATAATGAATTAATTAACTTTGTCAAGAATGTCAATGCAAGATTCAGGTAGTTACACTAAGTATATTCTTTCTGTTTTTTTGTTTGTTTGTTTGTTTGTTTTTCTGTGTGTGTTTTTTTCCAGTTGTGTGCACTTAACATTGCATTTTTTGCTTTTCAGTTTTCTAGAAATATATAATGAGCGCGTCCGAGATTTGCTAAAACAGTCAGACCACAAGAAACCTTACACACTCAGAGTCAGAGAACACCCTGAAACAGGACCATATGTACAAGGTGAGAGTGGGTTTCACTACTAGCATCAGAAATTTATGTAAATGTGTATCAAGTCTTTAAGTATTGTGTATGTTGTGTCCTGATTCTAATTGCTTCCACTCTTCCACAGTTACTTTCCTCAAATATTTTTCTTGCTAATATGAACATGTATAATATTCTGCAACCTTTGCCTCTGTTATCCCATGGACTGTATATCCCACACTGTTTTGTTTGTCTTTCCAGGTGTAGGTCACAGTGTTTTGCTTTTGTTGTTTCACATCTAACTTGAGCAAGAGATCCACCAACATCAGCTCTAAATGGATTGTACAGACCAGCCTAAGGTCCCTTTAGTATCTGTTTCAGTCCTTGGCAGCAGTATATTTGTAAAATAACAATAAAAAAAGTAGCTGCTTGATGTTCTAGACTGCACCATGAGAAGCAATTAAAATCTGTATTACCCAAATGAGAACACAATATGCTTAATTTCCATTCTTAAAACTCAAAAAGCACAGGATGGGTTATAAAAGTCAGTTATACAAACAAAAATATCACATACTTTTTAACTCACACTTGCAACTACAGTCCCTCAGGTGTCTTTGTGTTTTCTAGTGAATCATAGCTTTCAAATCAGGTGACAGAAGAGACTGGATGAAAACAAAAATCACTTATGTTTCCATTTCAGATGTCTGTCTTATTTTTAGTTCTTATCTTCTCCCATATTTTTTGTACTTCCAGTTCATTTCCACTTTTGATTGATACCTTTTCTTCAGGGTCTTGCATAGCTTTAACTTGGAATCTGGCCACTGTTCCTTTGTAAATTATCACTGATATAAAATTTGCCTGCTACATTGCAGTTTATCTGACCAATGTCTGGAAAAAGTACCGTATCTCAAAATCAGTGCACTAGTGCCAATCATACAGCATAACTTTACAGCCAAGATCAGAAGGAAGAACCTTTTCTGAACTGTTGCAAGTTTCAGAAATTGGCAAGTTTGTTTAGAAACCAAATGTATACATTTCAGCCTGCCTTGTCTCTGCAGTGTGCAGAATTCCAAACTTGCCTCTGGTATGAGAGTCTCTGAAAGTGCTTGGCTGGCCACCAATGGGTTGTAACACCTGGGAGGTATACATTTAATAAGCAAAATGCATATCACACAGAATTTTATTGGTTCTATCACATGAGATCAAATACTGATTAGTTCTGTCTTTTAAATACAGAGTTTGTTTCTGTTCATTTTGTAAATTCTTTTTTTCTCTCCTGGTTCAGTTGTCTCCTGTTTTTCTTTATCACATCATTACGTGTCATATTGTTATCCTCAATTCAGAGATTTAAGCTGAGATATGACAGCAGCTAGGGTGACTTGTTTGAGTCAGGGATTGAATGGCCACCTGCATATCAGTAACAGTACATCTAACAGTTGACGGTTGTTATTGATTACTCTCAAAATTTGAAATGAGCATTTGGGAAGTGTTTAACTTGCATGGTCCTATACACAAGAGACTATCTGGCATTCTGGTCATTTCAGCTGTGTTTTCCCAGCACATCAGCATCCTGTTCGAGGAGAGTTGGAAAATAGATGAATTGATGGTCTCATTAGTATGGCAAACTTATCATTCTTTGAAAAGCAGATCCATAGACATTTGGCCCTTATTGAGGCCTTTCCAAGATTCTCTTTCTACCTGCTCGTTATCAGAGAACATTACTGTTGGTGGAGTACAGATACTAATTATTTTCTTTTTGCAGCTGCTCATTCACCACACAAGAAAAGGTCTTTAAACTGCTTCCTTCCTTGGCAATTTTCATCCCTTTTCTCAGCACTGTATCTCCAGTGATTCCTTGGCTACATATAATGGAGTTTCCTTGTTTCAAAAGTAAATGAAGTTATAGCTTCTGCCAATGGGCTGGCTTGCCTTTTGTCACTATTTTGTCTTCATCTGGAACCTTCCAGGCCAAGTTTGTCGTTTCTACTCCAGTTCTGATTTTTTTTTTTTATTTTGTTTTACCCCTTTTGAGTCAGGACTTACTACTTAAACAAATCTAAAAATGCTGGGTAAAACAGTTCTGTGTTAGAGTACTAAAATATCCTGTAACAGTTTCCTTTTGATTAGATTTTTTAATTTTGTAGTGTAAGGGAAAAGGATAATGCAAAAAGGTTAACTTAAGTAATACCCAATTTGTTAAGGACTAGCATCTGTATTTGCATCATACTTCTTGCAAGCTATCAGTAATTGTGAAGTCTGCAGACTTTGATGAGGTGCCCTCCAGTGTATTGACAGTGTGTCAGTTGTGTGGTTGGTGTCAATGATACCCAGAGTACAGTTTGCACTTGGATGAAGAACAGGCAGAGGAAAATCAGAATTTAACCCTTTTAAGGATGGTTAGTTGCTCTGATATTCACATTATCATGGGCAATGTATTTTCCACTTGCAAGCCCAGTCAGGAAGTCCCAGCTCTGAACACTAAGTGTTTTGAATAGTTTCCAGCCCATCATTTTTCCACGTAAGGGCTGTGAGATTGTAGCCTTTAAAATGCTAAAAGTGTTCCAGTGCTTTAGATTGGAATCGTTTCAAACTTCTCCCTCACAGATGGTTGCACTGTTAAGGAATCAGCCTCTCTTAAATCAGGAAATGATGCAATCTATTTTGTTTCTGAGACGGATTTCTGGGGGAGATTCAGTCTTACTCTGAGACAGATTTCTATATGAGCAAGAGGTTTTGATCTTTCTGTTGGACTTGAAGATGACCTTTCTTTCTCCACCACCCAGAAAAAAAAACACTTTGTTGTTCCTTCTCAAGCAATATTTACAAATTTAATTTACCTTATTGAAAAACAAAATGTTTTAGAACGCTGTGTTAGATTCAGTATTCCATTACTTAGGGAAACGTGGATAGGCAACAATTTCTTCCATGCTGTCATTATATAAAGTATTTTTAGTTAAGTAAAACCCTGAAAAATGGTAGGGGAAAACAATGTATGATGGTTTCCATATTCTGAGATATGAAGATCCCAGAACTATTGGAAAAATAAGGCCTCTTTCTCAAATGGAAAATGTGATGACTTCTGGAATTATTGTATTGGAAAGCAACACTGGAGAGCAGAAGAAAAGCTTTGCTTTGAAAATCATCCTATACTTTGTGTGTGTGAGGGGCTTTTTTGAAGTGTGGGTGATTCTTTTTTTGTTTTTTTGTTCATGTCAGAATATATTCTAATTCTTTAACAACTATCTTTGGCTTAGATTTTGCTTTCATTTAAAGCTATGTAACTTGTTAATATCTAAGGATGGACGCTCTGACAATGTCAGAAATACCCATTTCAAGTCTTGTTGAATTTTATATTCGTCTTGGATCAAGTTCTAGCACCATATATGTTATTTGATCCAAATAAATTATTTTTTTTTCAGTATTCTGCCTTCATTCACACTTCTGTGGTCTGCAATAAAACAAAACCTGAATCAGTGCAGTCATGAGGGGAAAAAAAATTATCCCTGGACTGCATGAAGACTTTCTTCACAACTTGAGGTTTTTTTTAGGAGCTGCTGCAGTACAAATGATAACTAATCATCACCGTAAAATGCAAATGAGGCACATTAAACCAGATTTATGTGAAATACAAGCCTGTTGAAATTAATTTTGTGTGTCTACTAGAATTTGCATATTGTAAGGTGCTGAAAATGCCACTACAGCATAGCAGTGTGCTGCCCTCCACTGGGGCCATGTTAGTCACAATGATCACTGATTCAGTTGGCTCTGCAATGCAGTATTTCTTTCATTTGTTTTCTCTGTGTTTGTGTTTTGTGTTTTTTTTTTACCCCTATAATAATATAATAATAAAATCAACTACAGAATGTACAGGAAGCAGAAGATGTAAAAAGGCCACGGGTTTCATATTTGAGTACCCTCTGGGGAGAACAGTGTGAAGACTCCTCAGTGTTGCAGACTCAAATATAGTTAAATAAATGGTAAATATTCGCAGTAGATGGTTCCTAATTCTGTTAGTCATGTGAGCAGAACCATTATTCAGAGGCAGTGACCAAAAGCTTCTTTACAGGGTGTGAACCCAATTAGTAGCAATGACATAGCTGAAGATTTCTTACAGAGCTTCAGTCATACATATTTTTAAATACCATTGTTCTACAGACAGGTTGGAAAAGGTCTGTACTTTAAAGGTACAAGGCATTTTTATACTGATGTCACTGCATCAGAAAGGTATACTGCTATATTTTATTTTTTTAAATCATAACTAATTGAGCAACTACTCATAAAACAGGCCGGTGTCTCAGTAGTATTGTTATGCTTCTGATGTTTGAATGAATTGTTATTATTATTTCCCAGCGATTAATAAGATGAACTGACTGAAAATTCCTGACAAAAATATGCATTCAACTCTTTTATAATCTTTGGCAGGATTATCTCAACATTTAGTTACAGACTACAAGCAAGTTGTAGAACTTCTTGAAGAGGGAATAGCTAAAAGGTATTTTCTAAAACAAACCATCTTTATTTAACACTTCTTTCACCATATTTGGATTTCTTTTATTTTTGTTTTACATCCAGTGTTGCCAATGCTTTGTCTGTGATACAATGTCAGATAGCATGTGTGATGCTACATATCTTCATATTATCCACAATAACAGTTACAAGGACTCATTAAGTTGTTTAACGAATTTCTCACATTTCTTCATAACTGAACCCATGCTGATTTACCCACAATATTCTGCCATCTGTCTGGAATAAAAAATGCATGCCAGGAAAATGTTTTGTTGTAAACAGGCTTTATTTCTTCTCCACTTCCTTATGTAGCCTGCATAGCTTTCAACTCATTTGTTAGTGTAACTTAACGATATATAACAGCTGAAAAGATAGTGTATTTGTTTTATAATTATCTGTTAGAATTTTATAGTTTTGTTGTTGTTCTTACTCCAAATCACAAACATCTGCCAGGACAGGAGTGTGGGAATTGGCATACCAATGAAGTTGACAATTTTGGCTCTCATTAGTCAAGATTTTTGTTTGTTTGTTTGATTTTTTTTTTTTACAGGCAGCTTTGGACATCAGTACAATTGCCATTAAAGTGATAGAAAAGGGTATAATTTGAAATGACCCCCCAAAACTAAATCACAGTTCCAAGATTCAAATTACTTCTTATTATAAGAAGTGTTGAGATACTAGAATATTAGTGGCACTGTGAAGTAAATAAAAACTAAGCTGCATTATCATAAAAACATAGAATATACAGCAGGATTAAGTTTTGCTGCTTCTGCTTTTAGTGATCAATAGATGTACCTCTATGATAAGAAGGGAGCTTTTCGTAATAACTGCAAAATTCCAGTCTGTCTGCTAGTGTTGTCCTACAGTGGTCTCATTGCTGAGGAAACAGAAGAAACAGAGAAAACAAAATCAGAATTTCAGTATTTTGTGTGTAGGTTTCTTTGATGCTGAATTTTCAAACCTTGTCACTTGTGTGAAGCCAGGCAACTTCTCTTTCTGGGTAACTTTTAAAAAATTGTTTTGGATTATACTCCTATTTACCTATGGTCTTTATTTTTATGAAATATTCTGCTGAGTATTTATTAGCACATTATAAATGCAGTCTGGCTAATTTTAAACATCTGCAGCCTGGCCTATGCTGCCCCATGTAAATCAGCAAGCTCTTACAGGGGGAGAAGGGTGGGGAACAGATTGCAGTTGTCTCACATGGCTGTAGGCAGGAGGGGAGCTGATGGGGCATGATGGCCTGGAGGTTTATGTAGGAAAGATCACGCCCTTGCATATGGCTGGTGCCTTTCACTTTTGCTTTATAAACTTCAGTGCTGTTCCCCTGTACTCTCTGCCCCTTTTAGAACTGTTTGCTGTTTTCTGCCCTTTACCTAATTGTTTGTCTTCCTCCTCCAAGATCTTGGAGATTAGTTCACCTTCTTCTGCTTCCTCAGTTAAGGCTCATTTATAGTTATGATGCACTAGACTACTTGTAGCTTTTGGCAGTGCTTGGTCACGTTTGTGAAGTTGTAGAAAGCAGGGAGCAACAAGTAACAAACAGAGTTCTGCTTTTGGCTTCCTGTGGTAGGCACGCAGCTGCTGTGCTCTACTGCAGTTTATTTTTGAAGTACTCTGATAGCTGGGCTCAAAATAAAGACATGGTCCCATAGTAATTGTTTCCGCTACTAAAAGTACCTGCTTTTGTCAATGTAAGATGAACAAAACTGACGCTGAAGGCTGCACATGTAACTGATAATCAATAATGAGTAATTTTGTATTCAAGAGAAACTTCAAGAGTGACAAAGGAAAGGATCTGTGACTTTGTTTCAGCTGTGGGCAAAACCTTTCTTTCATTGGGTTTGTCCAAACAAGGACAAGACAGACAAGGAAAGTAGAATTTCCAAAAGTTTGTTACAGAGTGGAAGAGTGCCACTGTTGCTCCTCCTCCTGCATCTGGTACCTGCTAGCCAGAATGCATGGGTCAGAGGGCTAGAACCTGAGGTCTAACCTGTCCATATGGGAAAGGCAAGCAAGTGCTACGCAAGTGAATCACAATATTCATTTGGTACTTGTAGGCTTGCTAATCTCATTGGCCTCTTCTAATGGTGCAACAGCCCTGTGACAGAAGAGATACCCGAAAATGGCATATGAAGCTTTTTGGATCCTTTGAAAGGTTAAGAAATAAAAATAAGAACAATATGGATAAAAAAGTATTGAGCCGGCACATTCAGTGATGTCTGGGGTGAGCTGTGTGAGGTTATGACTGTCTGTACTTCTTTGCTGTGTTCTGCCCTCCTGCAACCCCTTATGTCTGTACTGCAAGACACTTTGGGACATTTCTTCAGAGTGCTGTTGGAGGGCTAAACCACCTTTAACTTCACTGTTGGTTTCTATCCATCAGGTCCTGTGTCTGTGTGATCAGATCCAAGAATGCAGCATACCAAATTATCAAATTTTCACATTCCTTCATCTTCATCAACTCTGCTCTGTTTATTTGTGCTTTGTCTGAATACAGGGAAATAAGCCTGATGTAATTGAATGGTTTGCTCTTCTTTCTAGAATCACAGCAGCTACACATATCCACAATGCCAGCAGCAGATCTCATGCTATCTTCACCATCCACTATACTCAGGTTAGCTAAAAATAATCCAACTTCCTTTTCACTCTAAAAAAGCATTGTTCAATGTGTTGAGCACTGTTTAGTTGTCACTGTTTTGTGCTGTTTGTAATAATCTCGGTGGAAACTGTTACTGATTTCCTTTGGATCACACTGCAGATATATTACCCTTCCTACACTGCCTGATGTGTTATGTTTACGGAAGTATTCTTGTTTCTTTATACAAGCTCATAATTAGCAGTGATGCCAAAGACTTGCTGTAAAAAGAAATGTTTAAAGCTTTACCCAGCCCTTTGAAATGCATTATCCCTTGTTAGGATGCTGTGAAAATGATCTGTGGGTGTGTTTGAAGTTATGTTTTGTCATGCTCATTTAGGATCCTTAACTGAAGTATATGTGGCATTAGTTTAATGCCAAAGTTTTGTATCTATCCAGCATTTCAGATGTGCTCATCTCTTTAGCATTTGGCATCCAGTCCTCTCAGAGACAATGCACCCTTTCTCTGGAGGAATTATATCCTTCCCAGGAAGGGAAGTCTTTCAGTGATCCAATAGACCTTTTCTATCTCACACTTCTAACATCCTGTAATCACAAAACATTTGGGGATATTTTTCAGTAGTTTCACAAAAGACCTTTGGAATACATTAGGGGAAAATAACTGTGCAAGATCTACGAGAAAGGCTTTCACAGTCGCTAGGCAGTAAAGTTTGTTTTTTTTTTTTTTTTCAAGAGGAAATCCGCGTAAGAGCATAGTTTCTCTGTCAGCTGAGAAAGCTGTTGAGCTAATGATTTGAACATGGCCAGTGAGTCAAGGTCACAAAGAAAGGCAGTGACAGAGTCAGAAGTGCAAATCAATTACAAACAAAAGAGGGCACCTATTTTATTGTCATTAATGCATTAGGAGGAATAATCTTCCTTATTTATGTTTTTTCTTCAGGCTATATTGGAGAACAATCTCCCCTCTGAAATTGCAAGCAAGATCAACTTAGTGGACCTTGCAGGCAGGTAATAATAATGCACCAAATGGCAAAAAGCTAACTTTATCTGAAGAGGCTGTAGTACTGCCTTAAAATATGAAATCTAATATTTTAAAACTTCAATAACACAACAGTAAGTCCATCTTTTGTATATGGTAACAAGGAATATTGAACTAATGTCATCTCTGTCATCCATTCTTCTGGACTGGGTACTGGATTTCATTGGGTAAAGAAATTCCTGTGTCCTAACGTCCAATACTCTGCTGTTGCAAACATTTAATGTAATTCCACTTAACCCTGTATCCTTTTTAAGTTATTTTGAATTGTTTTGTTTTGTTTTCTGATAGCTGTTAGTGGAATTACCACGTCTGAGCTTGAAAAGAGAAAAAATGAGTATATTTTTTATGGTTGTCTAGCATGGGAAAGTATTCTTATCTTCTCTACTTAGGTTGTGTTTCAAAAGCTCCTAAGTCTCTGATCTTAGTTATACTTTTCAATGAGGAACAGGGGGGAATGGTTTTAAACTGGAAGAGGGGAGATTTAGATGAGGTGTAAGGAGGAAATTCTTAACTGAGAGGATAGTGAAGCGCTTGAACAGGTTGCCCAGAGAAGTTGTGGATGCCCCATCCTTGGAAGTGTTCAAGGCCAGGTTGGATGGGGTGTTGAGCAACCTGATCTACTGGGCTCATGGCAGAGGGGTGATAACTAGGTGATCTTTAAGGTCCCTTCCAACCCAAACCCCATTCTATGATATCATACATGTAGTTATGCTGGATGTGACAGAGAATATTAGGATAGAAGTTGTGCTGAAGAGTTGTAGAGCAGTTGGAAAACATGACATTTTTCCTTCTGAAGAACATAAATCCCCGTGCACATCTGAGCAGAGAAAGTAGTAATGAGAGGATGTATAGATTATGGACTGAGCCCTTAAAGGTTGTGTAATGTGTGTTGTCTCTTAGTTGGAACCCCTGCTAAACTTTGGTTGCCCAGTTCAGTCTTGAATTTAAGTTCTGGTGGGTCTTAAGCAGCATTTTGTTCCAGTGGCCTCTTCTGATGGTTGTTTGGACTTCTGAACCAGAAAGGGATATTTCATGTGAAGTGTTCAAAATGTGTTGTTTTAATTGTACACTTTGCTAGTTCTGTTTTCTTGTGTGTAAGGAAAATGTGTGATGCTTTCATATTGTGTGTTAATACTTAAACGTTTTTATTTGGTTTGCATTGTCTTTCCCATGCTTGTGTGCTTCAGTGAAAGAGCCGATCCCAGCTACTGTAAAGATCGAATTACAGAAGGTGCCAATATTAATAAGTCATTGGTTACACTTGGAATTGTCATCTCCACTTTAGGTAAGTGCACAGTAGTTCTTTATATTCGAGAGTAGCAATAAAAGCATAGGACTCAACCACGATGTGCTATATCTTAATCTTTACATTTACAATAAAAAGCTGAACAGAACAGCTGTGTGGCTTCATAAACTGCAATGACATTTAAGAAAATTAAATGGTCATGACAGAAAAAGATAACTCATTTCCTGAGCTCTGTTGCATTTCTCCTTCAGCACAAAATTCACAGATGTTCAGCAGCTGCCAGAGCATAAACACCCTAACAAGTGAAGGGGAGAGCAGTCATGTGGACAGCCCTTCCACGGGCAGTGTCAGTGGGACCAGACGGCCAGCTTACATCCCATACCGTGACTCCATCCTCACCTGGCTTCTGAAGGACAGTCTGGGGGGCAATTCCAAGACCATTATGATTGCCAGTGAGCTTGATTTCTTTTCCTTGTTATCATTTTGCACTACATTACTCCCCTGAAATACATCTCTTTTGAGGTGCAAAGTCAGCTATGTCACTTTGAGTCTGACCTTATAAAGATTTTCATAAATACTTCATAGGATACATCAGGAAATAAAAAGGTGTGCTGATTGTTCATGAAGTTAAGCATAAGAGTCTTTCCAATGTCATAGTTTTGATTTAATGTGATTTACTCACTTATAAATACAAGTTTGAAAAGTCATTTTCTGTGAGCTTGATGAATCCCTAAGGATATTTTGGGTTTTGTTTTATAAAGAAGTCAAACTGAAAAACATCCCCATTTTTGAAGTGTTTGCTTAAACTGATTACTTCTTTTAAATAAAATCAGTGTTTGCTTTCTATCTGCAGCTATTTCTCCTGCCAGTTCCAGCTACAACGAGACCATGAGTACCTTGAGATATGCTTCAAATGCCAAAAATATTATTAACAAGCCCAGAGTGAATGAGGTAAGGCCTTGAGTTCCTCTTTTCATTCTTGTTCAGTTTTGTTGTGTGTGTTTTGTAAGCTTTATTCAATATACCTATTCTCTGAATAAAATTCATACCTCTGTCTCATGATAGCTGGAGCAAAATGGGAGACTGGGTATTACAGAAATTATTTGATTCCTTGCAGCTTACATAATTTAGAATTTCACACCTTTTTTACATTCTTCATATTTATGCCATCAGTTTCCATCTTTCTTCCCTTTGAATTGTTGTGACATGCATGTTCACCCTGTGTCTTTATCCTAAATATTGGTGGAGTTACAGATCCATTACATTATTCACTACTATTTAATGTACTAATACAAACGTGTAACCTTACAGCACTTCCTTCAGGCATGTTAAAGGAACAATGTTAAGGTTGCAAAGTCAAGAATTCAAAAATTTTGCCAGGCTTAAGGTAGCCTATGTAGTCTCAATTTGTCTTCTTTTCAGTACACAACATGATGAAGCTTTTAAATACATAGGAAGAAGTTTTGTCACAGAACCATAGCTTCATTCTTTGCACAGAATATCCAGGGGTGAACTCTGACTGTATGGTAAATTCATCTCTTTGATTGTGCAGGAGTCCTACACAGACTGCACAAGTTAAAAGGTGGTAGGGTGTTAAAGGAAGAGTCTGATGCTGCCTTGGGTAACTGAATGCTGTCTCTGCCCCTGTGTGACTCAAGCAACCTTGTATATTTACTACACTAAAATTCTTTAGGGCTGTGTTTTCTAAAAGCATTATCTTGTATTTTTTCTGTATACCATGAATTTCAAAGACATGACTTCTGTGCGGAAGTTCTATTTGTTCAGCTTCTTGAGTTAGACTGCTTCCATTCTCTGTTTAAAGTGTGCCTTATGACTAGTTTTTAGACAGCACTGGTAGCAGTAGTAGCTTGCTTTTCACAGCAGTAGTCTCAACTCTGACAGGCCACATGTGAATAAATATGGTCCTCCTAGCTCAGCCTTCTGTTTCATAGAGCCTCTCAGCCTCCCAGCTTGCTTCCCCACTGCTCTTTCACACAGTCTGTAGTAGCCCCTTAACTCCATCTCTTTGGGTAGTTGCCTTCTTCCCCTTACAGCAAACTGAACTGAGTCAAAATGTCACTGGCAGCATAGAGACAATCATCCTAAACTGTCTGCAAAAAGCTCATTTCCATCAACGGCCTATGCAGCAATACTTATTCTGAAAGTATTCTTCTGGGCTCTCGGAACAGCTCTGCATTGCTTTTTTTAGCTATAATTATTTTAACAATGTTTTTTCCAATATCTGTGTCTCAATGTTTCAGGATGCAAATGTAAGACTGATTAGAGAACTGAGAGAAGAAATTGACAGATTGAAAACTATGCTGATAAGCTTTGAACTGGTATGTAGGAACGCTTCCCAGCATGAGCTTTAATGGTATTCTAGGTAGCTACAGTAACTTAGTTTCATATAATCTGTTTATCTTCATATCTATTGTGTCTGGAGGCAAATTAAATAGTTTGTTATTTTAAATTAAATTAAATGTCTGCATCATTTCCTGATAATTATCAGGCTAACTGCATTTTGGACATTTCTTCTTTTTCTGGCATTATATTGATAATCCTGAAGTATAAGCACTTATGTGATGATTAGAAAGGATTTCCTTGCTGTCTTTCATAGAGTTGGCTGGCTTTGTTATGCATTGATACCAATGCCTTGAAATATAAATATTTCTTTGTAGGGATACACAAGCACCAAGACAGCAAAGTGTTAATCTCTAATTTCTCTGCCAGTTTGTTGCAATCCTATTTCCCCCCAAAAAGTGAACTAGTAGATCTCAACAATAGTTTGGAGGTTTCATCCTGCCTGCACACTCTGATCCTCCAAATGAGGTTATGAGTGTTTCAGTGTTTCTGAGACTTCACAATACAGCTGGCACTCTATGTCTTTGCCTTTGGAATAACATCATCTTGGCTTTCCATGCTACAGGGAGCATGTTCTGCTGAAAGCCACTAGAACCACAATCCAGGATTTATTTACACAGAAATCTTTCTGTTAATGCACTTTCACCAGTTTTCCCCCCAAACTTGCATGCAATAGTTAAGAGAGGAGTAGGCAGCATTGCATGTCTATTTTTTTTGTCTTCCCTTCTCCTGAATTCACCTTGAAATTTGGAGATTGAAAGAACATGCTTGCCAGTTGTTAATAAGGAAACCAACACAGATCTCTGTGATTGTTGTTTGTACAGAGGAATTCCAGTCCTTCTTGGAGCGATGACAGGGATGGAAATCTTACCGAGCTGGTTCTTCAGAATGAGATGAAGGTGCGTATGATCTACATGCTGCTTTAACCCTCTTACATTCCACAGGATTGGAAGGGATAGCATTGCCACAGTTCTGAAATAACAGTGAAAATGTGTTTGCCCTAATCCTTTCATGTTTGCTCTGAATATGTAGGAATTTGCCATCTTTAATGCATGTTGCATGCTCTCTAGGAATTTGTGGTGAGTCTCTTGTGTCCCTAATGGGATGCTGTCCATTGCATTTTACTAAGTCTGCACAATCTATTTCTAGTTTGAAAACTGTCTAAGTATATCTCAGTAATTCGTTATATGACTCCATTGTCTTCCAAGTTTAAACTCCTCCAATTAATTTAAGGGAAATTATTGCACAGTCACCAAGTTATGATGAAGATTTAGTCATCAGTGATGTGCAGAGGTTTTGGAGATCTTGGTTTTAGGATTTGCTTAAGCTTCTCAGGACAGGAAAAATAAGTAGTTAGTGTGATCATAAATCTTTCTGATGTTTTGGGAATGAGTATTCAGTGGGTTAGCCTGCTTCACTAGGTAGTAGCATAGGTTTAACTTATTTTTGTTGCCACAGAAATGTTCTACAATTAGAAATACACATGCGCTGTAACTGGTGAAAAAATTTTACGTACAGTAACTGGAAAACTATGGTTTGTTTGTTTTTTTCCTAAATAAATTTATGTATGAGAAACATTCAACTACTTATCAAATGAAAGAATTTTTCCTCCTGTTCTCATTTAAGATTGAGCAACTGACCAAAGACTGGACAAGTAAGTGGATGGACAGGAAGGCCATCATGAAAGAATACAGTGTGGACATCAACAAAGAAAAAGCTGGAGTAACAATAGATTCCAGTTTACCTCATCTAATGGCCATGGATGATGATATCCTCAGCACAGGAGTGGTGCTATATCATCTCAGGGTGAGATAATGTCACTTATCTTGTTTTTCCTTTTAATTTAAAAACATGTTTTATTTGCGGAAAAATTAAAAAAGAATTTAAGTATGGTTAAGGTGACTTTACAACAATAGCTAACAAAAAACGAAGGTCACAATTCACAAAAAGAACAAATACATACATGAAAGGAGAACAGTAGCAGAAAAGGACAAATGAAAATGGAGGAGGCAGACAAGAATTCATGTATGGAGTAATAAGTTCACCTCTTATGAATGCCTTTGCAAACTAATTGATAATGTGTGGTAAGCAAAGTGAAATACCCTAATTCAAAATTAGTAGATTGTTCACAAAGCATAAGGACAGGTATGTATCTGTAAAAAGGTAAAGTGTACCAGATTTACTGCTCTAGATTTTAGTAGGTACTTGTATACTTGAGACTGGAATATTTGTATATTTGTAGATCAAGTACAAAGGTAACCTTTGACTAGACCAATTTGGCAGTGACTTCTGTTTATTGCTATTTTCACTTTATCAGGTGCACAAAGTAGATTCTAGGTGTGTAGCATGAATGCTACTTACTTGTAATCCTATTTGAGTGGAGATTTTCCAGGGTCAGGTGGAAGTCCTGGCTTCATCCTGGCTTCATAGCAAATGCTTTGCTGTGTAGCTGCTCATTTAAGGAATTGTCATCACTAAGAAATTTTCATAGCGTCACGTGTGTTACTCTGGGTTGTAGCTTAAGATGTGAGGGCCAGGCTAGCTAGTTTCAGGGGATTTTTTAATCAGGGATAAGTAAGGGCTAAACTGGGCTTTTTTTTTTTTTTGCTTTTTTTTTGATGTTGTTTAAGCCAGTAGAAGTTACCAAAATATTGATGCTGTTTTAACATAAAAAGAATGGTGCATGGGCACCTATTCAGAGAAGCATTCATTAGCAAACAATTTATTAAATGAAGTTGTCTTGTGAAATTGATCTTGTATATCTGTCTACTAATAAAATATTTGAATCCAAATCTAGGTTCTATGTCACTTGATACAGTTTTGGGATGTTGTTGGTTTTTTTTTCTCTTAAAAAACAGCAACAGATATTTGAAACAGAAATCACACTATTCTTTATTATGTGGGCCATTATTATATTATATTATTATATGGGCCAACCGTGTCCTGGGGTGCATCAAGCACGGCATCGCTAGTAGGTCAAGGGAGGTGATTGTCCCTCTCTACTCTGCGCTGGTGAGGCCTCACCTCGAGTACTGTGTGCAGTTCTGGGCACCACAGTATAAAAAGGACATGAAACTGTTGGAGAGTGTCCAGAGGAGGGCTACGAAGATGGTGAAAGGCCTGGAGGGGAAGACGTACAAGGAACGGCTGAGGGCACTGGGCCTGTTCAGCCTGGAGAAGAGGAGGCTGAGGGGAGACCTCATCGCAGTCTACAACTTCCTCGTAAGGGGGTGTCGAGAGGCAGGAGACCTTTTCTCCATTAACACCAGCGACAGGACCCGTGGGAACGGGGTTAAGCTGAGGCAGGGGAAATTTAGGCTTGACATCAGGAGGGGGTTCTTCACAGAGAGGGTGGTTGCACACTGGAACAGGCTCCCCAGGGAAGTGGTCACTGCACCGAGCCTCTCTGAATTTAAGAAGAGATTGGACTGTGCACTTAGTCACATGGTCTGAACTTTTGGGTAGACCTGTGCGGTGTCAAGAGTTGGACTTGATGATCCTTAAGGGTCCCTTCCAACTCAGGATATTCTATGATTCTATGATTCTATGTTGAAAGAGAAACCTTACTAATTTGTCTTATGTCAGCACAAAGAAACTGTACCAGGTAATAATTAGGAACCAAATAATAACATCTTGCACTGATCAACATGCTTAAAATTTACTACTCCATTTTATATTAACATGAAATATTAGTTTAAAGTAATGGCTACAGTTTAAACGTTTTTCCATTCTGTGTCAGTGTGGAAACAGTAAATATTTTCACATAGTAATTTTAACAACACCTGAAGTAATTTAAAGATACTAATTTTAATGGATAAGCCTAGTTTGAAGAGTCACCTTCCGAAGTCATTAGCCAGTGTCTCTGTCAGACTAATGTCTTTGTCTCCTCTTTCTTTGCTTCTAGATGCTGCCTTTTCTTTTCTTTGTGCTTTGCATCTTTTAGACTCTGGTGTCTATTACCTTCATCTGATCAGCAAGAAGGTAAAACACTAGCAGTTCCTTACATATTAGGACTTTAATGTATTACAGCACTTTATTTTGTACTTCTTGAGAGAAGCAGCCTTCAGATCATGTAAAGCAGACATTGTTAATCTTTTATTCTCATTATTCCATAATGTTAATTCCATTAATCAATGCTGTGCTGGTGCTTAATGAACCTTTCTTTCTTAGCTTCTATTTCTTTTTTTCTGGCTTTTGTTAACAAAATTAAGTATTTTTTCTATAGCCTAACTGACCTTAAAAATAAAGATTTGTTGGTATAATTTTAGATCATTTTGTCTTTTTTTCCACTTTTCTGTAAATAAGAGTGCTCCAAAAACTGAAGGGGGGAAGTCATCTCCCTCTTTATGCTTCTCTAAAGTGCTTTGGGAATTCCACCCTTAGTCAGGAAACACTGGCAGAAGAGAGAAACAACATAAAATTACTTGTAGTTATGAAGATGTACCTTAGTATATTAAGGTGAAGTTATGCAGTCATTTGTTCTGAAACATCTGTCTTTCAGTTTTTTAGGTAGAACGTTCAATAGTAATTAGGAAAGACTATGAGTATTTAAATTATTAGCTCAGTTAATAGCATTTGAAAAAAACCTTGAAATGGGTCTTATTTATGGCTAGTTCTGCTTTATCTTTAACAAGTTAGTTTGCTTGCATACTATCTGCACCATTGCTCTTAGCTGCAGTTTTCAGTTGTACCTAATCTCATCCAGATTCATTCCACTAATTGTGATGCATTTAACTATTGTGAATTTCATGAGCAACCGTAATATACTTTTCTGAATTACAAGAAGGTTATTTCAGCATATTGGAGAAAAAAAAAATATATTTGATGTTACAGTAACTATCTTCTTCCTTAGTCAATAAGATAGTTGATGAAGAGGTGTTCTGGGAATTAATTTACTTCTTTTTGTGTAAAATATGTGGTGCTAGCTCACTTGGTTTTATGAAGGCACTGGGTACAATGCAGTCTTCAGCTTCTCCAGAAAGGGAGGAGGTCTCAGCAGGGTTTGCAGCAGAGGGCTCTGTTAGTTGGTTCAGTTCCCCACTGCTCAGAGATTCAAGCTCTGTGAGGTGCTGAAAGGTAATTCTTCCCTTCCCTTCAAATGCAAGAAATGAGTATGATTTACCCCTAATTACCTATAACTGCATCATCCTCACTTTTCCCAGTCTTGAGGCTTCCAATGATTACTTCTTACTTATGTTTAAATCTAGGCTACAATATGCTTGGAGCAGAAAGCATATTTAATTTATTCTTATAAGAGTATAAAAACCAAGTAGCTTAATGACTATAATTAATTGTATTATTACTTGCAGAGTTGCCACTAAAATCGTTTCAGAGTGCATACAGTAATCAGTTTATAACAATCAAGTATAGTATCTCTTCAGGGCTGGGAAATGGTCTTGCTCTGTTTTCCTGAGGAGAAAGGTAGAACCAGTAATGTAACATAATAGGCAAGTAGTAAATTCATTGCTTTTACTGGTAGTATGTTCTCATAGAATTGATTAAATGACACTGTTCTGTTGATATTTGCACTGTACCATAAGAATACTGTCTCCTTCCCATCACTGGCTGATAATGTGCTTTTGATCTGCTTGTTCTTGAGACTTTTGTGCCTGTGTGGTCCTTTCCTGTGAAGTTATTTAATGTTCAAGTTTAGGAACATGTCCATATGCCATAATCACCAAGAAGACTTTTTATAAATGTTATTTATGTTTTGGAAAAAAGTTCACCTTTAGGTAGTTACTTTGAAGAATTCACATTCTCTGACATGGTTGCCTTGTTAAATAGGAATTCAGTTACTTTTATATCTTGATTTTTATTGTGAAAAAAAAATCATTAACTGAATAGTCATTTTGTGACTTCTTCTTCATGCATGAGTACTTATTTTTAAAAAGAATTATCTCATTTCTGCAAACAACAAATCTCAGTGTAAAAGTTCAAAGCATCAGGACATGTGTTCACATTCGAAATATTTGTCACAAGCACATTCCAGAAATCATCCACTGAGGGTTACTCCATCTACTGGGTTTGTAACAGAAGCTGCCATAGCTGCAGGATAAGAAGTAATTGCATTTCTATGGGGGGCAGCAGGATGAAGTATTACAAAGTAGTTTCTACAGTTTGCTCTAAACAGTCCAAACATTCAGAAGTGATATATTTAAAGTATTTGCTAAGTTTCTGTACATCTAATCCTCATATAGAATTAAGGATATATTCTTTTATTTATATATATATAGCATATATATATTATATACACAGAATATATATATGTATTATATATATATAAAGCATATATATATATATATGCTTTTTTTATCCTTATATAGAATTCATCTTTAATATTAGTGGTTTTCTTGTTTTAGGAAGGAACAACCAAAATTGGAAGGAGTGATTCAGACCAAGATCAAGACATTGGTAAGAGAATGATATTACAGATTATTTTATGATATAGTCAGTTCAAAGCAGGTGGTTTACATTCGTTTGTATAATAGCTAGGTAATGTTTCTTTTCGTCATTTCTCTTCATTGAAGAAGGTAAGGAGAGAAGAAAAATTACATAAGCTGGCTAAGATCTTTGTTATTTTTTTGTTGCTGTCTGAAGTAAAAAAAAAAAAACAATGAAAATGACTGAAGTCTCTGTAGAATTTTATTTATGCTTGTGAAATGCTGTGTTAGAGTTAGAAATATCTATGTCCAACATCCAAATCCTGGTACGTTCTGTCATAAACTAATGGCATAGGTCATTAGGGTACATTCAAAATGTTTTTAACTCTCCTTGAACACAGAGTATTTTACATATGAAATCTAAACAATCAGAATATTTATTATTTCATTTCCTTTTTAGCCTTAATTTAAACAGTCATAATCTGAAGAGCCACAAATGATACTAGAGTGTGAAACTTTCTACAGAAATTGGAAAATCTGGAATCTCTGCTTTGGTTAATTCTGTTAACTTTGGCTGTTTGATGATTTTCTTCCAATGGATTAGCAAAATATAAACAATGAATGCCAAATAGCAATAAGGAAATTCAGCACAATAGAAGAATTTATGCTTCAGTTTACAAGTCAGAAAATAGCTCATCATTTTCCAGAACTGGAAATACTTTTAAAGAGAATTCCAGTTTCAATCAAGGTTGTTTTTTTTTTGTTTGTTTGTTTTTTTCTGTGATTTGGTACATGGCTAACAAAGACAACAATTTGCAGCTCTTGTTTTGCAAGTGAAATAGTTCTTTGAAGTATCAAGTATGCAGCCATAGGGTAAGACTGCGTGGTACTGCATTCTGAGGAAAACAGTGTGAACTCAACTCCTTCAACAGATGAAATAAAATGAACTATACATTGTAGTTTTGCAGGGGCGTTGGATTGAAAAGGACCATTGTGTTATAGACAACATCTGTGGGATTGTAACCTTACGACCAGTTCAAGGCGCACACTGCACTGTGAACGGATGCGAAGTCACTGGATCATGTCGTCTATCACAAGGTAAGGCTTGCTTTTTCTGTGAGTGATGCATTGTAATCAACCTATTTCTGGCATTTAGAGATAAGAATTTACCAAGCTTATGCAGCTCTGAGAAATGCATCTTTCAATTTCCTGCAGCTGCCTAGCACCACAGGGTTTGAGCTATAGCTGTAGCTTCCAGACTGGTACAAGCAGATGAACCTACACACAGAAAGCAAAAATGAAGACAAAGGTGAAGGCATAGTAAGATGCCTTTTGGCTGCAGTAGTCTGTATCATTCCGAAAAGTGAAGATCTGTAGTCAGAGGTAGTGCTGTGGAAAGTAGTAGAGATTGGCTCTAAGCCAGAAGATCTCTGGTTGGTTTTAGGGCAATTATGTAATATGGTTGAAATGACCTCCAGCACTAACCATAGAGTCATAGGATATGGTGAATAAGCTCAGCTGAAATCAGGCTCTCATATTTTTGGTTGTTTAAAAAATAATATATAAAAAAAGCTAGTTACTGAAATCTTGGATTGATCTGGATTCTTAAAAAAAATAGTATCAAAACAAGTTTCCAGCAATGTATTCATTAGTTTTTTTTGTACAAAGTCATGCTGGTCTTTAGTGTGAATGGGGAATTTACTGTCATGGTGGATTTGCAGAGGTCCCCAAGATTAATTTGTTTGGATGCTGTCATTACAGAATGATAGCTGTGATGTTCCATAGTGGCAAATTTTAAAAACAGTCCTCTGCTCTGAGACTGTCATAAAGCTGTTGGTCAGAACATCTTTTTTTTTTTCTTTTTTTCTTTAACAGGCTGTTCGGTAGTGGTTTGAATACACAGTAGTTAGTACACAGCAGTTTAGAAACCTATATATTCAGGGCACTAACTGCTTGATGCATTGTGTCTCTGTAAATTTGTAATTAATTTTTGTTTACAGGGGCCCTTGTTGTCCTTGGCAAGTCTCATAAGTTTAGATTCAATCACCCAGCAGAAGCTGCTGTCTTAAGGCAAAGAAGATCAGTAAGTTCTGAGGATTTGTATTTCTCTGTCCTAATTCTTTATTGATTTTTCCGTATTATTTTCCATCTTAAAAGCCTGCCTGGTGTAGATAATATTTCTTAATGTCATCATATTCACTTGTTTTATTTCCTTCATCTAATGGTCTGTAATGACACTAAACCTTTTGTGGGAGGATACTATTGCTTCTTTCAGATGTGCTTAGCAAACAGTGTTGCAGATCTCCTGAATAATTCAATGTTTCCTATTTCTAGTCATGACAAAAAGTGGGATTGAAACAGAAAGGCAGACGGCTGCAATGAAAAGACCAATTGAGAGTCTTTCCACGTTTGATAATTTTCTTAATTATCCTCTATATACTGTCATTTCACCATTCTAAATGATGTTTACTATCAAAAATGGAAAATTTAAAGGATTAACTACTTGGGTGTTGTTAGCCCTGAAAGCTTTTAGTTGTTACATACATCAGAAATAGATAAAATATTTCTTGATACATTGATCACAGGAACTAACTACTGCAGGATGTTATTTGGTCAGCTATTTTAATAATGTTTCAAAAAATAAAAATAAAAATAAAACATAGTTCTTAAAAAACCACCCTACATAGCTCAAAAAGCTACCTTAAATAACGTATGTTTTCTGATTTAGGACATAACCATTTTAACAACTGATATTGGCAAGAAAATTGCTTTTGAAACAGATTTTAATGTGGTAACATTCTGCTCAACTGTCCTTTTGTCCTCACCTTTGTAGTTGAAATAAGGGCTTCATTTCCATTTGCTTTCATCCTTTATTTCTTGATTAATATAACATGCTATACATTAAAAAATAGCTAAAGAAAGAAGTGTACTCAGTAACAAATTAATAGTTTTGCAAATTAATAAAGACTAAGAACCGTGTGATTGTAAGTTCACGTGGGAGGAGATTATTATGCATATCCTGCATGTTATACAGCATTTCATACAGCAGTAAGCAGCAACAGTGTTATTGCTAAGTTGAAAGTTCCTAGGCTGCTGTGATATTTTTTTCTTCCTGTTCTTGTGTTGTGTGTTTTGCAGATTAATGATATCCCACCCATTCTGAGCTGCAGAGCTTTGGACTGGCTCAACTTAGATGGAAGTTGCACCCATTCTCCTCATTACATCCTTTCTTCCCTTGAAAAGTAAGTTTAAAAAAAGAAAAAGAACAAAACTTTCTCTTGTGGAATGATGTCTGAGGACAGGACTTTAATTAGACAAAACTGATTTGTATTTAAAATAAGTCCCATCACGTTTCCAGCTGTTCAAAATCAAAAGTGTCCAGGAAAAGGCATTAGCCAACTGATTAATTTTGAAATATTATGATATTCCAGCAATAAACTTCAAAATTATTTATTGATGCACAATGAATATTGATGCTCTATCAAGAAAATGCCTTGGTCAAGACTGTCAGGCAGCCTTAATTCAGTACACTTGTACATCTGCATTATAACTGTTTTGATTTACAAGCTAATCTATAACTTTTGCAATATTATTACTTCAGTGCACAGAATGGACTTCTCTAGTTATGAATCAGGATTTAGCCAACATAATTATCAATTCAGTCTCCTTGCTAATTGTGAAAATCAGAAGATCTATTAGCTCATAAATTCCCTGCAGCTCAGGTCCATGTTGACCCCTTCATCTCAGAGTGCCGTGGTGATTCTCTTTTGTTTTTTAAAACTGAGCAGTAAATAAGGCATAGACAGCTTCCGAAGTGTTGAAGTGGTCATATCCATGATATTTAATGTATGTTTTTAATGAGAGAGGCTTCCTGAAAGAGGAGAGGGTAGGTGTGAAGAAGACAATGATTAATGTATATCAGAGAAATTAGTTAAGATACCTCCTTGTGTTTCAGCTTGTAACATTAACAGAATATAGGAGAACTAAATGTAATTGGGTTCTTTTTCTCTTTTAATTCCTCTCAGCCTGGCACATTCAATTGACCTGTCAAAGGCAAGAAACAGCCATCTTCTCACTCATATCTGTTGATAGTTCTGCTTCTTGCTCGAGTGTTTTGGTGTGGTTACATACTGGGAATCTTTTTGCTCTTTCTGGGGGAAGAATCTCATGTCATTTTTATAAGCATAATTTTTTTTCCCTGTTTTTGAACATCTCTTCATCCTTCTGTTCAAGTGGCTTGCTTTCCACCTTGGGTAGTGTGTTTGTGTGCTCTCTTTAACATGCCTAATCTCCGCATTTGTTTTTTGATTTACTGCAATGGTACCTTTCTACAAAATGGTATTTGTTTTCATTTTATTTTATTATTTCAGTTTATTCATTTACTGACTTACATTTTATACACATAGATCCTATTATTTTCTTTGAAAAAATGATGAAGAATTTAAGTCATTTTCTAATGACAGTCAGAATTAGATACCACATTGCTCGTACATGAATTCAGACATCAGAAGTGTAGCATTTATTATAGCACTTTGGTCCTAGAAAAATATGCAGAAATCCTTAAGTGTGTGAACAGTTTAGCATAGCAGTGCACTAGATTTTGCCCTTTTTAACTTGATGGGACTGAAGAACATTTCAGATTGTATTGATCTGTTTTTTAATCATTGGTCAGGACTTAAAAATATTAGATAATGTAACATTATGCTCAGACTTAGCCAGAGTGTTTCAAATGATTACTTCAATGAAAATGAGAAGCATAGTGGTATCATATTCACATTACTTTTACAAATGTCCGTCTGTTAGAGAAATAAGCTATAGACTACGTCTAAAAATAGTCGTCTTTCAGTTGATATAATCCACTGGTCTTTTTTTTTTTTCCCTTGACTACTTTTTTAGCAAATGTAAATGGAATTGATCTACTTGTTCTTCTCTTACAATAACCAGTAAGCCTGTCTTTCTGTCCAGACAAGTAGTTCTGCTTATGGAGCTAGTTATGAGGAAGACATCTAGCCTAAAATCTGTAATATGAGAATAAAATGAAGTCACTTAAAATGTCTAGGCTTTGCAAAGAGTCAATATCAAGTACTAAAAGGTGTGTCTGAGGTACTTTGAACAGTAATATAGCACTGAATGCACTACATGGAGTGTTTATTTGCTGAAACAGTAAAAATAAATAAAATTCCACCTAGTATTTCACACACTCACGCACCTGCACATTTAGCATTTCATATGTTTTACCAGCTGCTAGCGGCCTGTATCTCAGAGCATTCCTCCACTGAAAAATATAACTTCATCTCTGCGTTTAATAGTCTTCAATGAAGTTCTTTTGCCTTCTGTTTGAATCTCTTTGTAATTTCCTATTTTTATTTTTACAGTCAAAAATGTAGAAACTGTAAAGAAAACAAATGGTCTCCTGAAATAAGGTAAGAAAACTATTTAAAGTGATGTGTCTAAATCGTGCTGAATTTTTTTGGCCCTTCTAGCTTTGCCTTTCTTCTGTGCTACACTGACTTCCTCCAGAAGAAGCAAACTAGGCTCCAAAATTTAATTTGATTTTATTATGTTGAAACAAGAATCTGTACTTGTAGCTGAATGACAAGCAAGTCTCTGCAACCGTGTTTTTTTTTCATATTATATCTTGTGCAAATATTTTGCACATTTGTCACACATGTAATCTGTATTTTAAAATCACAACTGCCATGGGATTTACTATAAATCTGATGTCAGTGGTAAGTATTGTGTTTACCCATTAGTATATCAAAAATTCCTTAGATAAATTGGTTTCTCTACTGTTGAGAAGAAAATAGCTTTATGTAAGAGTCCAAACAAGGAATTCCTAGTGCAGAATGTGGTCAATTTATGCAAAGAGGCATGGCAACTGCACACAAAAATCATTCTGAAATTGTTGGGCTTCCATGCATTTGAGTACTCTTTAATCAGGAACTGGTGGTATTTTGCTTTCTTCTGGAATTTTTATTTCAGTACATATTGACATACACATTATCATAATCATCAGTTATAATCTCATTTCTTGTGCTGTCAGTATGATTACATTATTTTTCTCATCTGCTTTCATTAGGTTGAATTGCCTGTTCAAGCTCTAATTTTATATTAAAATATTTTCAGAAACGAGAGAGGGAACACATTTTTACCATTGAACCCAAGTATTAAAACTTTAAGCATGGAACTTTCTTTGAAAAGAGGTAGGGTTCAATGTGCTTGTTACTTGGCTACTTGTTCATATTCCCAAAAGAGCCCAGCACCTCATATTTCTGATGCTTATCGGAGGCCAGCAAACACATGGAAGGCTTGTGACTGGCAACAATCATGTGACAGCATCACCACACATAAGTAGATAATGAGGTTCTTGCTCCTGTTGTTGCCTTAATACCATCCTGCATATAACTATAAACTCTATTTCTGTTGTCTTGCTAGTCTGATTAAAAAGAAATAAATAAAATAATAAAAAAAATGGAGTAGTTCCATTAGAGTCCAGGGATACAGCAGTACACAGAATGAATTGGAGCTTCTTAGAATATATTTAAGGTTTCCCCCTGAAAATACCAAGACCCAAAACAAAATGGCTTTTAAGAACGTGGGAAATCCTACTGGATTGGAAAGGAAATAGTGTCCATAGATAAGGCTGATACTGGAGAACACAACAGCTAATTTGGTACAGTGCAGCTAGTCCAATTAGTATTTGTAAAAATAATACTTCGTGTTCTTACTAATAACTATCACTTGAGAATTTCAAACTGCTGTATAAATGCAAGTTAAAGAAGGCTTTTGCAACCCTTAAAAGATCCCAAATATTTCACAAAACTATTACACTCTCATATTAGCATGTCACTATGTCAATTACAGCAGCTCCAGAACTTAGAGCAAAAGGGTGATTTAGCAGGGGCATTAACTAATTCTAAATATAAATGAAATCATAAGGGGTAGCCTGTGGTAGCTTGTAGTTACAGCTGAACTGGAATTTAGCAATGCAGCAGTGACCTTTACTGGAGTGTGTATCTGTGTCTTGTGCCTGTGATTCCTTGCCAAAGAGAAGTCTGTTTTAGAAGTGTATTTAAAGGACTGCCTTAACCAAGTCATTGCCTTACTGTTGTTTTGGGGTTTAAGCAAAGAAAAAAAGGAGGTTTTGATTTGTTTTGTTTTGTTTTTGTGGAAAAGCTAAAAAACAAGCAAAACTTGTAAGCAAATAAGCTAATCAAAAATATGAATGATATTTTGCCTGATGGTGACTGCGCTGAATGGGATTCTTCTGTGTACATATTTCTGAAGGTCCCTTACTTCCAAAGCTTTCTGACTCTGCTGGATGTTCTTACTAATTTCTGGTTTCCACTTCTGCCCCTCACCCCCCAACTTTTGCTTTGAATTGTGCCAGTGGCATTGCTTCGTAGCTCCTGCATCATTTTTCCCTTTGCTTTAGGGAAGAGAAGGGAGAGGTTTGAGCCTCAGTGCTAGGCAGAAGCAGATGTACTCAGTCTCCTCTGCTGGTCCCGTGCAGCTGCTTGCTGTGATGCTCTGAGACCCTGCGGGAAGGGCCCCAGATTGGACACGTGTGGAGAGGGGGAGGATGGAGCAAGGCGGGGGAATATATATCAGTGGATAGGCTTGTAACCCTGGTTTGTGATTGCTCACAATGCTGGGATTTGCAAATATGCAAAAGGTCTTGCCAACATCTTTTTTTTTTTTCCCTCTGCTTTATTAACTCTTCTTCCCCCTGGAAAAAATCATTAGTAAAAGAAAAATTGACTTCAATACTAGGCAGACAGAAGGACTGGGATGCTAGCTTGACTGATGTTTTCTTTAGGGAAAAATGACAAGTAACAACTCTTAGCAAGTGTTCCTTGCTTTTTCTTTATTTTTTTTCACTTGAGTTTCTCTGTCTGAGCCTGAAGATTTTGTTGCAGAAAGCGTTCTGCCTCACCACAGAGCTCTTGCTGCCATAGTTACTGAAAACTGCATTATGCTGTAGGAGCCGCCAGCCTCTGCATCAGCAGTAGAAGTGTTTGGGGAAGAGGGGAGGAGAATTGCACAATAGGATCCCGGAGAGCTGACGACAAAACAGGCTGGAAAAAATGTGGATTTACAGATGGTTCATTTAGCATGCGTCATGCAAACTTTGTGGAGAGAAAAATGAGATGGAAAAACAATCCAGCAATATTGGTATAATACGATTATTTTTTTCTCTGTAATTTGCTATGTTTATTTTAAGGTTATTATCTTGCTGTTGTAATTTTAATTGCTATTTTAAAAGGTTTACTTGGAGGAGGGGTAACTGTTGACACTTCTTGCTGCATTTGGTACACCTAGAAATCTGCATGCTTTTATGAAATTTTATGCAGGGTTGCTTTTTTTATATGCTGTATGCCAGAGTATACCGGTCCTATGAAACCAAGATTTTATATATGTCTGTGTCTACAGAAACGAAGCTGTTTGTCTTACATTTGTCCCGAGGTTATTTCCTGCTATAACTGTACTGAACGCAGGTTGCTTTTATGGGGAGGGAGGAACATACGCAGTAGCAGAAATTGATCTGTGCTTGATTCCTTTATCATAGGATTTCTGTATTTCAAGTATTAATTTAATAGTACATCTTATTTAAGACATTTTAGATGAAAGAAATGAGTGATTTTGTTCACCATTTTCAGAATATGACTATATTCTTATGTTAATTGAATTGATATTTGTTTTTAGTTTAATCATTCAAATATGTGCTACAAAAACTGTTCTTTACATTGCCTACTAGGTGATTTAGCCACTGTGTGTGTGTGTGTGTGTGAATCTATTATTTTCTTTTAGGGCCGTTGTCACCTCCTTTTTGAGTTTAATTTGTGGTGGTATTTCTACAAACTAGCAAGGATGTGTTGACATGACATAGCATGTTCAGAGGTAGAAAGGAGGAAGCATTCTCAATTCGTGTTCTTGGTTTCAGCAGTTTCTGTGAGAGACAGATCTGTACCCCAAGCCAATCATTCGTTTTACTCTCATGGTCAGTAAGCTCACAACCAGGGGGAAAACATTCCATCTTCTGCCATAATACCTGTATTATGTAAGTGGCTGTGCATCAATTTTCATTATCTTTTTCTTTCACTTGAGAAAATCGTCTTAAGAAGCGACTTTGTAAAAAGCTCATGGATGTTCAGTCTCAGTATTGGTATTCAGAGTTGTCCCTACCACCCTGCCTGGTTGTTGTTTTGTACTATTAAAAATGAGGAGATGAGGCAAAGAGGCACTGAAATAGCAGCAGAACTGCAATTTCTATATATACCTTCAGCAGCAGTGGGACAATCCACCTACCTTTTATTACAGAAACTTCAGTCTTAGAGAGAGAATCATTCCATCCAGCTACCTTACCAAAACATGGTAGTAATAATATGGTAATGGTTGCTGTGGTTGCTGGTGATGTGTGTCTTTTCCAAGATCTAAAGTGAAGTATGGCTATGCATCTGTACTCTTGGCTCGTATGGGGTGTAGTCATAGTATGGAGCTGTCAGTAATAACATTAGTTTGGCCAGCATCTGCTGTATGTGCAAACACACATGCCTGTTGGAAAGGATCTTACAATTTCATGTCAGATCAGCAAAAAGCTATTATCCCATACATGAGGGAATACACTAGTGCTGCTGAGAACAGCAAACACCACAGTTCTGTGTCCGTTGTTTGCAATGCCTATTCTCTGATTCGTTATAATGGCTGTGGGATGTTTTTCACGTTGTTGGAAAGTATGGGAAGAGCTTGTTACTCTCTCCCGCCTGTAAATAGGTGTTACCTAACTGCCCCCATGAGCATTTTGAGGTCTTACGATTGAAATGCAGCATTGAGTTTTCACATACTTCGAAGTTCTGCTTTTCAATTTGTTTGAATTATGATAGGATGACTGCAAGCAAAAACTCAGGTTAAGAACAGAAGATGTTTTTGTAAAAGGAATTTTATGTAGTTTTAGTAAACAGATGTGGAACAAGAATTCTTTGTCTACTGTTTTGTTACCAAACTCCGCTTTTCAGCCTTATTGGCAACGACTTACTCTGTTTCCTCAATCTCATACAGAATGCTGCTGATAATGTTAAATGAATACAAATCAGCTCTTTTAATACTTGACTTTCTAATATTTGATAAGGTTAATGGATTCTCCTCACTTCTCTTGGATGAATGTATTTTGCTTCTTTCACATGTCTCAGACTAAGTGATTTCCCAAGGTCATGCAAATGTTCAGTAACAAATGTAGATTCAGATTTTTCAGCTGTCCTACCACCATAGGACTCAGAGCTTTTATATGTTGGCAAAAGAGGCTGAAGTCTACCCCATCGTCAGCATTGTGCATAGACTTCACATGTACAATTGCTATTAAGGTTTATTACTTCTAATGTATCGGCAAGAGCTGACATCAAGGCTCTCTTAGGATAAGTAGCGCATAAGTATTCAAAGGCAGTCCTTGCCATGAAGACCTTGCAACCTAAGTGCATGAAAGCACAGAGGTGATGTAAGTGCTCCAGAATCGGAGGGGTCTTCTGTCTCAGATCGGTAGTTCAGTTACTGATTTAGTACTTTAACTACTGCGTATATATTGGAAAATATAGAACATAACCTTGAATCCTCATTTATGGAAAGCCTTCCCCATGTTTTTATTAAAAACATGGGAGCTTTTTCTAAAATAGACTCTTCAGATTTCATTTTATATTCAGAAAGGGATGATTCTTTAGTTAACCAGACCACCTTTAACCTCTAAGTTTGTCCCCCAGCGGTTGGTGTCAGTAGAAACAACCAAACAGCCTGGGTATGAAACAGCCACAGGAGCCTTACAGGGCATTAGTAAAATGTCAATTCAAACCTGTTTCAGGTGCATATGAAACTAGGTGTCCCAGTCCTGTTTCCTGGGCATTGATTACTGTTCATCCAAGAGAAACAAATACAAATCACAGACTGTTGGCATCTTAGCAGTCAAGCCAAGGACAAATGGAACTTGGAGCTGCCTATTGTTGTGATTTGTTTCTGTAGGTCTCAAATAGACACAAGCCATTTAGCAGATGGCAATGACAAAGTTTTTACTTTGACTGCACCGTGCAATAACAGATAATTGAATAGAAGATGCTCCTCTTCAGTTATTCTCATCAGCATTATGTATACATAAACAAATTCTGTTTTCCTCAGGTGAGTGGAAAAGAGTCAGTAATATTTTAAATAATCAGGAATTTTAAGGCTTTGTGTAGTCAAGATTTTGTGCTGCTTCTTAAGAAAGTGAAAATGGATGTTACATCTAAAGGTGTTCCAGAAGACATGTAGGTTTTAGCTGCTTAATTGTTTCATCTGTTTTGTTGGCCAATCTAGCATACAGAGTCGAAGTTGTTGCTGTAGAAATGGCTGCTTCAAACAAATGCTTATGGTCCTAGATAGAGATTTCAAATAAATTCAAATGTAGCAAAGGGCAAATGCTCATCTGACCTTGTATTTGTAATGATTTTATAAACAACGTGACATTTCCAGAGCATTCCCTTTGATATTATATTTTTCTTTTCTTTTGACCTTCAAGGACTCTTTAGAGTTTTGACATCTTTGCTTCTTTTAAAAAGCGTAATAAATTTATTTTAATACATCATTTAATACATTAGTAAGATATATTAACATATTTTTCAAGACTTAAATATTTAATTTTCTGATGCGTGTATAATGTGGTGTTTAGAAATAAAATGTCAAGTAAATATCATATATCTCCTTCGCACATAATAAATCTTTAATGTTAAGAATTTCTAATGATGATGTGCAGATAGGTACAATGTATATTCCTTTCTTCCATAGGGTTAGTAGGTCTTCAATGCTGTTGTGGTTCATGCTAAGAATAGATATTATTTAGATAGTGTGTGTGTGTATAAATTTTTGGCAAACAGTCAGGAAACAAGCCTCTTGGAGGGACTGTAGAGTTTTTCACAGGTTAGTCACTTTTCTGGTCACAGTCACGCTCCATGTATAGAAGTAGTAACCTAATGGAAAAGCTGCGTCCAAGAGAGAATTGGATGATCAAGTTCTTTCCTTGATACTTTCAGAGACTTTCACTGTAATCTCAGTAATTCCAGTAACTCTTTCGAGGTAGAAGATTTTTAATCTGTAAGAAGAGAAAAAATGTTTTACATTTTTTACATTACAAAAAATGTTTTACATTTCTGTAAAAACTCTTTGAAGTACTCACATGAAAAACATCCTATAATACTGGTTATAAATTTATAAAACAGTAACACCCCCTTCTCCCTCCAATTTCCTTTTTGGAAGATCTTCAGCAAAATGACAAGTGACAGTATTTTTTAAATTCCTTTTGCCTTCTTTCTGGTGATGGAATTTTCTGCTTCACCATGTCAACTTTTAGGAATGCTGGCATTTCTGATACTTACAGGACTGCAGCCTGCTGTGACACACACGTACTCAGCTACTTTACCATCATGAGTATTTTGTGTAATGCACCCTTACTGAACAAAACAATCCCCTGAATGTTGTCTGTGTTTCTTCAGTAAGATGACTTGTTTTGTTACAAATGCTTGGTATTTTTTTCTGGTTTAAATTCATTATCAACATTTCTAACAGCAGAGAGATAGATGCTGTGCATGAAGAGTACCAGCAGAAACTGAGAGACCAGGAAGCTTTCCACAGGAAACAAATTCAACGGCAGCAACTCTATGTTGAGGATTTAAAGCAGCAGATCCTCAGAGGACAGATCAAAGCAGAGCAGGAACTAGAAAATGACCAAGCACTCATCAACCAGCAGATCCAAGAAAGTAGGTACCCGCCTCCTGCCCTCTCTCACTTCCCTTCCATTACTGAATTCTTTCATCCTCTTCATGTTTTGTTGTTTGTTTTTTTTTTGTCTTAGTTATGCTTTGTGTTATGGGTGGAAGTTTATTTTTACAGCTTATTACTAGTTTTCTCCTATTATTGCCTTTCCCTTGAGAACAATTATCAAGCTTTGATTAACAGGACTAACAGGGCTCCTTTGCAGTGCCCCAGCAGCAGTAATTATCTTTGCAGGTCACTGCTGGGAGAGACAGCACCAACACGTTGTTCCTGCTGTGGCACTGAGCCTCTCATCTCCCCAGCTGCTCCCCATCCTGCTTCCCTGCAGTTTTGCTCTGATTGTATCTGTAGTGCAACTCTCCCATGTGAGACTCATAGACTGAGTTTTCCATTGTATTTCACAGTTTTCTTTTGATTTATCTGTGCTTCATCCATTGCATTGTTCCAAGAGACTGAAATTCAGATGGCCATGGTAGTTCTATAAGTTTTCAAGGGAAACTGCTCTAACAACAGCATGACATAGGAACCTAGCAGCACTTCTGAGAGAGCTGATGCCTTGGAACTGCAACATGTGTTGGTTAACGTGCTCTGTCTATGCGTTTGTTGATGATCTCACCAGTAGCACAGTGCAGACCTTATTCATGTGCTTTTAGGGAAGGCCCATGGCATAGAACCATGCTTCAAACTGTGGTTGCTTTGTGAGTTTTAAGCAGTGCTCATCTGAGAAGTAGGTGGGACACTAAAGTTCACTTCATGCTTAGTTCTCAGCAGAAGATTTTGAAACACATTATAATTCATTTCAGATTAAAGCTTTATGGTGTTTTGTCTGCTTGCATTTTCCAGATGGAAGTGTAATGAAGTGAGAAAGTTCTAGTTTTTGTTGAGATTTTAACTTCAACAGGAACTCTACAGTGATCAGTGTTATATTGCATATACATCCTATAGGCCAGATTCAGCAGAGAAACTGTTGTCTTCCTAAACTGAAAGTAATTGGATAAAATACTGGTGATACTGGTCTGGCACAAACTTCAGCTCTACGCTAACTATGCCATGAAAAGCCTATTTGGAGAAGTGTTTGCTAGCATCAGTGGCTTCCATCCCCGAGAGATGCTGCTTTGCATGCAGATATATTCAGCAAGGTTTTTCTTGGTGACTGCCTGTTAAAGATTTTGTAGACTGATTTGGCAACATTTTAAACCTTGAGAAGCTCTTGACCACTGAATAGGGTTGCTATTGTGTTCTTCTAGTTACCTTCTAATGAATGATTTGGTCCAAGTTTCTTGATAAGGAACAACAGAGAGAGAACACCATTTCCATTTGGCAAGGCCTGCTATTGGTTCCTGGAAGAGGAATGATTTTTGAATTTTTTGAGGTTTCTCAGAGCCAAACTTACACAGTCTGCCATCTTTCAATTACACCACCCATAAATAAAAGATTAAAGAGAAAATTGTGGAAGTAGGAAGTAGGTGGGCTTAAGGTATGTAGACAGTACAGAGTTTCTCCAAAATATCTTAATTTCTCAAATCTAGACTTGTTCTCTGCTCCAATCTACTTTCACTGTTTATCTGTGTTCATGCAAAGCTTAGCCAGACGGGCAGTTTTTGCCAGCCAAATACAATTCTTCACTTGGCAGCCCACCAAAGCCTTTTCTGCATTATCTTTTTCTCAGCTCCTGACAGAGGCAAGTTAGTGAGTAGACGTTAATTAGCATCTTAGGGCTTGCAGCTCTATTACAGGGACACTCTCATCTGCCAAATATTCTCCTTGGTAGAAACACACTGCAAAGGACAGATCTGGAAATTAAGAGTTGGGAAAACTGTTTTGTATGTAAAAGTTAAAGATGCTATTAAGAAAAAAATAACTAAAACTATGACTAAAATGCTTTCCTTTTATTCATAGAGGAACTGTACTTACCTGTAGTTTCCATACTTCTACGCATGTACTGTGTGCATAGCTGCCAACATAAACTGAACAGGAGAATCACAGAGGTGGGGATCACTAATGAATTATGTTTAACAAGATCTGTAGTCACCAAGCAAGTAATGCTCACAATGCTTATGGATAACGATGGCTACATTTCTTAAATTAGGGAAACTTCCACAGCCCAAAATTCCCCTCTTGCCACTCACCTGTCTTACAAAGAGCTACAGATAGCCCTCATTCACCATATCAAAGTTAAATAACTCTGATTTCCTAACCCCATGAATGAGCAACTAAAGGTAGTTCTTCAGTAAGAGGCTGCAGATTGAAGATAAACCCATCCAAAAAAAGTGTTGCTGCTAGGAAGCTAGAAGTGCTTTGAAAAGCTTCTGTCCTTTGAGAAATGGTCTACTTACGAAGGAACTTTACCTGTGATTTGTATGTTGCTTTTTCAGCTAAGGATTTTATTTTAGTTTTTTGGTTAACTGTGCAGCTGAATATGTATATTTTCATACTAGCCTAAAAATGAACAAACTCTTTAAGAGAACATGCCTAAATGCTGAAAAACCACTAAGCACTTCCCCTGCATGGAGTAAAGTGGTCTTGCTTCAAGAGTTAAAAACAAATCAACGTGGTATTCTGTGTCCTCTACTGCCTCCCCATTGACTGCAAAGATCAGGTTCTCTGAATACTTAGAAAAGATGAATAATTTAAGCAGATGTAAAATACTCTGTTATCAAATGAGGCTAATCAATTGGTTTGTGAGAGAAGCATGTTTAGCATTTATGAAATATGGGGGACATTCATTAAAAGAGAGAATATAACTCCCTTTATGGAGTAGACTGGAGATTTTTTGAGAAATACATGTATGCATTGACTGGTGATATGCCTTTTTTGGGTGTGTTCATCTTATAACTAAAGATTGCATTGCCTTCACCCATGTCCTTGCCACAGGAATTTCTCATTGATTTCAAGTACATTGCATGCTAATGTGCTCATGTGCGAGATGTATGGGCTCTGATCAGGCATTTTTGCAAGTGCTTCTGAAGCAGCTGTAGTTGTTCCCGTGTTAACTCCTCTCACAGTGCACATATGTTCATTCCCTATGTAAGGCATTTGAACTTTAAAATGTGACTTCAGAGTAGTTAAGGCAAAAGTAGTAGTGTATTTCACATTATAAAAGCTGATCAAGTCATAGTTCACTACTGCAGATACCTTCCTCATGACTGAAAATTGTGCAGGAAGAAACTTGGGCACTGAAATATGTCCTCTGTATTGTAAGAAAAAACATTGAGATAATTGAGTGTAATCTCTGAGAAATTGAATATCTAAGTCTCTATCCTTTTGGAAAGTGTTAAACTTTTTGCTTACAGACAAGGTCTTATTCACCAGTTTCTTAGCTGTGTCAGCCAAACCCCCTGTTCATATCTTGCAGTATTAGTTGCTACCTGAGCGTTTCTCCCAATGGGTTTTCAGTACACTAATGATACATTTTTCTCTAAATGTCTTGTCAAGGCTTTGCTCTACATATGTAGGAATTCTGTTCTGAAATGGCTCTCATGGACAATTAACTTAATGAATAATTTTTCTCCTATGATTTTTACTTTCTTTCAATCATTGTTTTGTTTACAGACCAACAGTGGCTTATAAATGAGAATAACCGACTAGCTGCCCTTCAGCAACAACAGAGGGAGTTTGCAGTGCAAACAGAATCTACACTGTATGCAGAGGCTGAGGTGCAGAGTAGCATTGGGCAGGAAATCTGTCCTTCCCTGCTGCAGCAGAACAAGAAAACACTGGTGCAGCTGGAGCTCTTGAGAAGGTACTCCTTAAAAAAGGCAGAAAGAAACATTAGACGGAAAAAGGTCAAATTCCAGCTGGAAAGGATAGTCAAGAAGCAGAAATTATTGGAAGCCAAACAAAATCTAGAGCAGCTAGAAGCTAGCTGCTGGCTCAGTGAAGTGTGTGTGAAACAACCCCGAGTCCTAAACCAAAATATTGCAGTACAGGCCTCTCGGGATCACCCGTTACAAAAGAGGAGGAGGTCATTGGGTTCAAGTTCCTTGCAACACAGGCAGCATTCGTTCTGTAACTTCCATCTGCCCCGGGTACCCAGGTAAGTTAACATCTACCAATTCCTCTGCACTCTCAAAAATAATTTAAATTAAGGTATTTTCACTGGCCACCTGTAATCCAGAATGCCTTTCAGTTTATTGATACAATGCTAAAACTTGTAATATCACTGAATATACTATACTGTATGCCACACTGGAGTTGTTTGTTCTTTTTCCTTAGATTTGTACAGTGCATTCATGGCTTACCTCTCTGACACAGTCTTTCTCAGTGTTTTGTTTCTTTCCTCTCTCAAGCTTTTCTGCATTTTTTACCTCATTGTAAATGTTTTCCAGAAGTGAGTTAATTTTTTGTTCTTACCTTGTTCAAATTACTGTTAAATAATAATTTCTCCATTATTTTATTGTAATTAGAGTCAAAGTATTCCTTCTGAGCATTTTTATCATTAGGGTGATTCTCAAGCTAAATGAACATCTCTACACAATGCTAAAAATTGGGGTGACAGTGTCATTATCACGGCATAGTCCCAGAAGCAGGAATTAGCTTAACTCTGCTAAGTGAATTACTATGACTTAAGAGCTATCCTTTACTTTTAACTAACATTTGCAGCTACTTTAGACTATAGAGACTAAATACCAAGCTATACAACACAGCATCAAGTTATTCTTTTGCTTTATAGAAATTATTTCAGGATATCTACGGGACTGGATTGTATGGTCACTGACAGAATATGCATTTTTTTAATTCTCTCTAGAAACTGAGTTTGAAAGGCATTGAGGTTCTTGCTTCATGTGTCATTACTCTTAAAATGCAAGGTGTTACTGATGTCGAAATGTAAAGTATGTTATTCAAGCAAGTATTGGCCTATATTTCTTATTTATTCCCACAGCTGTTTGTTGAAGGGGGAGACTATCTCAAAGTTATCTACCTCACCAAATACCGACCAATGCTGTGAAGGCAATACATCTGAGAAGTTGTCATCTGTAGAACATCCTTTCAGAAAAGTTAAAGATGTTTCCAGGGATGATGACCTTAATGATGAAAAAGGTACCTCCTTTTTAGTACAGAAGCAGCTAACTGAAAAACAAAAAGCATCCTCATTTAGAAGTAAAAAAGGAGCAGAAAGGGACTCTAATGATTCAGCTATCATGGCTCATATCAATAAAAATGATCAAAAAATGGAAAAGCTGAATGATAGCACAGGGCAAGCTGGATGTCAAAATCAGACTTCTAAGGGCTCTTCTCCCGATCATTTTAAGGAGAAAGATGAACCTCAAACCTTCATTACAGTGACAAGAATGACAAAAGCGAAGGTGCCGGGAGATTTGAGTCAGCCTGCAAATAGCTATCTAGAACAAAACAGAGCTCAGGTATCCAATAAAAAGACTAGAATGGATATCAACGGGAAGGGCCATAATTCTCCAGAAAATTTTGCTAAAGAAATGAAGAAAGACGTAGTGTACGGAAACCTGCCATCAGCACATCTAAACCAAACAGCCAAGAATCTGAAGAGAGAACCAACCTCAGCCTTGCGAAATCATGAGAAATCGTCAGTGGAACAGCAGGAATTTCTGATGGTAGCAACATCAGTTGGAAATCTCACTAAGATAAACACACAGACACCACTTTCTTATGCTGAAAAGAAATGGCACAGTGCTGAGCTGTTAAGTGCTGGAGTGTCCAAAACAGCCACAGATATGCTGGGGAACTGGCAAGAAGATGATGAAAATGAGATTTCTGATACTGACAGTTCCTATTCTGTAGATTCGCTCTCCTGTGCTTATGCAAAAGCTTTTGCAGAGAAACTGAAACAAGAAGATTTCAGCAGAAATAAATGTTTTGCCAACCCAGAAGATTCTGAGAGCGATGACAGTCAAATGTCACAAGACTCTCTGGTAGAAAAGGAAAATAAAGTCAAAATGCGAAATAAAAGCCAGTTTCACAAGTTAAAGGCTCCCCATCAGCCAGCTAGGCTTTACAAAAGCAGAACTGAACACCATCTTTCATCTCTGGTGACATCCTACGCATCACACAGGAGGCTGGGAAGGGCCGAAAGAAGCTTTTCTCTGGACAGCTTGGGTGATGGAGAAGAGGTACCAGCAGAAGACCCAGTAGAAGAATCCAAATCTGATTCATCTGATGAAGTGCCAGCAGAGATTTTTTGGAAGTTACAAACTCCAACATCACCAACTATACAGACTGAGGAAGACTGTGAGTCCAGAAACTGTGATAGAGATACAGAAGGAACAAGGTACAACCTAAAGCTGAGTAGTTCCTTCTACTTGGACACTAAATCACAGCCTGCTTCCAGTAATGCTTGCAAGCAGTTTCTGAAGGAGGCAACAGTCTCTTTTGTACAACAAGAAAGGTCAATTGATAGGCAGCTATATTATGGTCTTCCTGTGGCTGCTCAGTCTTCCTGTGACTCAAAGGTTGAAATTGGCAGCCCCAGAATAACAGTACCTTCTTCCCATGGAAATCTGGAATTTCAAAACGCTCATCTCTACTCTTTGAGCAAACCAGAGGGTTGGCTGAAGAAAGATGACCTAAAACAGTCAGCTGCTGAATTTTCTTTTGTTTCTGGCTCTAAGCAGATACACAGCATTACTCATTTATCACATAGTATAAATGAATTAAACTCATCTTTCTCCTCTGACACATCAGAAATACCTTTACCTGAAACAACAGCTGCAAGCAGAGTTTCTGAGAATGGATCATTAAATAGGATTACTGAGGAATGGACAAATGCTAATGAAAATTCTCCTTTGGAATCTCAAGACATAACATCCTCATTTGTTAGTTCAGTAGGACCAAGCTCTTCGTTTGTTTGCATTTCAGCAAAACCTGATTATTATGAACATTCAACGTCAAATCATCCTGAACAAGAACAACTGAATGAATTATCTTCTTACAGGTCTACCACTGAATGCACACAAACATTTGGCTGTTTGGAAAGCACCTCCACTGCAGACTGCTTGTCACTGGTACCTGGAAAAGAAGAGGATTCTCTCCCTACAACTCATCCAGAGCTGCCAAAAGATCACAATCTGGAAAAAGCACCTTTTATTTCTGTGTTGCCTGTGCATGTTTTGGAGCAGAGGAATGGCTGTGTAGATTCAGATTTAGAAGATGATTTCTTCAGAACTATTGAAAAAGATGACCTAGATGATGACTACAATAACTTGACAGAATCAAAGATAACAGATTTGAACACTGGAAGTGCATCTGTCAATTCACCTGCTGCTGAATCTTCCACAGGACTTACTTATAACATGGCCTCAACACAGAGTTCTGCAGTAGAACAAGTTCAGTTTGGAAACCATGTGCAGCTTTTTCCAAGAAGGGAAATACCAACATGTTGTGATGAAGGTTTCTTTCTCAGTAACTTAACAAATCAGAACTGCTCTCTAGGAAGCGTTTATGAGCTTCAGGTATTGGCTAGACAAGGAGCCGAGTCAGCTGTTACGCTAGGTCTTAGGTCTGGGGAGAGTAATTTGGAAACAATGCAAGATACAGATTATGAACAAATACCTGCAGAAGAAATAACCATAGACACAGATTTTTCCTCAAAGAAGGTAACATATAAATGTAACCCTTTAGTTCTAGCTTACAGTGCAAGTTATGACCAATCTGCAACACCAGTAGAGTTGTCTCAAAAAGAGAAAATCTGTATGGAAACAAGCATGGATAGCTTGGCAGAGATTGTGTCAGAAGCACCTTCATTCAGAGATGATGAAGAATATGAACCAAAGGATCCGGAGTTGTCTTCATCGAATCATTACGAATTCAAAAGCAAACCTGTTTCAAAAAATTACTCCCCTGAATGTGTGCTAGCAGATGGTCCTGTAGGCTGCTTATCCCAACATATTTCAGAAAATTCTACATTGTGCACTGACAATATAAGAGCAGAAAGCAGTGAAAGCGATTCTCAGGTTGTAGTTCAGAAGGACTTTCTACCCAAATATAAAAACCTAATGGTAAATGAAGCAAGTTACCTCACGGTGAATGTAAATGGGAAGGACACTGAGTCCTTCCCTGCTGCTGTTTGTGAGAGTACAAATAATTTGCTCCCAGAATCCAATTCAAGTGTATTTTACCAAGCTTCACCAAAAGTTAATCTTTTTCAAAGTGCTTCTGAGACTGAAAGTTGTGATAAATTATTGGAGCATGCCACAATAGTGAAAGGAGATGGTGATGCTACACCTAATCATACTATGGAAGTCGGTACCACAAAAAGTTGTTCTGACATAGATTCCAATGACCTTTGTACCACATGTTCTTCAAAATCACCAGGGGAAAAAAACAGTATGTATAAGCTGACTGACATTTCTGTGGAATTTGATGCAACTATTCAATTGGAAACAAAAACAAAGAATAAATCTTCACTTGAATCAAGAGTAGAGAAAGAAGCCTGTTTTGAAAGTGATTGCCCAGAGGACATTTTACTTGTTGAAGATCATGTAAACTCAGAATTCGGAGTATTTGAATACAACACAAATAAGTTGGCTACTGTTTCTCAAGAGGAGAGTCTGTATATAAACAAAGAATACAAGTTTTTAAGAAAAACAAAAACTGATCCAGAAGAAGCTATGTTTCCTTATCAGAATGCAAAAGCCAACACTGATGAAGAAGAGACAAAGTTGATGAATAGTGCAGTCAACTTAGAAAAAAACATGTTGGAAATTAAATCTGGACAGGTAGAAAGTTTACCTGACTACCCAGTACCCAAAGCCCAAAGTGTAACTGCAGATAGGAGTGCAGAGAATAAACCTATTGATATTGTAGCTTCTGAAGTTCAGTGTGAGGTTTATACAAACCTGTGCCTGACACATGAAGAGGCAGAGAAAGATGAATCACAGGTAGGTAGCACTGATGTGGAACACACTCAGGAATCAAAAGCATTCATGTGTTCTGATAGCTGTCTGAAAACAAACAGCTTTTGTCCAAAAAAGAAAAGTGAGAAAATAGAAATTGCTATTTATTCACCGGAGCTTTCTGTTTCTCCCCAAAACGCTCCTTCAGCTGTGTGTTCCCACACAACAGATGTTACACAGGATACGTTAGGCTTCCTTGATGCTTGTGAAGGGCTTTTACAGATAAACAGAACGACAGAAAATGTGTTTGATATGGAGGACGTAGCTGCAACAGTACTAATCACAGGTAGGCAAGGAAATAGTTTAGAAAAAAATGAAAAGCAAGTAGAGTCTAGCAATTTACCTGAACATTTTATACCAAATTGCTTACCCCATGCAAACTTTGACCAGGAAAACAAGGTTAGTGGATGTGAAGTGACTGAGAGTGAAGAACAAATTATCATGACAAACACTGAGGGACCAACTATGAAGCACAAAGTCATATGCGCAGACAAAAATGTTTTATTTCCTGAAGAGTCTTCAGCTCTGCATCAGATGAATTGTGATAGAGATGATGAAGAAGAAATTTTAAATCAGTATGAGATCCCTGAAAGATACCTTACAGCTTCAGGACTAGAAGACAATGTACCGTCAGTAGATGATTCACAGTACTGTGATCCTACTGAAATGAGGGAAGATGGTGGCTCAGCGGACCCTGCTACAGATGCAAGAAACACGGTGATGACAGATACTGATGTATATGAGTGTTCAGTTGATGATAATATTAATATTGACAAATATACAATTGGGCAAGAATCTAAACGTCTCCGCTTTAAAGAGGACAGCCACACATATATGAGTTGCTCTGTGCAATATCCTGAGCATGGCACTTCAGAAAAATTGAATGAAAGTATCATTATAAAACGTGAAATTTGTGGATTGGATTCCATAGGCTCCAGACTTGGTGATGAGAAAGTGCATTTGATGAATCTAGAACAAATGGACAAAACAGACAGAGAAAGGCAGATGTTTTTAGAAAACACAGAGGAGGTAGAACTGATCATTCTACAAAACCTCAGTGAACTATTCCCTGAAAACAAAGATGGTTGCCATGATGACAGCAGATTAGATGAAATCTTAAGAGAAAGCCAGTGGGTGTCTACCAGCTTTTCTGGAAGCAATGAAGATACCAGCAAGCAGCAAAATCCACCAGCAACACTGAAGTCTACTGAAAACATCCATGAAGATTCAGATAAAGACTCTCTGTGCCAGTCTGTAAATCAACTTTTCTATCTTGGAGTAATTGATAATTCTCATGTTGTTCCAGATGATCCCACTACTTTGGAAGGGCATACAAAACCATCTAATAGCTGTGCTGGAACGGGAGCGGTTCTTCCTTACTATGAAACACTAGTGGAGAATGAAGTCTGTGTCAGTACTCCAGGTAAAACAGTCAACAAAGAGGGAGCTGACGCATCTCTTTCTGATAAAATTCAAAGTAGAAACGAAGCTTTCCCACAAAACAAGACTGCTCTGGACAGACAGGAGGAAGAACCCGTTGTATGTAACAATATACCCAATTCTGCACCTGGGCAACCTGTCAGTGAGAACAGCTCTTCTGTGCTCTATTGTGTGGGCGGCGATGAATCTGAAACTGTTGCACTTAAGCAAGGAGCAGAAGAAAATCCATTTTCTGTGGAAAAAATTGATTCATCTGAAGATAAAATTCAGGATAATAGCAACTCCAATGAAGAACCCAGTGTGGATTTAATGGTTAACAACATATCAAAAGACTGCTTTAATTCCATAGAAGAACGATTTCAAGAGGAAAAGGATACCATCATGCCTGATTCACTGCACTTGGATAATTCAAACCTGCTTTCTTTTTCAGAGAAAGAAGTGATGGAAGATGTAGGGGAAAAAGCAAAGCATTCTACACAGGAAATCTCTTCTCAAAAAATATTTCACAGCATTAATATGACTGAGAAAGAACTTCACTCAGGGAGTCCATCACAACATGATGACAAGGAGAAATGCTTAAACACAAGTTGTAGTATAACAAGCAGTAAAAATGATAATGCAGGGTTTCCTGGTATATCTGGGTATCAGCATGAGCCAAGAGAAAATCAGGGACACAGGACTTCAGAAAAGTGCTGTGTAGACTGTCCAGAGAGTGCCATTTCTGAGAACATTTCTACCCTTTCAGAAAGTCTGAAAAACTCTCTGTGGGAAAATCCACATTCTAATAAAGAGCTTCTAAATTACAAGAGCAGCCCTGGTCTCATGCATAGCCCAGTATCATTTGCAGAATTTTTGATTGACAGCAATGGAGACAAATGTAAAAATGATGCTGTTCTCTCTGAAGAAACGAAATACTTTGAAAGAGAGTCAACTGATTTAAGCGTATCTGTAACTTTTCCTGATGTTCCTCAAAAAGGAGATGAAAGGAATAATTCTGCAGTAACAGAGGCCACAGATGCTCAGAATAAAAAACTCCCTGACGAAGCTGTGGGAACAGATCAAAATGGGAAAATAATTCAAGGTTCTTTCCAGAATTGCAATGATACTAAAGAAAACAAAATGCACGAGTACTTAGAGCACTACAGTAACACTTCTAGTATGACTGTACCAGAATCGGGCATGCTTGCTGTTCAAAGCCTACGGGAGATTGGCAGTAAAGAATCAAAGTGTCTTCCAGCCTACTTTGCAGAAGATGCTCCAACAGATAAACTGTTTCAAAGCTGTAAAAATTTCAGCGCTTTCAATACTTGTTTACTTGATGACTCAAAATCTCTAATATTTAGTCATCTTGAGGACTCACTTCAGGACCCCATTTTGACAGAGCAAGTATCCTCAGGTTCTGCAGATGTGCAGTCTGTAAAAGAAGATCTTCCCCAAACATGTGCAGAAGTTAATTACCCGTCCTTAACAGCATTTTCAGAATCTTCTTCAGCTGCAGATATAGACCATGGTGTAACTGGCACATGTGGTATTTCACATACCAGTATATTAAAGCACCCTCCATTTGCTGTTTTACAAATGCAAGACACTCAGTCTGATAAGTCTGTGGTATTTGATGAACCAGTACATGCTTCAGGAAGTATTTTACTTTCTCTTGCAAAAGAAAACAGGCATTATCCAGTATCAGACACAGACCCTACTTTGTATGAAAATTCCACTGTAGATGTGGAACCTGTATATGGAAGTAATTGTCAACAATTTGACAATGATATCAAAGTTGATCAGCACCACTGGGGTAAAGTTCTAGCGCAGAAAGCTTGTACAGAACACACAAATAAAGTTTCAGATGACGCTGATTCTCTGTCATTACCATCATTACCTCTTTGGGATACTGGAAGGTCAATTCTGGTTGAAGAGGGACAAATGAGAAAAATACTTAACAGAAATGAGGAACAACTGCATTCAAGTACTGAGGCTAAACAATCTGTAGTAGAGAAAAAGCAAAGGAAAACAGTAAATAGAGAAGCTGAAAAGCAAACTGCAGTATCTTCAGATTCTACAAGTGAATTAATAGACCCACAAGATGTAACGGATACAGATTTTCCAGGAGATGTTAACGTGGATCCTGAACACACGTGCGATTCATTTGGTCCAGCAAAGAGCAGAAGCAGTGATCCCAGACAACTGTATCACACTGTTTTAGGTTTTGAAAAAAGTCCTGCAGATCTGCAAGGCAACTGTCATTATGTGCCTACAGGTGGTGCTAATCCAGGTCAAACAAATACAGATGCTAGAAAATGGATTGTACTTTGCAAAAATAATGCAGGTTCAAGTATTGATGCTGATGCAGACAGTTGTTCAACAACAGGAGGTGATACAATGAAGAATGAGACTCTGAAATCAGAAAGACTGAAGTTTTATTTAATGAATAATGAAACAAACTCCTTAAAATTTTTAACAGAAGACCATGATTTGCCTACGCAAGAATCCAAATTGGTACAATTCAGGAGCAAAAGGTCATGGTCTGCTATCCAGAATACAAACAGCTGTACACGAAGTGAACAGAGACCTTACCTACAAAGTCATAGACTATCAGCCCCAGCTATTGCTGTGTTCTCTGATCTAGATTATACTTCTGAAGCTTCATCTAAGGTAGATCCTTTGTTATATTCTGCATCTAAATCATTACAAGATTTAAATATGAGTGTAGAGCCTCCATCACCAACTGAAGATGATCTTCATGGAGTTGAAAGATTTTCAAAGCAGGAATCAAAGAACTTTCTGCAGGTTAAATCTAAACCCAGATTTCAGCAAAGAATGACACAGACTAAGAAGCTTGCAAACTGCGATCTAAAAAATGTACATTATGCAGCAAGAACCCAAAGCAGCCAGTCTTCAAAAGACAGGACTGTTCATTCTCCATCTTTACTGCACACAGCTCACAGCGCTGTGGGTGCAGAAGAAAATACCCATTCAAAGAGCAGTTCTGTAGCTCAGTGTAGTGAAGGGAGAGCTGAAGAAGCTGGATACCAGCCAGGAACAGATAAGTTTTCACAAGACAATAAAGATGCAATGCATTTTAATTCAAGTGATATCAACCCATATATTCATCCGTGGCAACAAGATGAATTGTGCAAGATTGGTTGGAAGCAGTATGTTTTTGGAAGTGCAAGTGATGTGTCTTGCAATCAAATGCCTTTAAACCTGGACAGTCGTAAAGTTACGAGATGTTCCAGTGTGGACAATGGACTGAATTCTCAGAATTCTCCTTTTCATTCTCATCTCAGTTCATATGCTACTGCAAAAGTTTTGTCGAGCACTTTAAGCAGCATTGAAGGCCTTCAAGGATGGGATGTCAGACAAGGCTTCGAATCTGCTTACTCAAGTGACAATACCAAGCAGTATAGCAATGTATCCATTGAAACACCGAAAACTAACACAGAAAATAACACTGCTGAATTTGAGAATCCTTCAGTGCAGCCTGGTAACTCTGCAATGCAGGTTGATGAAATTGTACTGTTATATCCTTCTGAGTCAGAAAGGTCTTCTAAAAAATCACCAGGGATTACATGTGAGCAGGGAACACAAACAGTGGCTACAGCAAGGTATAAAAGGCAGAGAAGACACCAGAGAAGCTACACAGACATTTCTGCCAGAAAGCAGGAAACAAACAGAGATTTACTTCAGCAACATTCTTCTTGGACAAGCATGCAGAACCTCTCCATGCACCTGTCACAGCTTATCCAGAACACTTCTGAGCTATTGGGAAACCTCTCCCAACAAAATATTATAGATAATGAACAAAATGCCAAAATAAGCCAAAGAAAAACTGAAGAAGGTGCAAAAGCTGCTAGATCGGATAGCTGCACTCAAACTACAGCAGATATAGGCACTCAAACTGAGACTTTGGAAGAACCTCGAAGTAAACATGAAGAAAAACAAGTGCAGGTAAAAATGGAAAACGAATTAAGGGCAGCTCAAACAGCAGACTGTGATTTGGAAGGAGTAGTTGCAGATGTAGGTAAGATTCCCAAAAGGAAGGAGGAAACTCTCACTCTTGAAGAAAGAGCACAAGAACAAACAGAGATGAGAAATCTGAACAATCCTGACTTCCATGACAGTCTTGACAGCATTTTAGAAGATTCCTTTATGCGTCTGCCTTTCTTACCCAGAGCATCTACTCCAACCTTAGATTTTCAAAAAACATCATTAAATACACAGCAGAATGCTGCTTTTGCTAGTACCAGAGTTTCATCTGTCACATCATCTTCACTGAGTTCAGGGAAAGATGATTCTTCATGCACTGTTGTTAGCAGCCCTACTAATAGCACCTTTCAATCTCCAGCATCTTGTACTCTGGATAAAAGAAGTGTTAATGAACCAGAGGTTCCAGTAGAAAGAAAACTTCGTTACAAAAATACACTGTTAGTGGATAGGGCCTCCTCTCCTATTCTTACTCTTAGTGCTAGCCCCAAAAGCCAGAATGCTTTCAGTAAGCCTGCCTGCTCTATTAAGGAACCTTTGGGATATTCCGGTGATGCTTTAAGTCCCCTTCACAGTCAGAGAAAGCAAAGGTCAGGTCTGCAGTCTGGCATAGAACCTCACGTGGACAATTTTTCACAGACTGAAACAGATAGCGAATCAAGCACTTCTAGAGACAGCAAGGGTGTAAGAAACACATCTGGAGGTTTCTCAGATAAAAAAGCAGCCAAAAAGTTTTTAGGAAAGGATGGTTCAGAAGATGTGGAACAACAGCATAGATACACTGTTGGCGCACACACTACAATTTGTGCAAAACGACTGTATCACTCCAGCAGTATGTTAGAGGTCTCTGGCCATACGGAGGTTTTAACAGGTGATGTTAGAGACTGCAATCCACTGGCACGTTCACTTCGTTGCACGTACGTCACAGGGGGAGGAAGAGGCTCTTTAGGTGGAATTAGACATGAAAATTATGTTGGTAATTCTGATTCTGCTTTGATTTACAACTACTCACCTCCAAAATCTGACTTACTTTTTCATCAAAAAAGTAGTGCCACGTGTTTAAGTAAGGCAAACATTAATGAGTCCTCAGAACCTCTGGTAGAAGCATCTTCTCTACAATTTCGTGACTTCTGGAAAAATGAAAGCAGCTGCCCTCTCCTCTCTGATATGAGTGATGTGCAAACTTCCTTCCAAGATGACAATACAAGTTCTGTCACAGAAACTGAATGTGACACTGAAATTCCTCTGAACAAAAATACTTTTGTAAAGCCTTATAGGCCTCGGAGCTACAGTCTTCGTGACTTACCCATACACAATAAATTCAGCAACTGGTGTGGTGTGAAGGGCAGTCCTCCTCCTTCGTTACTCAGCCTGAGTGGCAGTGTAACTGACTTACAAAGTCAGGCAGAAACTAAGCCTGGAAGCAAACAAGCAATGGAAATAGAAGGGAAATCCCAGCTGTGTGACAGCAGAAGCAGAGAGATTGAGAGACTTCAGAGAGAACGTGCTCAGATTATGTCTGGCATACACCTGGATCTGCATCAGCATCCCCTTAGTGTGGAACTGACCGAAGCAAAGCTGAATTACGGCATTGGGGAAACGGACGCGCTGCTGAGGGTTCTGCAGAGTGGAACTGCAGATGACCTGATGGCCATTCCAGTAAAGCAACAGCTTTATGAAAGGTAAATTACTTAGAGTTGTATTAAGTATTTTGAATTCATTTCATGTACAACTTCATGCAGGATAAATAATACACAGTAAAGGGCACTTAATCACTTGGTCACACTGAGTGAACTATATGTGAAGAAATAAGTATTGCAATTGTTTTATATATAGTTAAATAATGCATTCAAAAGAAAATTTAGAGGTTACTTAAAGGAAACAAGGACAAGTATAAGATTCAGTGTAATTCAAATCTAATGTCACCCCAGTTTTAAAATTTCCAGTAGCTCTAAGAGTGGTCATGCATACCTGGTGACCATGCAAGTGTATTTCATTGACTTACTGCAGTGTAAAAATAATCAAAGCATCCTGTTTACACATCTCTTGCTTCTGTGAATAGATGTTGCTGTGTGAATATCCAAAACCAACATGTAAATACCCATAAATACGCAGAATGAATTATGAAAAAAATAAGTTCCTAAATTATGATTGGATTATAGAAATGTTTTGGAAGTCGTAACTAAAAAAAAAAAAAAAAAAAAAACAAAACAAAACAGGAGGAGCTACATTATTCTTCTTCCTCACTTTTCCTTTTAAGACATTACAAGCCCTAACCAAGACCTTTGTATGCATTTCCTACTGTTATAAAAGCTGTGAAGTTTCAGAATTTCTGCATCTCTTAGCATGTGACTGAAGGGCGTACCTGCAGGGGGAGTGAACATTATTAGATTCCTATAATTCTTACATTACAAAGCTACCTAGTATTTAAGGCTTTAAAAAAACAACTGAACAGAAATTGTAACTTTGCAGGGTGCACTTTGTCACTCTAATTGTGTTTCTCTGACAGACACATGAGGACTATTGAAACCCTGAGGAAGGAAAGAGAAAAAAGGCTGCAAAGATACCACAGAAGCCGAAGTCTGAGTCCTCAAAAGCATTTCAGTCTGTTGCAAACACTGGATGCAAGTCACAGGGATCTAGAGCTCCCTAGCAGACGCCGAGAGTATCTGCAGCAGCTGAGAAGAGATGTGGTGGAAAATACAAGGTAGGGCATTAGAAACCTCCCTTTTACCTGATGATTATTAACAGTGCTCGCAATGTGAGTGCATTGATGAGACTCCTGTGGCAGTTGTCTCAGGATACTCAGTTGTCTCTCAGGAGAAACATGTACCATTATTCAAACATTCATTGAAATCTTCCATCAAGTTTATTTCAGTTTATAACAAGAACCTGATTTATACATATAATATATAGGAAAGCCAAGGATTCAGTCTCGACTCATTATACACTGTTATATTAGAATCATAGAATCATAGAATATCCTGAGTTGGAAGGGACCCTTAAGGATCATCAAGTCCAACTCTTGACACCGCACAGGTCTACCCAAGTTCAGACCATGTGACTAAGTGCACAGTCCAATCTCTTCTTAAATTCAGTCAGGCTCGGTGCAGTGACCACTTCCCTGGGGAGCCTGTTCCAGTGTGCAACCACCCTCTCTGTGAAGAACCCCCTCCTGATGTCAAGCCTAAATTTCCCCTGCCTCAGCTTAACCCCGTTCCTGCGGGTCCTGTCACTGGTGTTAATGGAGAAAAGGTCTCCTGCCTCTCGACACCCCCTTACGAGGAAGTTGTAGACTGCGATGAGGTCTCCCCTCAGCCTCCTCTTCTCCAGGCTGAACAGGCCCAGTGCCCTCAGCCGTTCCTCGTACGTCTTCCCCTCCAGGCCTTTCACCATCTTCGTTGCCCTCCTCTGGACACTCTCTAACAGTTTCATGTCCTTTTTATACTGTGGTGCCCAGAACTGCACACAGTACTCGAGGTGAGGCCGCACCAGCGCAGAGTAGAGCGGGACAATCACCTCCCTCGACCTACTAGCGATGCCGTGCTTGATGCACCCCAGGACACGGTTGGCCCTCCTGGCTGCCAGGGCACACTGCTGGCTCATATTCAACTTGCTGTCTACCATTATATTGTTATATTGTTATTGTTATATTATGTGTGTTTTCTCCCACTTACCTATCCTTACAGAGTTCAAGAACCAAAAAGAAGAAGCATTCAGCACCCTTCAGAGATTGAACTGATGCTCAGAGACTATCAGAGGGCACGAGAGGAAACCAAAACAGAGATTGCACGAGCTAGGGACAAACTTCGGGAGAGAGCTGAGCAAGAAAAAAGACGTATAAGGGAGCAAATATTTTCTCAGTTACAGAAGGTGAGCGTTACAGAGGAAATTTTTTTGCATTGTATACATCGATGCATGTTTTTTAAAGAAACTTCTGTGGTTCAGTAATTCTCCTGTTTGACATAATGCATAGAAAAACCAAATAATTAAATCCAAATTTGTGCTTAAAACGATCTCAGTAATACTGAATTGATGTACTGTTCATGCTTCTGAAGTACATCTTTCTGGAGCTGTTGTTTCTTGAGCACAATTTTTCTGCAAGAAACTTTTGTTTTCTCATTGGATCAAGCTTACAGAGGCATCCTGCTGGGCATATGCCCAGTCTTTGGAAAACTTTAAAAAGGTAATCTTGATTTTATTTCAGCATATAGTTAAACAGAAACGCCATAATTGTTGTTGTTGTTTTGTTTTGTTTTTCCTGTTTCTCTTTTTAGACTGTCCTGTGTATGTGTGTTTAACCTGTACTTTTATTTCTGCATTTTGTTACCCACTTCGCACTGTCTGAGTGTGTGAATTTTTCATCATTACTCAAGGACAATACCTTGTTGGGAGGTACCTCCTCTGCCCAGTTATTGACTATACTTTCATGCCTTAATCTTTGTCACTGCCTGAAAATGCAGCATTAGTCATAGCTGCAGACTTCCTCTCCTCATATGTGCATATGTGGTGAACACTCATTTCATTGCTGTCCACCCTTTAAGGCACCTAGAATTCAGGCATCTCCAGTAGATGACTGGATCTTGCTATTTACTTTAGACCAGATCTTATCTGCTTCCATATCTGTTGTATGAAACATCAAAGTACTTCAACTATGTTGAAAAACAAAACTTAAAACCACCCTTCAAAGTATAAATCTTCTTGCAGTTCTCAGTATTTTCTTATTAAGTAATTTGTTCTTAATCTCTTGGGCTGGCATTGAGTTGTTGCATTGGTTGCAATAAAACCTTCAGTATTTATTAACTACTTTTGACCGGCAAGTTATGCCAGGCAAAAAGTAACAAATGGGACTAAAAAAAGATCTTTTAAATATTATTTTCCCCTTAAACATCCTAGAATTGGTTTGATAGCTTGGAATCTTGTAGCTAAAGAACAATGGCAGAGTAATCCAGATTTTCCTAGACTGGTGGGTTTTACATGGTGGTTTGCCCTGTAGGTCATATAATCTTACTGGTTCAAATGAGCCTGCTTGTTTAATACCTTCTGTATTAAGCAAAAAGCAACAGTGTCTGTCCTGTCAATACACCTTGAAAGAAATCGGACTCCAGCTTATTTCTCTTTCATCTTTTAGTGCTGTTACTGATTTGACTAGGCGTTGTGCAAGGTAAGATTGTGTAGTTTGATTTGTGGCTCTGTGACATCTATTACAGGAAGAAGCAAGGCTGAAGACTCTCGCAAGTACAAGCACTTTATGTACAGAATCCAGCCTCAGCCTCTCCTCTGGCCCAACGTCTGGTTACAACAGTAGCAATACTGCTGCCTATGCTGCCAGTAAACTCAGCAGCTGGGATGGACAGGTGAGAAAGAACTGCCTTGTGAGACTCATGTCTCCTAATGCTTCCACAGTAACAGAGAGAGAGAACAAGGATAGAAACCTTTTATTCTGATGGTTCATATTCTGTTGCAGCTATCAAGCAGGGCAAGTTTGTGTCAGTAGTGCACAGACGGGTTACATGGGGTAGAGTATTACCACATAATTGCCAGAATACAGTGACTCTCATTTTTTCTGAGATTTTTTTTTGTTTGTTTAAATGTAAGAGCCAGTGTGTACTGTTGACATCAATGCCGCTATCTGTCACGTTTTTAGAAAGAAGGAGCATTTGCTTGTGGTAAACCAGAATCTGGTATTTTCACTGTGCCTCCCTCAATGAAGAAAGATGCACAGATTGATTTGAGAGTTTGTGTGTGTGTAAAAATGAACTTGTAAAGTACTTTTTAGAGTAGGTACCTATGCTAGCTTGTCACACTTTGTTTGCTAAACTTCCAGAGTTGAGCTACCCTTTCTTAACCTAATCAAAGGCAAAGGACTTATCCTATGATATAGAGAAAATTACAATCTTGTAAAGCATGTTTGTTAGGAATATTCCACTTGCTGTGTAATGTTTTATTTTTCCTGGTTCAAACCAAAAGCCCCCATTTCTGCTCTTTCCTAAACCAGGTTTCTTCTGGAAATGTATTGCTTTCAAGAGATGCACGAGGTCGTTCAGCTGTTAGAAACAGTCAACTTTATATGTTAGAGCAACTACAGAAGGATTCAACGTTGGGTAAGTAAATCATACATTTGCTTATGTCTGAGTTGTATCCCAAAACCTAATGATATTTGTTACTTATGGAAGTCCAAATCTGATTCTAGTATTTTGAGGCTGTCTTTCTATTACATGAATTCAGAAAAATACTGTCCACCAGTAGCTAGAGTTTGGAAAAGTAAATGCAGATTTGGTTCTTTTGTTGTTGTAACATAATTGTATAGAGAGGCTGGGAGGAACATAATTGTATAGAGAGCATGAGGCTAAGGCTGCAAAGAATATAGGACCATACATGCAAGTTGTTATTTTTATTCCCAAAATTCATGTTGTCTATTCTTCTTCAAATTGTTAGCGTGTATGTGGTTAATAACCTTTAAAGTTGAGTGATGTAAAATATAACTGCGGTGTAATTATCAACACATAGATTGTCTAGACAAATAATATTGTCAGTCGTTCATCAGGATCGTGTGGATCAGTTGCTGTAATAGAGGGTTTAAATCCCTGTAAACTGCTTAATATTACACCTTCTGCAGCAATTTAGTGATTGTTTTCCTCTTTATATTTTCCACTTACAACTTTTTTTTGTCTCCTGCAGAAGCCAGCAGAATTCAGCCACCCCTTCCTTCTAGTAGCATCAGCTGTAGGTTCACCCATGGATTAACTATTTCAGTCAGCTCCTCTTCAACAAAAGGATACGAAGATTTAGCCAAACATATCTTAGCCAATGCTACCACTGAGGTGAGTAAATAAGCACTTTTTGCTTTTTCTTGTACCTCCTACTGGAAGTTGTACTGAAAGTGTGTTGGACAAGACTTACTTTACGCTCCCAGCTGCTACTTGTTAGGTACAGAGGAGGACACTGATCAGTTTTAAATGTGGAGGAAGGTGAGGCAGGCTGCAACAGTGGAAGAGCAGTTCAGGAGAGTGTTGCATGTTAGCTGAAATGCATCAGTGAATATGGTGAAACTGCTGAACTGAACTCTTCTAGTTCCCAAGGATTTGTGCAGTGCAGGTTTTATATATCTGTGTAACCATGTACAACGGTGTAGCCAGAAGGAAAGCATACAAACTTCATGTTTCAGGATAGAAGCACTTGATTTGGAGACATGTGCTTCCTCACTCCCTGTTTTCTCACAATAGCCTAGGATATTGTATATTAGGCACATATAAATCCTCCTTCAGCAGAGAGCAAGTCAGGCTGTCTCTTACTACTCCCAAAAGACTATTAGCACTATAACGCTAAGTATTTATTGTAAAGCCAAGTGAGTAGAAGACACTGTAACAGCACGCAAGAGCTGAAGACAATTCATATGACTTTCTCTTACCTCTACATTTGTCATTGTTTTCTAAGGTAATGGCAGCATGCTCTCATAACCTGAGGAATCTCTACATGTGCCAAGCAGCAGGTGGTTGGAAGTAAGTTTATGGCAGGTCTTTATAATGGGAGATTTTTAATGCAATTTACCCTTTTTTGTGCCAAGACTTTTCATTTGTGTTTGACAGATACCAGTGTACAGAAAAAGAGGTGCTGGTTTACTACAAAGTTTTCCCTTCAGCAACAAAGCATGGATTCTTGGGAGCAGGAGTGATAGAAAGACCTCTCCCATCTGTGTGGGGACTAGTGAGAGATCCTGGGAAAAGGCATCTGTATGACAGAACCATCAACACAGCTCGAATACACAAGAAGGTAACCAGCCACATCCAGCTGGGTGAGTACCAACACAACCAACTGACCAGCACTATCATTAGGTACTTTCTCAGCTTAGATTGAAATAAGATGTCTCTAACTTTCTTCCTGGTTGACAATTTTTCCAGTTTGAATAAATGATTTCATTATTTAATAAGGGAACTTCCCTTTTGCAAGACTTGTTCAAAGTACAGCTTGTATTAAATGGACGCTGCAGCAGTACAGATAGAAGCAGTAGTTTAAAAGTCAGAAGATCAGTAGAATAAACCTTAAGTAACTTGAAAAAGTAGTATCTTAATGACACATATTGTTTATAGCATATTAACTAGAACAGCTGCAACAAAGAGTTAAAACGCATTCGTACAGTTAAGGGAAGTTGTGACAAGGTAAAGTTGTCCAAGCCTAATTCCTCCTTTCTTTCTTTCTTGGATGCTTTTTCCACAGTGTATTTAGTGACTGATACCTCCCTGTGTTACCTAAAGCAACCCCGGGACTTCTGCTGCATCACTGTAGAAGCCAAAGAGGTAAACTGCCTGTTTTCTCTAAGTAACTCTTCTAAACTCATGGTTCAAGAAGAGAAGGAAGAGAAGTTAGTGCTGATAATTCCAGAAATGGCAGTGGAAGAAAAAAAGCTATGCTGATATGATACAAGTGATTTATGTATAAAATCCACTTGCAAGTGACAATCATGAATCAAGTCCTATGAGGTAGTAATATAATTGTTACAGCTTATTCTGATCACAAACAAACAGGATTCTATGAAAACAAGAGCTTATTTAATAAGTAATATGAGAAATATGTGTCACAGTAAACAAAACATTACTGTCCGTATAAAAAAAAAACTCAGTGTCTTCTTTACACTTTCTCACATGCAGGAGAACTTGTCTGTCTTGGCTATTCAGTCTGTCTACGATGCTTCAATGCCTCACCCTTGTAAAGACGTGGTGAGAGGAGAAATTCTGCCAAGCGCCTGGATACTGGAACCTGATGTAGTGAATGGAAGAGAGATCACCAGAGTTATTTACATGGCACAGGTAGGATTTTGCAGTATGTCCAACTCTGGATGTGAAAAGCTGTTACATTTCAGAGGTAGGAAGTAACCAAAGATATTTATTTATTTATTTATTTATTTATAAATTAATAAATAAATAAGTGTGTGCATATATACACACACACACACACTATAATATATATAAAATACATTAGTATATATATTATATATAGCATAATTTTATGTGTATATATATAATGTGTGTGTATATATACACACACAATAGAAATATATATTTAATATTATATTTAATTTTATAATATGTATAATTATATATACACACATATAATATATATTATATATATTATATTATTGTATATTGTATTTATTTTATATTTTAATTATATATTATAGAAATATATATTTTATATATTTCTATTATATTGTGTGTGTATATGTATATATACAAACATGTTATATATATAATTGTGCTATATATATAATATATATACTAATATATTTCTATTATGTTGTCTGTGTATGTATGTATACACACAGAGCATAGCATAAGACTTGTATTAAGTGACCATAGAATTCACCTCCACCTCATGCCCTGAATTACTGTACATCATGTTAGATACCAGTTTTAAGACAGTGCTTTTAAGCACTTCATCCCATGTTTTTACAGCACCTCAACCTGCATCTTTGGACACCAAGGCTCTTCTATAAATGCTTATTTGCAATTTAGTATGTTACATTCTCATATGGTGAGCCAGTAGCTTATTCATCCAGTGACAGAGACTGGAGAATCCTGTTCGCATTTTCATCTTGTTATAAACATACATGTACATGTACATTGGTTATGTTGTTTTCAAAATGCATGACAATGCTTATTGTTAACTTTCTTCAACAAAAGTCATTAAATCTATGCACCTAACAGATATAAAAGAGAAGTCAAGACAGGGATTCCAGTTAAGAATTAGAATACAGTCATCTGAGAAGTAGGCTGCATTTGAGACAGCAGTTCCAATCACTTAGAAACATCCAGAAGAGAACACCATGCTCTTCTTAACTTTAAAGGGCTCAACTTAGAGCTAACTTTAAAGAATTAATTCCATTTATAGGATTTTTTGATACAAGTTTTAAAATATTAGCTTTAAATAATTAGTGTATGCCTTTGAAATGCATATATGTAATGTATATGCATTTTACAATATACATTTTATATTGCTCTTTAATTAATATATGCATAAGAATTTTCAGCACCACTGTTTCAAACTAGCAATACTTGGTCGAAGCTCAAACTCAAAACCAGTGTGGGTGGGAAAGCAGTATCGAATATGCCAAGCTTTGATTGTCCATAGAGTATTGGGAAGAAAAGATATAAACCACCATGCAAATTGCAGCATCAGAGCTATTCCAGGCAGGATAAATGTTTTGTACAAAAATGGGTACAACACAGCCACAACCACATACCTTTCTTCTACTTTCTACAGGTGGATCTTGGTGCTCCAGCTATCCCAGCAAGGCTCCTGAGTTCCATTGCAAAGCGCCAGCCTCTGGTCATTGCTCGACTAGCCCACTTTCTTGCTAGTTAGCATTTAGAAGAAACCAGAATATTTAAGAACATGTGAAAGATCATCAAGAGACGCAAGCATCCATAAGGGTAATGTAACATACTGGCTCATAAGACAGGCACAGTCAAACCTTACTTGAGGAGTCTCGTTGGTAACTTTGGACTATACAAAGGTACAGTTTGGAAAAAAAAGGATCGTTTTAGCAAATGCTGCTTAGAAGAAATCCAGCAAGTTTTTAATGAGGAACCTGTCTTTCTGGAGACAGATGTGGAAGAAATCCCTTTGGAGCAGTTAGGAAGGTGTGCTGCCTCTACCCACAGCAGAGGAAGAGAATTCTGTTTACAATATCCAGGACCTTACATACAGAAGTGTATTACTTCGTTTTAGTTTTTGAGGAGTTGTTATAAAGATCAATATTCTCTCTTCAAGGAAGTTTAAGCAGTGGTGAGAAAAAAGCAATGGAAACAATTAAACACAGTAAAAACTTCAAACAGTACACACATGGCTTGAGAGCTTTTACAAGTTCTTAAGCAGAAGTGCAAGGCCACTTACTGACACTGAGCTAAGTATCAAATGCGGAATTCCTCAAACAGTAATGATATAGTCCACTTGCCAGGCTAAATGATTTACTTCCCTTTGAAGGGAGGTCAAAATCAGCACGATATCCACTAGCCACCCTACACCCTGGCTAGATTTTTCTCATCTAGTTTGCTGACTACTTCCAGTAGGCAGCGTAGGCTGTTTCAGATTGCCACTACACTATGCAGCAATATTGGAAATCACCACACCTCAGGACACAGTTCTACTGCACTGCAGATTTAGGTGCTTTGAAGTAGAGAAACCAAACTGACAGTTGTGAACAATAAGACCTTGTCATTAATAGGGAATAGTACTGAGTAATCAGCTTGTTGCTAGAATTTCAATCCCGCAAAGAGAGTAGCTCCAGCACTTTTCCATAATGGCTTTTTCCACCTGCCTTTCTATACTTAAGCACACCCAGAAGCATTAAGAATTGAAAATCTAGCGCAGACCATGTTCTTACCATCACGCTTCTGTTCACAACATGAACAGCTGTCTTCACAGCAGCGAATAGAGTCTCCCCATTCAATTACCTCATTTCTGTTGAGCTTTGTCCAACAATCCTGTTGTTAGGCTTTACATGCTTGGTCACACATTCCTAAAATGAAACAAAACCACAATCAAATATCTAAATAACTTCATTTAGTTCTTCAGCACAACAGTAAAGAATCATTTAGATAACTAAGCAATAAAAGCTGCTATAATATTCTTTCTTTAGTTCAAGAAAAGCCGACATAGTTCAAGAAGCTGTTGCACTTGAGATTTGTCAAGTGAGAAATGTGTATTCAAGCATCCACCTTACCATTTGGCCTCTGCTACTTTAACACACTTGCAGTAAGAGACATATTTCCCCAGCACACAATGAAGCTAGTTGCACTTCTCACCTTTGTGTCACAAGCCGAGATCTACTTTTAACTATAACTTTGCACAGGCGTAATTTTGGCTCTCAGCTTCTACGTTACTTCCTGTCATGAATAGATTAAGTTTTAAAACAGAAGATGGTAGCTGTTTTAAATTGATATTTAAGAAAATAGCAGTTTTGAGGCATACCAGCAAGGCTCTTTCCCCCGCCCTTCCCCAGACTATACCAGGTAGGAAAATAGATTTCACTTTATAAATTTGCTTTGCTTTCATCTTTAGGTGGTCCTGGTTAAAAGTTACCACCACTATATTACCATGCCCTTTTGAAGAGGCTCAGCCTTTTCTTAAAAGCCTGCCAAATTGAGTCATGGCACGGTTTGCTTCCAGCGTTATGCATCTTCCGTGGCCCCAGCAGCTGCACAAAAAGACAGCTTTCCACATTTGGGACCTGTCATACCTTTCTGTGGGAAGCAAAAAATAAAAAAATAAAATAAAAAAAAAAAAGAAGATTGTATAAGGCAATATATAAAAGCCCTAGAAAAAGTGAGTGGAAACTGCAGCACAGGGTATTGGCTCCGTCCCCTGTGCTGCTTCCAACAGATTTCAGGCAGAGGTGAGGGAGGTCTTCATACATTCTACAGGAGATTTGCTCAGTGCTTCGCTTCTTTTCTTTTATTTTAGACATGGCACTAGTGTTAAAGTAGTTTTGTAGGAAAAACATCAAGGGGGACTCCTGTTGGTTGATACCAGTGCCTATGAAGGATAATGTCTTATTGTACAGTGCATCAGATGTTTATTTTTATATATACATAAGATTGTTTTTTCTATGTTTACAAATTAAGTTATTTATATATGCTTGTTTTGAAACGTTTTTATATGCTATCAAAGCTAATTTTTATTTTTATCGGTATTAATGTAACTTTTTTTTAATACAATCTTCACTTGATACTAAAAAGCCTATTTATATGAATGTTTTCATTTGCAAATATAACATTTTATGGTACCTGTTACGTATGGCATTGGTTTGTTTGGAAGGAAGAAATAAAAACCTAGCAGATACCTAATCTGTTAATCTACAATGGGAAAAACCCAACTTCCTGTAAATTACTGCTGAGCAGTAGATGATCAGACCAAGTGTCTTGTACCACCTACTGTTGCATCTCTGCTCTTAATCAAGATTGCTATTTTCATATTCACAATAAATGGTATTTTCTACACAAGAAAGAACATGCACCGTGTGGTATTTTCCTCTAGTTCAGATACCTGTCTATGGAACTGTACTTACACAGGAAAAGGTGCTGTCCAAAGTGGACATTTGCACTGGATTAAGGAAAAAACATAAAGGCTAGCTTGTGATATATGTTGTAGGGGTCCTACTTCTCCAAGTAGGAATTTGTGGCACATGAGCCAAGCAGCTAATCACTGCTTTAATTTGGTTTCTGTGACTCGGTGCCTAGTCCAAGCAAAGGGTTTTTTGTTTTGTTTTGAAACAAGGCACTGACTGAAGCATCTTATTGAGGCTGGTTACAAAGCTCCTGCAACCTGAACATCTATAAGGGAGTTAATACAGTTCAATTTATCTCTCAAAAGATAATGAGGAATAGTCTGCAGTAGGAAAGACAGATTCAAGGAAGGCTGCATGCTCTTACCTAGCCTGCAATGAACTCCTGTCCCTACTGTCCCTCCAGTGCTATGCAATTGTTTCTAAGGCTGTCTATAAAGTCATGTGTCTGCCTTTACATAGTAACCACAGAACGTCCAGGAACTGTATTAACTGCACAAAGATAAAAGGAAATAAAAAGAGGTATTTCTTACCTGCTGCTTCCCACTGAAGAACTGGATTCTGCCCCACAGGGCACAACTGTACGCTCTGGTAGTAGTACACTGGTCCTCAGGCTTGGCCACCTTTCAAAGGAAGATTTCCAGGCACGTTGTGTTAGAGAAGGACTATTCAGGTATGTTGAGTTCATGAAACCAGTACTGGCTAGGGTATCCATGCAAACAGTTTTATATATAATACCCAAATAAAGTCAGTTCTAGAGACAAGAGCACATTTTTATCATTATTGTTTCAACCTTCTCCCTCCACCTCCCATCATATAACAAAATATACTTCAGTATAAGCAAAGCAATAGCATGCAGGACAGAAGTTACCATATGTTCTCTGCACGACGCTTCATGGCAGCGTACCTTTCTGTACCTTACCCCAGTACAAAGAGGTTGTACATCACCAGCTTGGACACAAAACAGGACATTTAATCATGTTTATTATGACAAACAACAACTTCAAGTGAGGGCTGCAGCAAAATGTCACATAATAGCCTCAGGGAGCAGGTATGAAATGCTATGGTATATTTGCTACTTCCGTTTGTATTACCATGTCGTTACCATACACACGGCATGCCCACTTTCAGGAAACCTCTGCTTCATTCATGTCATTAAATAAAATCCCTAAAAAAGGCACAGCGATGGCACTTGCTGTAGCTTTCAATACAATGCTTAGTCACCGAATCAAAAACATCTCAGTACAATTCAGACTGACCTTCCTCTGTGGTTTCTCTCTCCACATCACACAGTTTAACAGAAGTAACCTCACTTAGTCCTGGTTGTCTTTTTCCTCAACTGACTCAGATACTTTTTCCCATTTTATACACGAAAGAGGTAAGGTAGCAAGAGAAAGAGCACTGGGCTTCACTTAGTCCGAAACACAGTATTTCTTTCTGAAAAACCAGCATAACATCACACACCTAGACGTGCTAGAGGAAAAAGCATCCTGTTGCAGGAAAAAAATAAACTCCTTAAGAGATATCTACTGAGTAACTAATATTCTGCTAACCACCAGCAGTCCCTACCCCAGACTCCAGTTTAGAGATACTTGGAGGGTGCACGGAAGTCACACCCGTGGCGAAGATCTATCCACAAGGGCAGGAAGTGCCCTCTGGCCTCCACAGAAAGGATTCCTCTCAAACCAGCTCTCCAGAGGATGTCACACTGCTTTTTCACTACATTTTTTGTCTGGTCTTCCAGGCTGTAGTTTTCTTGCTGGAGCATTTCCTGTCTGATAAAACTCAAACTCAAGGCAAGGATTATAACAACAGCGAATAGCAGCTACACGCCACTTATGTTCACATACTTTAAAAAAGTCTTAAAAATACTGCCATCTGCCTTCAGTAAAAAATATAGTCAGATATCCCCCTTGTTTCTATTAAAAAACAAAAACAGGGAATTACAAGTTCCATTTCCATCAAGAGATGGAAAAAAACTTAAGCATCTACATCCTTTAAGAATACTATCATCAATGTTCTGGTGTATATATTTAATATGGTTTTACTTTTAAAATGAGTCTTTAAAAAATTAAAATCAATCCTCTGAAATTGAGCTTACAGTGAAAAATAAATATAGGCTCATCTCCATGTCATATGGGTTTAATTTTTCCCTCTCCTGACCGTTCAGTCTGTTAAAAGACAGAAAGAGAAGAGCCAGCCACCAGGCAAGCTCTGGTCACAGATTAACTTCTCCACTTGAACTGAGCCCTGGGTTTGGCCACAGTACAAATACAAAAGTGTTGGTGAGTCTAAAAAATGGCTGCTCTGAGCCATGATCAAGGTGCTTAAGGGATTTCTGACTTGGTGATCCACTTGCTGATGTGAATCCTTCAGCATAGTCACCATTGCAAAGTGTCTATGAGCAGAAAGACCGGTGCAGTTTTTGCACAGACCTCTCATACGCAGTATTCTCCCAGCAAGGGCCTCACAATGCATTCAGAAACTCTAAAAATTCCATTTGCATCTTCGTTAGTACTTTTTTTTTTTAATCCTCAAAGAGTCCTTCTCCACTAACTTTGTGCTGTCACGGTACCTAGCGATTGTCTTGTCAGTTCATGAGGGTTAGTCCTGGGCTCTTCTATATGATGTTCGGAGGTAAATACTTGGGACAGCATTTCCAGTTCTTTGAGGAAATCCTGCAACAGATACAAACCAGAGAACCTTTATTGGCAAGCGTCAAAGAGGCTTCTTATTTTTAGTTGAAAAGGTTACAAGGTTAAACACGTTGATGGTTGTCCAGAGTAAAATCTGAGGCTACAACACTGACTGGAAGATGAACACCTGTAGGCCAGTGAGTTCAGTTCTTCCCCCAGACCCTCATCCTTCTCAGAAAAAGACCACATCACACAAGTTGTTTTACAATTTTCTTGGAAGTGTTTCCACTGCACTGGACATTCTGACATTCACACCAGGACAGACTTCAATCAAGGCAGTAGTACCAGTAACAAGGTTGTTGACAGGCAGCCCCTGTTGCTGCATTAAGCAGGAGGGTTATGGGCCTCATCTACATGAAAGAGATTTACTGTTCTGTAGCTTTACTTTTTATTTCTTATTTTACTTATTTTGCATCCCCGCCCACGGCAGGGGGGTTGGATCTAGATGATCTTTGAGGTCCCTTACAACCCAGGGGACCTATGACAACCTATGATTTCACTTGGTATTCACACACATCTAGTTACTTACTGAGGGCCAAGGGAGCTCTCTGAGGCTGCGGAAACAACTCTCTATTTCACTGGTTCTCATAAGATCATGTTCTACAAGACCGTGAAGCATGAAAAGAAACAAGTCCCACTGCAGAAAAGAAAAAAATATCAACATCTCAAAAAGAAATGGATTTTGCATTTGCTTCCCTATCCCTACACAGTTCTGTCCTGATCCAGGAAGGCAGGACATCACAGGAAAGGAGCGGGAGGAGAAAGAAGTGAGCAACATACAAAATGAGCAAACAATTACTCGAGTTCATACACTGTATTCCACCATAAAAATCTCAAAATTTCTAGTCCTCAGTTCCAAAACACACCAAGTATTTCATTCATGCGTGTTCAGGAACAGCTTTAAAAACTCTTATTTATGGGTTTAGCCTGCAACTAAATAGGGCAATTTTCAGCTTGGTAGTTGGGGATCTTCTAAGTAACACCCACGTGTGTGCAAAAACAAAAGCTGAAAATACAAAGGCAACCAACTACAAAATCGTGTGTTTGGTCCTATGATCTCTCAGGCCCAGCTGGCCATTTTGCCAGTTGTTCCTTAAGTAATCTGTGCCTTCCTAACAGCCCCAAGGCAAACACAGAACGCTGACAAGCGCGTATCCCTCTACCCACACTCAAACAATGCCACCCAGACAGCAGACCCAATGCTGCAGGCCTCACTCACACAAGCCATCAGTTAACATGGCAGGTGAGGGGACTCTTAACGTGAACATATGGGACTGGAGCAGGTAACTGGCAGCCCCTCAGCTGAACAAGCCTTACCTCCCGCTGCTTGACTTCCGAAAGATAACCGATGTTCTTCCTGCTGAACATCAGCTGCACGGGAACAGGCGTCCCAAAGTCTTCCTTCCAGACAGAAAGCAGCAGTTTCAGAAGGCCATATGTGGGATTGTTCTTTACTCGCAGCCTCTCAGAGCTCTTCTCTTGGGGCTTGATCCCAACACTTAGAGGAACACGATCTGAAACTAAGAAAAGCAAGAAAGGTGAACTTCCATACTGCAAATTTGTCTTTTTACTTTTATCTGCCTGGTCCAATAGCACATTTTGTATAGCTCATAACTAAATCACCGAAGTAAAAACACTTAAGTGTAAACCACTGAACTTAAGGGGACTAGAGTTTAGCAACAGGCAAAAACATGAGTTCTAAAACTATAGTAAGTATTATTATACAGGAATAGATTTATACTGCTCCGAGATAAAGAATGCCACTTGGTTGGCATGCAGCCTGAAGTCCTGACAGAAGACTGAATAGAAATTGAAATAATGACTAACATTTAATAAAAGAAGACGTAGGTGTTACTCCAAAGAAAAAAGAGTAACACAGTAAAACATCATCTGAATCTACAAATAGATTAAACAGTTGTTCATAGCTTTGAGCTGCGTATCTTTATACAAGTGAAAGTGAAGTTGTACAGCGCTTAACTGCAGCTAAACACACAGAGAGAGAAGATACTAGGTCTTCCTTGGTACAATTTAACGAAAAGGGGCAGATTTACACTGCTGTTCCCCATTTCACAATATTTAGGCACGGACGGCAGCCTGAACCATATAAAATCTCCTTAAGAAACTTCTAAAAAAAAATTGGAAGGGTGCTCATGGAGAAAGCATCTGCATGCAGAACACTAGCTCACACTGATAAAAGCTTTGCATTTAACACATTAGACCAAGAGAAGCAAAAATGAAAGCGCTCACAGAAGTCACAATACACAGAATACAAGTTACTCCCTTTCTCTAAAAAGAGACTAAGAAACATAATTGCATAATTTATATTCAGGGGAAAAAAAGTCTGCTGCAACTTTTCAGAGGCAGTGATACAGAGAAACGTATGACATTTAAATGAAGGTATCAATAAAGGAAACTACAAAGACTACAAAAACTACAAGAACACCAAGTATGAAAGACAGTTAGTAACCTTCACAGAATAATAGTGACCATTCAAGTTTGACTGAAAAAAAGCTTCGAAGAGGGAAAAATTAGACTTCAAGGCACAAAGAGAACTAAACATCCACAAGCTCTAAATAGTGAAATATCTGATCCCAAGGATTTAAGAGAACTTTCACACCCCTTTTTAGTCTTAAACAGCTTATCATGACTGACTCACCCAGCAAAGAAGCCAACTCAACTGTACACTTTGCCAGCTGCTGCTCTGATGTCGGACACATGAACTAGAAAACACAGAAAAAGTTTTATCTTTGTCCCATCCTGCAAACTGGACAAAACACGGCTTCACAAGGGATAAAAGAGTAGACAATTTACAGCAAGAAGCACAGAGGTGTAATCAGGAGAAAGTCTGAAAGACAAGAAGAGATCCTGCATGACAAAGGGTTCCACAAAGGCTAGATGCAAGTGCCAAGTGTATCTAGAGTGTAAAAAATGCAATGCAACTTGGCCACATTTGAGCTCAGGAAAAAAACATTCAACTGAACTCAACTGTGCGACAAAGCAAACTACAGAGTTTACAAGTATGAAGATGGCTCAAAGCGGTCCAACTTCGTTGTTGCTTTTTTTACTTCTACCTTTCTGCACCGAAGCGTCTGACTCAGTCTTCCCAGCAGGGACTCCAGCCAGTCATGGTCAATCACTTCGCCTTCATCCCGTGGGCCCACAGCAACGCAGAGCACATCCTTGATGAAAGAGACAACAGGGATTCACCTACCAAGTCTGCATTTCCACGAACAGATATTTGGACCTATGACAGAGGTGAAAAATTAAAAGGGAGCTAGGGAAAGACAGCAAGCCAGGAAGTGAACATTATGTACCTTAATCTCGTTGATGATCTGGGAGGGAAATGGGGCACGGTGCTGACAGCCTGGTGGGCAGTCCCTCCTCAACTCCAGAGCTTCCTCGCTGGGCAAGGGAAGCCCTGGGACTTTCAGCATTCTGTTGAAGGTTGCCTTCACTTCTCTTTTTATTAGTGCTGCAAAGGGAAAAAGGGAACAAATCCTGTCTGCCTCAGTTCTTCCCTCCATAGAGGCAGACAACTGTTTTAAAATGCTACCCTTACTAGCCTCCTATTCTGAGAGCCCCTGTGAATGAGGAAAGGCCAGTTCATGCTTTCAAACCCTCCTGACTCTGAGCTCCCATCACGTTAACGGCCAGAGGCACAGGTGGGGAGCTACCACTACCAGGTACCAGTGGCAACCCATTTCATTTCCCATCAGAAATGTTTCAGTAGCTTTATTGATCAGAATAGCTGAACTAGGAAGCAATGCCAAAGCAGAACGCTGAATCAGCATGACCATACCAGTTGAACCACTGTGCCCACAAAAGACACAGGTTTTGTACCAAAATAAATTTTGAGCAGCAGCCAAAACACTGAACTCCTGCTGCTGAAAATGGTGCTGGGTATTCCTTCCCAAATTCTTGGCATCACCTCCTGAAGCAATGGGTTTTGAGAGGTTCTGAAGAGTTGCCAGAGCACTACTACAGACTAAAAGGAGTACAGTCACCTGCAGCCTGCTGAAAACATACCCAGTCAGAGAAGCGTTCACTTTGAAGAAGTCTTCAGAAGTTCTCTGTACACAGGGACCATAACATGGCCTGACAGAAGCAGACTGTATCCTATATTTGAAGTGCTATGACAACTTCAGATGGGATATTTTCAGAAGCTTTCCACAGCATTCATTCTCACCATCCTAAACATCTCCATAGCTAAAAATCACAAGGGCCAAGCTTGAAAAAACCCTGAAGAAGGTTCTTGGAGCTAGGAATCACTCCTCTTATTCCTTAACAAGAAGGGACAGAGCAACTGCACACTTCCCACTAAAAGAAAAGTGCCAGTCCTTTTTTTTTTTTCCCCCCTCTTTACCCTTGAGTACTTCATGACACTAGAATAAACTTCTAGTCCTTTATCTCAGAAAGAGTACAATATACAGGTTAGAAGCCCAGTTCAAGGTAAGGAAACTCACCTGCAATGTTGGCAGAAAGCCAGCCACAGGCCTTCTCAGTAGCTAGTTCCACTGCAATGTCTTCCGCACTATTTAAAACCTTTGCAGGGAGGATAAGAAGTGATATACTTCCAGTCACAACATTAATAATCAGTGAGGAATCAGAAGTCTAGAGGGAAAGGGCTTAATATGGGCATGCAACATTTAACCAGAGCACCACCATCTCGGTGGGAGCTGCTACTCTGAGCAATAAGACAAACCCATTTTGACTTCCCAAACCCCATCAGCCCCATACAAATACCCTCAACTCTTTGTGAAGTTGATTCTAAACCAAAAGCATTATCCTTGCAGGATGAATGCAATTTACCTACCACTCTAGTCTCAAGAGTTAGCTACTGGTTAGAGCACCAATTTAACGAGAACATCCCAGATAGCCTGGCAGAGGTGACTCTCTGTAGCTGTCAGCCTCTACATCAGGGCATCTACAGATTCCACTGTCCTAAGCTATTCAGTGATAAGTGAAGTGGCAACAGAAAAACAGTAACAATCCAGATGCAAAGTCAAGGTCTTTAGCAAGTTTTAGTGAAAATACATACTGCTGCAGATGTTTCTTCTGGCAACAACACCCTTACCGCCTCAGGACCTTTTTTTTTGCAAAATCTGCAAGAAAAGAGAGAATACGTGCCTTAGTATTAGTTAAAGTTCTTGGACAACAGTCAGAAGTTCATTACTGTAGGAATTTTCACATGCTCTCTTACAGTCAAAACTAGTTGGAAGACTGCAGTGAAGTATGTCAAACCAAAATAACCAGATAAGGAAAAATCAGTTACAAGCCCCCAGGCTGTAACGTTCAGTTTCCAAAGAAGGGAAATACAATAACTGCAGTTGATGCCCGTTTGGAGCTGGATGCAGAGGGACACAGAGCACCTTTATTCCTTCCTACAAATACGGCATTAACTGGCTGGAGGCACAGCAGACAGTCACCCTAAGAAGAGCAGAGGTCAGGGTTTATAATTACTAGAACCTGAGCAAGACAGGCCAAGCCGAATGAGGCTTATAGATTCCACAATAAGAAGAGAAGGGAAGGCACAAGTTTAAATAACTTTTCCTCCTTACTCTCTGCCTTTGATGAGTGCCTGGGCCCCTTCCTCATACAGATGAGCGCACACCTCTTCAAGCAGCTTGTCATGATTAGCATCCTCCTCCTTCACTTTATCCTGCAACATGACTTCAGCCCTTTGAACCAACTCTGCTACCAGTGTTGCCCTGTAAAAATAAAGATTAAAAAAAAAAGTCAGACACACTGAAATTGATACAAGAAAAAATGCACACTAACTGAAAGCAGTTGTTTGCCCTATTTCAGGAGGGTGTCTGTTGCTCTCAGAGAGAGATGCAAGTAGCACTCTGGTAGGAAAAAAAAAAAAAAAAAAAAGAATCACTGTGTTCACTACTACACCATTTCCTTGCTCTTTTCGACATGGAAAAAAAAAAAGCAAATAGAGATCTCAGAACAGTACTAAGACTCAAGAGTCAAAAGCTTTTAAGTATTAATAGAAACATAGTTACAGGTAACTTTTGTGGCACCAGTACTTTTACACTCAGTGGTTTGTGGTCAGAAATTCAAAGATGTCAACAGCAGCCCACTACAACCAGTGTTCTTCACAAGCTGATACTATTTAATGTCTTTGACAAGTTGGACATGGGACAGAGCCAATCCACAGCAAGTTAATGAACAGCATGCTGGAGACCAGGGCTGCCTTTCTGAAGGACCCTCAGAAGCTGAAGAAACGGGCTGACAACAGTGGTGACTGTACACCTGTAATGGGCATACAGGCTGGGGTCAATTGGCTATGGAGCAGCTCTGCAAAAAAGGATCTGGGTTCCATGCAGACAGGCTGAACAAGTCAGCAGAGTCCAAAGAAGGGCAGCATCGTGCTGGTCTGACATTACCAACAGTGCAGCCTGCAGGTGAAGGAAAGTTACTGCTCTCCTCACCACTGTGAAGCTGCACCGAATATCCCTAAACTGGGATGATGGAACTCACAGCCTACAAGGAGAGACAGGGGCAGACAGCTTCATTTAGCCTGGAGAAGAGAAGATGAAGTGGGAACAGAGGGATATGTTCTTCAGTCACATAACAGATAGCCAGTGCTTACTTGATGTGCTTAACACAGTTGGATCCCACCCTCTCTGCCACAAATTCAACTGTTCTCCGCAGGGAGGGAGGCTGGTTGTGGAAGAAGGCCTGCTCCAACTCCACCTGGTCAAGAGAAAAGTGCCACAACTGATTAGAACGCTCCACTCAGATCCTCCTCTTCTCTTCACAAGAGTGGACAGAACTACCGTATGTAATTGAGATAAAAGGCAGACAATTTGCCTATACAAGAATATTCTGCTACAGTAACACTCAGCACCTTTATAGGATACATCTTCCCTATTTTTTTTTTCTAACCTGAAGCTCATCACCAGTGTTTATGAAACTACAAAAACAAATGACTAGTAAAGAGAAGAATGGGAGAGTTCTGGCAGCTCCTATGCAGTTCTTATCTTCTGTGGAATGCATGGCTAAAATCTAACTAAAAGCAGCCTACGAGAAATGTACTAACATTTTCTGTAAAAAAGAGAGGGAGAGGCTAATTGTTCTGATCACAAGAATGCTTACTGAATTTCTCTGGATTTCAACGCTCACGTGGTAATACAGCCACACAATTTAACCAGAATAACAAGAAGTAAGAATATTTGACTGTCAAACACAACTTTCCCTGCTGTCCAGGCCCATACCTTTCTTTCCCAAACATTAGGATATCACTGTGTATCCCATGGAGGCAATTCCTCCTGCCCTGGTTCCACTTGTGACTCCCGAATTTCATTACCTGCAGTTTCCGTTGTGTGACGGAAGCCTTGGGTGCCAAAGACTCTGCAGCTGTTGGAGTGATTTTCCTTATAAAGCCACCATTTTTTGCTCCGCTACCAGCCACAAAAGAGGCAAGTAGTTTCCGCAGCTCACCTGCATGGATAAACATGCACCATCCCCATAAGCAACAGAACAAATCAAAAACTCAGGAAATTCCACAGCTGAAGCTTCAGAAGAGCAGAGGCATCCCACTCATCTAACTAGCAGGGCAAGGCACCAAAGATAAAACAGGCTTCCAAAAAGCTCCCTGGCATGTTGGGGCTTGTTCGAAAGGATCACGGAGCAACCATTGCTATGGATCCCTTTTTAACACAGCAAGCAGGAACCATAAAAAAATATACAAGGACAGTAAGACAAGCAGAACCGCACAAAATTCTAACAGGATCAGAAGAAAACAACGGGAAAAGCCTGAACATCAGTTCAACCCTTAGAAGCTTTGATGCTGAAAGAACAGCTGGGTTAACATACAGTTTTCCTAGCAGTTAAGTCCCAAGAAGCAGAACAGCACCCCACCGTCTGGCACTGTTCTCCACATATAAAGATTTAACCAACGACAATCAGATCTCATGAAGAAGATTCTTCAGACAACAACCTGACAAAGCATCAGACACAAAAGGATTCTTCCCCTCTCCCTCAGCAGCAGAAACATGCTCAAGGATCAAGACATTCCTCACAACTCAGACTACACTATACTTAGGATGGAAAATTTGTACACTTACCCCTTATTGTGTTTCCTTCCAGTTTGTGAAGAATGAACTCCCCTTTTCCTCTGTATTCAATGTCTGCAGGTGAACTATCCTGACTGTGCAGCCTCCCTCCCCCAACTTCACCAGATAACTATTCTCAGCTGCAGGCTCTTTAATCAAGGCTCACTTATACACAGCTGAGACCTGAAGCTGTGAGGAGGGCTAAGAAAGACAATCCAAGAAAGTTCTAGAGAATGCTAGGATAAATATAAATAAAATACTCACCAAGGTAGGGACAGCAGGTATAAAGTAACTGCTGATCCACCAAGGGCACAGAGTCCTGGTGAGAAAATGAAGGAAAAGCTGAAGCAATGCAGCAGGAAGGAAATCCTATACACATGGTCACATGCAGGTTTCAGAACAGCCTTTCCATGAAAAGGACAGAAATAACTGGATTCCAAATTCACAGTAAAATTCTACACTTGGCAGCCCAAGTGTTCAGACCAGCCCAGTAATGCACAATCAACTGCTCTACATTCAGTCAGTGTAGCTCAGTCCTTGCTTCTGACCGCTGTCAAAGCCCAACTGAACCATGATGATTAGAGAATATAACCAGGACTGTTGACACTGCTGCTATTTGTAAAAGAGAAACCTACCCATGGAGGAGAATAAGTAAGGAACATCTGCTAAGCATTACAACTCCACAGGTGTCTTCTCTCAGACTTCCTAGAACACCACACTATGGAGTAGTGTTATCCCAGTATTACACAGTGCAGCCAGAGCCATGGAAGGAGAAACAACTTTGGATCCCATCCACATGGGCAGTGTATACTGTGCTCATTTGCAAAATGATCAGCTCTGCATCTCATCTCTGCCACTGAAAAGACAATGCTAAACAGAATTTTCTAATGAGAACACTCACCTTGTACTGGCATAATCAATGAGCAGGAAAACAGCATCTGATCTTCCTGCAAAACTTGGCAACTACTCTACAAGCTCTTGCTGCAGTTGGCCTTTGCCTGACAAAACCTACTGAGCTCTTAACACGCATAGTTTATAATCCAGGATGCAATGCAATCTAGCCACTTGGATAAATTGGAGCATCGCATCCATTGGCCTACATATTCGCTGCTCAATGCTGTTGCACTGAAGCTGAGTTCTTGATAATCTTAATCTTAAACTCCTGAGGCCATTGTAAGCCTGCTCTCATCCACAGATTCAGAGGGCCTGCTGCTGCACTAACTCACCAAAGCCTGAGCAGAGGTCACAGTATCCACCATCACTCCCTCCTGCCTGACATCAGTGGCAAAAAACAACTCTTCAGGGACCGATGGAACCTGAAACAGAAACCCCAGTAGGTACAACCCAAACAGCAGTCAATAAGTTGAACAATTTCTGATAGACAGTAAAAGCTTCCACCCACCCACCCACAAAAAAAAAAAAACACTAAAGATCATAAAGAGATACATAAAGAGATTTTTTCCCCATAAAATTAAAGATTTTGTTACATCAACGTAACACATGCCACCTTCCTTACCCTCCCCATATGGTATCTTTCACCGTTCCAGCAAGTTCCTGCTAACAAATTACCTTACTTCCAATGGAAGGAACAAAAGGATTTTAAAAGTTCATTGCACACCATCTCTTTCGCAGACAAAATTTCCCCTTTTATTCAAGGATGCCAGCTAACACTCCACCTCTGTGACAAGAGCTTCCAAGTTCTAACAACAATTTGCTGTCAATTTGCTTACAAGGATGCAGATTTAAGGACAAAATGTGTTTAAGCAGCAATTAGAATTCCTACTGGAAAAAAATGATACTTCACACAATTCGACTACAGGAAAGTAATTCTCCATTAGAACACAGAGGATGGTTTGAACCCCAAACTAGTGTAAAAAAAAACAAAACAAAAAAAAAAAAACACCACAAAGTAGTAATTTCAAGTGTGTTAACTCATTTCAATACTATCTTCTATTGAGTTTTGTACTCTAATTTTTCTACCTGAAAAAGCCATCCCAGAACTGCAAGGATCAGCAGCTTGTTCAGGAAACTCATCTCCTTATCTTCAGAAAGGACCATTAACCTGCCATGCAGAAAAAGCAAATAGAGACAGTGTTAGATTTCATTAGCACAAATTTAATTAACAAAAAAAATCCCAAAGCACTTAGTATAATACTATTTGTAACCATGTACACATTCCCTACTTGTCTATCAACAGAGTGGAGAGCAAGTTCTACCCTTTTGCATGTACCCATCTGAATAACATGCTGCTTTAACGCTGGAAAAGCCATTGCTAAATAACTCTCTAGAACGTGCTTCAAATTTTCCTCATGTACATAAGCACAAACAGTAGAGCATTTTTTAGGCATGAGACCCACACTATGGGTCTAAGGTTTAAATTCAATTTTTAAAATTTTTCAACTGCAGATGTAGAATGGGTGAATGGGGATTTGAAGAATATTTACTTGATGAAAAACACATATTTAAATCAAACATTATTCTTGAAGTTTAGAATGTGCTCCTTTTGCAGCTTCATGTAAGATAAGAAATGCTCATGATTTGCACCAAGAATTTCTTAAGAATCTCAATCTAGGGCCAGCATGCACTCTCAAACACTAGGTACTTCCGAACTAAGCAAGAAAACATTTACACAAGAGGTTTGGAACTGATACACTTTCCCAGGCTCTTACCTGTATACCTGCAGCAAGAGACAAAATACCTTCCTATAGTAATCAAGGAAAGGAGCGATATGATCTGCAAGGGAAAGAAACTCCACAATCCATGGAACAGTGAGGATAGAACGGTGATCCCGAATAGATTGTCTCAGAAGCTTCAGTACGTCCAGTACGGGCAGGGTCTTAATGAACAAGACAAGTTAAAACAGAAGCTTGAAGTTACCTTTTGATAATTAAAGAAAAATCTTTCTCTATATCATGACTTTTCCTTCTAGGATTTCATCTTCTGTACAAATATGAGCTGACTTTCTGGCTAATGAAAACATTCCTCTACACACCAGCAGAGGTAGAAAACGCACTATGACAGCAACCAGAATCCCTACTAGGGACTTCCAAAGAGAAGGCTGTAAGGCTATAAGCATGACTATGTGCAAGCAGAATCAAGGTTTAACCCCTGCCTCCTTGCATTCAGTACATCACACTGGCAGGAAGAGGGCATGAAACTAACAAAAACATTCCTGGTAGCTGGATTTTACACTACAAAGACAAGTCTTAGCTAGGTCAGAGTTTTGCTATGACAGACTAGCAGTAATAATAGAAGACTGAGTACCTCACTATCAGTGCATTGCTCCCTCTTTTCTACATCATACAAACTCCTCTGTCCTCTGTTCCCAACTTCAGAATATCTGATAGGGACACAGAACAGTGTAACATCTTCCCAAGAATCACTGGCTTGCTCTGAACAGGCATGACTATTGATTATTCATAATACACTCCTTGGATGAGGAAACCTGACTGTCAAGCAATAGTCCACATTAGACTTTTTTTTTCTTTTTTAATGTTTGGTTTCTTACTTGGTTTCTTAATGCTACTGCAGAGTCTTGCAGGTCTCTAGTTGGCTGTTCCACAGTGCGATATGGCAAGAAAACAAGAAACCCCAGGAACTTGGCGAGGAGTCTCAGACTTAATAAGACCACAGTAAAACGCTTCTTTTCATCCTGAAATGAAAAACATAAGGTGGGGCAATATCATCCTAAACTGGCAAAGCCATTACCTACACTAAACTTCCAATCCCTTCATGGAAAAAAGGCAGCCATATAGCTTCATCAGTGCTTTTAATATAGGTTTCAAAATGCGCATTTGTCAGGCATATTTTAAATTGGTTCTGCCTCCACTGCTTCATTTACTGTAAGGAATTAATGCAAGAGCTTTCTAGAACAAGAAGCTGCTCAGTCACATCTTCATATTGACAACTTTGGGGACAATGAGAACTGACCTCATGATGCCTCTTTTATAGTGTTACTGCTCTGTGAGTTTTTGTGAAGCTTTTGCTGCTACTTTGCTAACAGTCTACAAACTATGACACCTGTGATAGGTACAGGTGAGTAAAGGAATATCTGAACAGACATGACTACAAATTACTTCTAACTAAAGTCTTTCTATGTGGAATAGTAGCAAGGATCTATTGCAATTGAATGCAACAATTAAACTCAGTTACTTCATTGATGAAACAGATCTAGCACGTGTACTAACAATCTAAAATGAGGCTCCCTCACAGGAGATTGCTTTTCAAACTATGGCGCATTATCTCTTCAGACACAGTTCTATGAGGCATCCTGAAGCACACAAGTAAACGCAAAGGGGCTCAGACATCCATACTTGTTGCAGAGCCCTGATAAAATCAAATGAAGAAGCTCTTCTGCCATAAATACAGTGGCAGAAGCTCCAAACTACTCACAACCAAAACAATTGTTTGGGTACAGTATCAGTTCAGGGAAACTGCCAGACATGTCTGTTTAAAAAAAAAAAAGCTTACCTGTTCGTCCATATCTGCTTCCCCATCACTGTGCTCATGCTCTACCAGAGTAAGGCCATCTAGTTCAAGTATCTTCAGGCACAGGCTATCCACCAGGTGCTGATTGAACTGATAACTTCAGCAAAAGATGATGAGTCAGATTGGGCTGAAAACAGCAGTAAAACCTCAACTAACATACCACAAAATTTCAAGCTGGTGTCTTGAGTTAATCAAGCATCAGATGACAACCAGAGTAACCGACTGACAGGCAAGAAAACAATGACAAAACTAGCAGTGGCTGACCGCCTTTTCCACTCGCATTCCTTGGAACAGATGCTATTTATCAAGTCCCAGCAAAACATTAATAATACGGATCTGTCCAGGCAGGAAGCTGTAAAGTAAGTGAACTTAGATTCAAATCTCCCCTCTATCACAACACATCCATGCTGTGGACTGTGGAAAAGCTCATTAAAAAAAAAAAAAAATATGGCTTCATCCTCTAACTCCTTGGCTTCATGCACTACCACACAAGGAATGTTTGCACAGTCTAGTGCCCTTGCTATAAAGCACTGCCCTCCTTGGCACTGGGAAATGCTGGTGGCCTGTGACAAGATATTGTGCTTTACAGAAGGAAGTTTACCATCTAGCTTGATGTAGCACTCTATGCCCCAGACAGAACCTATTAACACGTTCACTGGCCAAGGACACTAAGTGTGGTATTATGCAGTTTTAAATCATTCCTGATATGCTCTGCCTGGGTAACTGCTATGTCCCAGGCTCTCAACCCCCCGCTACAAGAGCGACGTGCTGGTTTTGCCCCCCACACACCCACGCTTTGACAAGGAAATGGGCAGCCAACCTTCCTGCGCTGAGGATGAAGTCCCTGAAGAACTGCTGGCACCCTGGGAATGAAGGGGGTGGGCAAGGTCCTCTGATGCTCTGGGGAACTACAAATCTTTCCTGCAACCTCTTCAGACGGCTCAGATTATCAGGACCCAGCATATTAAGGACATCCTGGTCTGGGGTGTCTCCCCAGCTTGCGCCACCACCAACGGGACCTTTACACATCTTCAGGAGACAGAAAGAATAGGAAGGTGAACAATTCATAATAAAGCAACATGTCATTTCATTACCCCACACGTTCTCCCTTCTGCATGAGACTTTGTTTTAGGAGGAATCCAAGCATGGCCTTTTCAGCCAGCCCACATTAAAAAAAAAGATCTCTTCTCCTCACAACAAAACATGCTACCCACCTTGGCCACAAACAGCCTAAAGATTCTGAGAGATGGATGATATGCAACTAACTCAGGCACATCTAGCAGCCAACATCTGCATGTGTGGAGAGAACACCTATCACTTGTATGGTCTTCATGAACTACAGACACAACACTGATGCAAATTCAGACTGGACACGAGAGGAATTTTCTATATTCCAACAGCTTGCATCTTCCAGAAATGCATGTGGGCTAACATTTAAGGGTATTTTTGGTGTCTATTTTGCTATCCAAAAGGAACCTACCAATATGCCAGCCACTTATAGAGAGAATACAGTGAAAATTTATACTTCAATCAGAAGCATCCTTTCTTTCTTCATTCCTTCAGCTACAGTGAAGTCAGATGATGCTTGAAACTGGTCGGAAAAACTCCTGTAAACTACAACAGCAATACTATATCAAAAAGAGTCTGTTGGGCTGTTACACAGAACAACCTGAGACTCTTTGCAGGTAGTATACTCATGTTGCTAAGGAATGGAACTGGGAACCTCTGCATTTTATATATGTTGAAATATATCATTTACATTTCTAAAAATTAACTGTTCTAAAATTAGATCAGAGTAAATAACCATGAAAAATGAATTCTTACAGCTCACGATGTGCTCAGTGTGCCTTATATCTAATAGAGATAAGGGGCTTGTCTATAATTTATCACTGATTCATATTTCCAGAAAACAAAGGAAATTCTCTTCCTGAAGACTTGGCTCTCCCCCAAAAAAAAGTTTCAATAAGGAAAATCTCAAACTTGCAAGACAGTTTGTTTTCTCAGACTGAGGAAGGATCAAATCACTTTTGATGCACATTCAAGAAAACAAAATCAACTAATTTACCTGGATGAGCTGTTTCTGAAAGAGCCTGGCAAAATGGCTGTGGTTGCAGGTTGCAGACAGGTGAGCCATCATGGCCCTGTGAAGGAAGGCATCACAAAATGCTGACTAGATCTCTGAAGTATTAAAAAGTGGTTTAACCTCAAATCACATCAAAAGCACAAAATAACTGCTTTTAAGAAGACAATCTCCAGAGCTTTTCAAAGGCCATTGCAAAAAGCAACATCTTTATAACCAAGTTTCACAAACACTGAGCCTCATCTGCTGATCATGGAAACAAACATTCTCCCTGGATTCTCCCTTAGCACCTGAAGAACACAGCTTTAGAGATAAAAAGACTCTCTTCCTTTCCTGCAATAACATTTATTTAGGAAGACAATTAACTCATTCATCTCCCATTCTCCCCTGTGCAGAGCACTGTGTTGAGAGCCCATGTGGATGTAAGAAAGAAAACAGCAACACCAGTACTTCTGATGCCCAAACAGGACAAAAATTTAAATCAATTTAAATCTCAGCCTTGTTTTGCTCCAGATGTGAAAAGCCCCCTTCATATGTGTAACTTGAGTAGGCTCCTGGTTAAGACTAATACAGAAACCTACAAGGCAACTGCTTTCAAAAACATACATTTCTTTATACATGTATATACTCCATTTTTGATAAAACAATAAGCATAAAAGTTTGCCTTCCATATGAAGAGCCCAACTTGTCTTGTTTTCAGAACCAAAACACCAGAAGCCCCTAAAATAGCTGGAAGAGATAAGAGCTTCTGAACATGTAACACATTTCCCTGTGCTTCAAAGGAGTGGGGCATTGGAAACACAAACCGCATAGAGAAATGCAACCAATAACAATGTCCAGATCACAGCACAGGTTGTGAAAATGGCACTTTCTGTGACTGGGAGCAGGGTAAGAGTTAGACCAAGACTAATCAAAATACGCTACTGCCACTTTTGCCTTGTTTCTTTACAATGACAGTTGAAAATGTTAAATATAGAAGTGACTTTACACAGACAGTATCTCCCAAGAAGCACAGGCCCCAACAAGTCAGTGTAGAAGACCATTAGAAAGAACATAAAAATTAAGATGCTGAGTCTGGTATGCTGCACCAGTAATTCACCTATACTAAAGCAGCAAAAGTTTCAGTTCTAGCTGGAGTTGCACAAGACTCCTACCTTATCTTGTTGCCCAGAACTCTTTCAAAGTCCCAGCCAGTTTTTTCATGGTTATCCTCCCATTCACGCAGCAGCTCGTAAAAGATATCCCTGTGAATCAAGATGTTTAAGGGTATAAATTCCTCTTCAAGTTTGAAGTAAAAACAATTGAATATTCAATTGCTCCTAAGTTTCCCAGTGAAACTCTACCTCAGATTAAGTAACTCAAGCTTCTACACATTCAGATACCTTTGCAAAACTCATTAGTGTTAGCAGTACTTCAGCAAGTTTCCATTTTCCATGTCTTTGACAGCATGTGTTTAAGCTTGTTATGCCCAAGCTCAGATGGAATGACCAAAACACCCATTACCAGACATACTGAAGACTGAGAAGCAGGAAAGAATAAGCCACATGAAATAATACCTATGAGGAGAAAACAAGGACAAAGACAACTTGCCATTCTTCCCTCGCCCTGTTGCTGCAAGCACAGAGGGAGGTGTCAGGAAGAATACGAAGCATACCAGATCTATATGCAGAAGCAATCCAGTAGGGTGACACATTGTACTGGCATTTACCAGAAGCCAATAAATCCTGAAGAATTAGGCTGTTCTTCTTTAAAGACACTAAGCGTTTAGCCCCTGCAGTCAATATGGACAAACACTTTTTTTTTTCAATTAAGAGTGAAAATCTCAATTTTTTTCTGGACTATATAGCATACACAAGACATTCCTAATATCCCTTTTTTACAATCATGGAAAGATTATACCCTGAGAGCCATATGACAACAGCAAAAGAGACTTACCTTTGTTTCTTAAATATGTGAAATGCTCTGTCACTGGGAAAGTTAGAGCGATTGTCTGTTTCTGGCTGGAAAGAAACAGATTGTACAGAGCATGGCAGCAGGAGAGACACCTGTTGAAAATACAAAAGAATAAGTCTGTAGCTACGAAAAAAATCCACCTCTCCCAAACTACATTCTGATATTGCATCTAGTTGGCCATTGTTCTAGGATCTGTGTTTATTAAATACGAATCTCAAAAGCAAAACCCGAGCCTGTCAAAATCATTGGCTGAGTCAGCACCTGGAGCACAATGTATGGCCAGCCAGCAGTGATTCACAGCTATCAGTCACTGCAACTTGCAATTCACTCACCCGTGGCCAAAAAAAGAAAAAAAAAAAAAGTACACTTTCAGACACTTCCCAAAGAAGACATGACAGGACAACAGTAGCAGGAATGAGCATAAGCATTAAGGCCAACATAAATAACACTACCACAAAGGTATGAGATAGCATCAGGTGAGGTGTGCCAATACTCACCTTGGCTGTGCTGCTTTCATAAGCCTGCTTGAGCCTCTCATGCAAGGTAGGAGAAAAAGATGCAATCCGTTCATTTTCAGCCAAGAACTTCAGTGTTCCCTTTTCTAAATGGGAAATAATTCTGCCAAGACAACATCCATAAAACCCACAGACATACAGACATAACACCATAAGCGTAATCATTTCTTTACATCTAATTAGATTTTATGAAACTACCAAGTAAAAAGTTCTAAGCCCCAGGCACCCAGGATCAAATCCCATTGGCATCTGTAGGGACACTTTTTTATTGCTTTCATCTCATGACTTTCCCATTCTTGCACAATCACGCTGAAGTTCAGCAGACAGACCAGCATAAGGGAAATTCAAAGACACATCCAAATTCAGGCTGAGTTATGTGTTTTGAGGGAAAATTAGTAACTCCATGCCTGGAAGTAGTAAAGCTCTAAAATACAAGCACACTTGTTTCATCTCACACACATCTGTAGACATGAGCAGAGAAAAAAGCCTCAACTCACTCATATTGATAATCCAAGACTTGAACAGCAAAGTAAACACAATTGTGCACACTTCGGAAATGCTGTCTCCCCGTTGCATCTAACGAGAAGAAGTAAGTATGAGACAACAGCACCTGTCACCATTTATAAACTAAATGATCAACAAATAGCTCCCAAGGAACACAGGAATTGCCATATCCAAAGAGCTAAACAGTCTTCCAGACCAGTATCGAGTTTCCAGAAGTTCGTATTTCCTGGTACCTCAATAGACAGATCCCTATCCTTCTTATAGTAATGGCAACCAAATTGTTTAATGCTATATGGAAAATAAAAGATTCCTGCTCAGCCTTCTCAGGTCAGTAGCCCTTCTGAGTTGCAAGGACCAATGGAAGAGAGACTCTAGCATATCCATCTTTCTCTCTGAAAGTTTCTTTTAGCAAGTAGCTATGGGTATTCACACACAACAGCAGAAAAGTAGATTCAAACATTATCTAGCAACTCTGCTCTATCATGCTGCAGAAGCACTGCCCATGCATGCATAATTTTTGTCAGCATCTCAGCTGAGTCCCACAGCTTTATTTATGAGATTTACAACTAACTGTCGAAGCTAAGGACAACTTATCTATACCACATTACCATTCCATGAAGGACATTCTTTCCACTCAGTTCTATTGCTTACTTTTACTTCCTTCATTGACTTCAAGGTCACTCTCCTCTTCTTCTTCTGCAGTAGAAGTGCCTTTAGATGTTAACAGCTGCAGAACAAAAAAAAGCTCCAGAAAAATATTTGGTACCAGGTTTTCTGGAAGAGAAGAAATGAGATAGTAAAGATGAATATTTAGTATTAACCTGTTTTAATAAATAAAGGCAAAAAAGATAGAGAACTGTTCTATGGCATAGTCAGTAAATAACTCTCTCCCCACACACAGCCAGAGTGCACATCAACATGGAAATTACAGGAAATATGTGATAGGGAAGGGTCTGGTTGCTCAAATTTACCTCATCAGCTAAGACTATATAGCTTCAGCCTCCTGCAGGTCAGAGTACTGTATCAGGTTCATCTCCTTCCCTAAACTTTTACCTAGAATCCATCTGTTTTAACAACTGTGTCGACTTAGTTTATTTTTCCAGATGTTATTTGTACACTGTAACTATCCCACAACTTTCACTGCTCATCTACCTCTCCCTTGCAACGCACATGCAAGTTCAAGCTCACAGAAAGGTCAGTCTCACATCTTAGTCCTCACCTGCTATGCACGATGAGTAGAGCTGTGCCAGACACTCCAACTGTTTCTTGCAAGAAACCTTAGCAGGATCCGCACAGGTCACCAGATGGCTTTCAGCGGGAAGGCTTGCACTGCGAGTGTAACTAGGCTTAGTGGGAGTACCAGGATCAAGAGATATCCCTGCAGGAGAAGAAGCCTGGTGCAGCAACTTGCATCTGAAATTCAAGAACAGCAACACACCATGTGACTGAAGATGATACACAGCAGCCCTGTGATCAGAAGAGGCCTTTCCCTGGCAGTAGAGCATGAAGGAAATCCTGCAATAACTGAACTCATCATTTATACTGCCTAAAGCTGCTTGTACCATGACAGTAATTTAACACATTTTTCTTAATGAGACAGGATCCTGTGGCTAACAATCAAAAGACTCAAAAGAACCACCGATTCCTACTCTGCTGACACACCATGTCACTTTGGCAAAATTATCTAACTAGCCTTTGCTATTGCTTCTTCTCACCTAAACCAGTATTCATTAAGGACATCGAACCTATCCTAAAAAAAGAAATATATTGCATGTATAATTTCTGACAGCTAGACACTGCAAAATCTATGAAAATAGGGTTCACATACATACTTTCAGCTGTATTTACAAGTTAAATGATGCTCTGAGAAGATCTAATACCACTACATAGAAAGGCAATGCAACAACTGATGAAATCCCATATTGACAAGTTAAACAACAGAAAGAATGAACTACTTCAGTTGTAGGATTCTAAATCAGTAACAGTTACTCAGTTAAACATATAGGTATTGTTAAAAAAAAATGCCTCAGAGGTCATCCAAAATGCAGGAGCAGAGTGGCATATGTAAGATCCATGAGAAGCAGGAAAAAAAAAGCCATTAATAGCAATATAAAATGACCGTTAAAGATCCCTATGGAACATCCACGCTGGCAACAGCACACCCACTTACACCCAAATTGTCTTAAAAGTAAAATCTTTAACAATCACTTTAAATGCTATCAGCAGGACAGAAACAGGAAATAATGACATGTGCAAACCCATGAAGTGGCAGTCATAAGAAAGTGGTAAAGACTCCTGAAGATAAAATAAGGGTCATTGTTCCAGAGTCAGCACACCTTCAAAACAACAAGCACAAGCTAATTGCATTAATGTGTCTAATATGCATAAATATGTCTAACACCAGAGTCACAGTTGTGTTTAGGCAAAGTATAGTTTGAGGTTACCCCTATCTGGTTTAGATATTCTTTGGATATTCTTCATTTCCACTCTCACTTTGGTACCATCTTAAGACAAGAGAATTAAAAATTAATACAAGCCTAACACCACCATGCTCAGACAGTACCGTTCTTTCTTCAGCATCTCTCTCTCCTCTTGAAGGCTGCTGCTTATCGCAGAAGTTAGGTTTCCTTCCTGGACAGTACTAAAGGCCTCAAGGCTTGACCCAGATGAAAACCGAGCAGTTGGAGACTGGCTGACAGGCGTAGAAGTGAAGCACGTCTTTGGCTTGGAAAGGGGGCGCTCGGCACTTACAGGAGTGGGGTTGATTCTCCTTGACGGCTTACTTTTGCTGAAAAAGTGAGAAGGGATTCTTTTGAAATCACCAAAACAACAGAACAGTTGCCCGAAAGAAAAGGCAAAGTCACCAGGGAGGCCAGGGCTAGCTGAAGACCAAAAAGAACATGGGCATTGGCCCACTACTTTGCCCATAACCGCATTACACAAATGAAGCCGCACATAAACGTTCATTACCAGAATTCACAGAACATCAGCCAAAAAGCTTTTCTCCCTAGCATCAATAAAGCTGAAGAACCTTCCAGGACTGCTCTTCATTACCAATTGCTATTGCATTAAACAAGAAATGTGAAGAGCCAAGATAATGCTGACTTGTTAGAACATGCAAGGACAAAGATGTGCTCAGCCTCTTATCAGCTGGCCTGTGCAATGGCAAGCTGCAGGCACATCGCAAAGCTAAAGAGGCAACCAGGTGAGTTCAGAGCAGAAAGCTGACTACCTGTCAGCTCCCCTACGTGGCAACTGCTACAAGACTCTCCTGGCCAAGGAGAACAAGAAGCCAGCCCCCAGGTACTGCTTATTACAGCATCTTCTGTATTTTCACATGCACAACAGGATGAGCTAGTCAAGAACAGTAACCTACAGCGCAACCCAAACGAGGCAGTGAGAAATACTTGCTCTTACTTTGTCCAGCCAGAGGCTGCACCCATAGGTGGAAACTCCTCCAGGTTGTTAAGATTTAGCTGGCTGGGTGGGGATCTAGCAGAAACAAGAGGCACTTCACTCCGCTTTCTTCTCCCTCCACTCCACGAGGGACTGTCATTCTTTCCATCTTCCTCTTCAGCAAGGGAGCGCCCCAGATCCCGAGGCACCTGCCGGCCAGAGGCACTGACTGCACTGCCACCTTTCCTTCTGCCTCTCCTCGCTGGCAGGGCTTCGGGCGTAGCTGTCAGGAAGCTCCCCAGGCTGGCCTTCTGAGATGAGCGCCTCTCGCTGTGGTTAAGCACAGGGCTGTACCCAAAGCTCGGGCTGCTACTGGAGGCCATGCTCGGGAAGTCGCTGCAAGGGCTTGACAGGTTTGACCCTGAAAAGGAAGAAGAGCCACTGGATGCAGCAGCGGGGGAAAAGCTGGTATCTGTGGTGCAAGAGGTCACTGAAGTCCTTTGGGAAAAGAGCTGCACTCGGCTGCTAGTCGCATGACCTGCTCTCCTTTCTGATCCTGTCCTTTGGCTCCCATGGGCCTTGGAATTGGGAGTTTTAGCAGGAGTAGAGGGTCCATTAGTCAGGATCTGGCTGGTTTGCTCCCTTAAAAAGTTCAGCAGAAAAGGCACAAAGTCTTTCTGAAGTAAACTGAGAGACACCAGCTTGTCATGGATGTGGTTCTCCTGCAAGGAAAGAGCACAAAGCATTAACATAAAGATGCTACCTGATACCTTCTTTTCACTCATTCAGTAGTTACTATGGGAATGTGATACACCATAAAAAACAATATGATTTGTCAAAGCAGGCCACTAAACTTCAAGTGACCATAGCACCAGTCATAGATCTGAAACCCAGCCTCCACACAAGCTATTTTGGCAGGAGTTTTCAGATGCTGTCATTCACTTTGGTCTCCAACTGGGAACCAGCAGAACTGCCTCCCGGAGACACCCGTAATACTGAAGCTACAGCCAGCAAGAACATGGAGCAACTGGCACCTCTAGGTCCAATGTTTCAAGGTAAGATGGATAATTCTAACATAAAAAAAATAAAATCTGCAATTTCTCTGTTACCTACTCATCTACAAATACCTCACGCTCCCACAGAGGGGTGCTGTAATAACAAACATTTAAGCACTTTCAGCGCCAAATGCAAGACCAAAACTGCTCTTCTATTTCAATTAAACAATTTATTTGTTTGAGACCCCACAGAGCTCTAATAGAGACCACGCAACCTCAAGGTACATGAAGTTTATACTTAAGAAACCCAAACAAAACAAAACGAAAAAAATCACCACAGAATCAACACATGTAAAAATCAAAATAGATGGTGATCTTACCAGAGTAAAACTAGTCAAAAAGACTTCATTTGACATGCACAGTTCAAAGCTTTGTATGATGGGTAATATTTATTTTATTCTTAATACTTTTATGTTTCCTGTCAATGGTATTCAGCAACATTTGCAATAATAGCAGAAGCAGCTCTCAGAGACAGCAACTTACTCCTTACTAATATCAAAATAATAGCAGGTGCATTCCCACTTCATTTATATTCACATCTCCACTATACAAAAAGAGACAAACACTATTTTGGAAGGAACTGCTTCTATGAAAGGAGACAGTGAAAGCAGGGTCACGATTTGCCTCCAGCTGTGCTTGACAGCAGCAGTGAAGTTCTGATCTGAAAGCGTGGAACCTGTGCAGCTTCCTAGAGAAGTACGAGACTGGCACAACCCGATAACGGGCAGGCAGCCCCAGTCAGCGGGGTTCATGCTTGCGAGAAACGGGTCAGAACACAACAGGTGGTTGAAGACCCAACTTCTTACCAGCTCCAGAGAGAACCTGCCGCACGAGCTAGGGCAAGACATGTTCTGTCATTCCTCAGGTGCCCACCTGGGCTTAGTGTAGAGGCTGACAGGTAAGATTATTACAGTCCGTGCACAAGGTCAGGCAGTTTCTCAACCAGTTCTGAGCACAACCCGCCTTCACTCATCTCTCTCTGTGCAAGCCAACAGAGGTGCAGATCCTCCACCACAGGACAAGCGAAACCTGTCAACGGCTCCAGCCGCAAGCCTGCCGCTTGCTCCCTCACCCCGGGCTGCACCCAGCCATGACAGGCAGGCAGCAAATCCCCACCAGGGCCAAACTTTCCAGTCAGTCAGCACAGCCCCCCCAGCCTTGGGCACCGCTACCCGAGCCACCAGGGCCACTCCTTAAAGTCGCCTTTAAGGATCGCGGGACGACCCACGGAGCTTCTGCCCACAGCAGGTCGGGGGCACAGCGGCGGGGGCTGATTTTACCTCAGCGCGTTCCGAGGGGCTCTGATCCTTAACTACAGACCCCTTCCCCTACGCTCCCACCGAAGCAGCAGCGCCCAGGGCCGCTCTGTGGGTAGGAACCACGCGAACCCTCCCCACACACACGCCCACGGCACAGCTCGGGGCGCCGGGGCCCAGCAGGAGCCCACCCGAGCCCCTCGGCCGGAGCTGCAGGCCCCGGGCCCGGCGGCTCCTAACGGTCCCCTCCGCGGGCAAACTTCCCGCCCCGGCCCCGGCCCCGGCCGCGGTTACCTCAGCGGGGCGGTGGCCGGGCCCCTGGCGGAGCCAGCGCAGCACGGCGCCGACCGCCACCTCCTCGCGCAGCAGCAGCTCCAAAACCGCCGCCATTCCCGGCCGCTGCCGCCGCCGAGCAGGCGCACAAGGCGCGGCGGGGCCGGGCCGTGCCGGGCGGTAGCGGGCAGCAGCAGCGGCAGCAGCAGCAGCAGGGGCGGGCCGGCGGCGGGGAGCGCGGGCGGGGGCGGAGCGGGCCGGGCCCGGGGCCGGGCCCCCTCCCCATGTCAACACGCGGGGCACGGGGCGCCTGCGCCGGCCGCCCGCGTCCTTTCCTCTCATGCGCGGTGCTCCCTTCCCCGGCGGGGCGCGGGGACCGGCCTAGCGGCGGCGGCGGCCGCGGGCCGGGGCGGGGGAAGGGGCAGCGGCAGCGGCGCCCCCCGCGGCTCCGCGCCCGCCCGCCGGCCGCCCCGGCCCCCCTGAGCGGCGGCAGCAGCCGGTGATGATGGCCGAGGACTCGCCGAAGCGGCGCAAGGCCAATTTCAACGAGGCGGAGACGGAGGTGCTGATCGAGCAGGTGCTGAAGCACGAGCAGCTGCTGTTCGCCGCCGGGCCGGGCCGCGCGTCGCCCGGCCAGAAGCGGAAGGTGTGGGAGCTGATCCGCCACAAGGTGAACCCGGTGGCCGCCTGTCCCCGCGACGTGGAGGACCTGAAGAAGCGCTGGCGGGACCTGAAGCGCCGCGACCGCAGCAAGCTGTGCCGCCTGTCGCAGGGCTGCGGGCCGCCGGGCCCCGCCGCCGCCGCCGCCCTCGGCCTCGGCCTCCTGCTGGCCCCCGAGGAGCTGCCGCCCGCCGCCGCCGCGCCGCCCGGCCGCCACCACCTCCACCGCCTCCACCGCCTCCACCACCACCACCACCACCACCGCGCCTACGGCTCCCTGCTGCCCGCCGAGGCCGTGCCCATCGTGGGCGGCATCGACACGCTGGAGCTGCCCGGCGCTGCCGTGGGGGAGATGGGTGAGTGCGGGGCGCTGCCTTCGCCCCTTGGATGCCCACGGTGCGTGCGTGGGGCTGGCGGACAAAGTCGCATCGAAGCAGCACATCAGAGTAGACCCCCTGGCCGTGAGGCGCTAGACCCAGCCGCTCGCATCCACGCTTGTAGGCTCTGTCCTTGCAAAGGTAAAACGCCAGCCCTCAGAGCTAGGCTGTCCAAAGCCCTGTGAGTACATAAGTTCTTATGCCTACAAGAGACATGGCATTAGTGCACTGAAATGATCACCTTCAATACCGAGGGATTTCTTGCAACCAGTGTTTAGTCCACACTGTTACGGGTTACCAGGCGCACAACAGAGGGTGAAATGAGCTTGCAGTGGAACTTGTCTTTTGGAACCTAGAACTTGGCACCTGTGGTGGGGACAGTGAGGGAACTGTAGAATACAAAGATACAGTTAACGGGTGAATGCATCTTTACAGTTTCCTTCCCCACCTACAGAGGTAGTGCATATTCTAGAGACGTCAAAGGTAACACAGTGCAAGTCACTGCTGTGGAGTCTCAGTTCAAGGGCTAATGTTTATGTTTAGTGGATAAGAACATATCTCACCATGAGGTTCCTCACTGACTCTCCTCTGCTTTTCCTCTCCCCCCAACTCCTCTAGGATTTAACGATGATCCTGGCCCATCTCATCAACCTGGTCTTGAGAAGGTGAACCTAAAAGAAGAAATAGTAGTGAAAGTGGTAGAGCCAGAAGAAAGCTCTGAGGACATGGCAGTGGTTCCGCCTAGCCAAGAACAACTACCTTTTCTGGGGACATCGGGTAGTGGTTCCTCTGGGAAAGTAAAAGCCAAAACAAAAGGCAGGCCCCAGGCAGACCAAAATGAAATAACTGAAGCAGACCTAGTGCAGATTCAGCAGACCCAGATGCAGGTGATCCAGGCTGGCTTTGACAGTGTCAACCACAATCTTCGGCTGCTGCAGCAAGGCATGCAAGATCTGAGCAACAGCCTCAGCATCATGGCGCAGACACTTGTTGCTATCAAAAACGTGTATGTGAAAAACAACACTGGCCCAACCACGTACGCCACCGCCTCTACTCAGACTGCAGCCGGGTACCTGAGCCCGGGTTCTCCCCAGGTCTCCCCCACTGAGGACAGAGGCAGAGCGCAAGTGGCGGGAAGCAGCAGCAGAAGCAGCAGCTGCAGTTCCAGTTCCATGTCACAAGAACCAGGTCCTTCGGAGTTCCCTAGGCCCCCCCTGAGAACCATTAAGAAAGAACACCCAAATGGCTGCTACTACTTCTGCTTTGCAGACGTGTAAAAACTTGAATATATGTACAGTGACTGTGGTGTTAGGTGCTGTTGTATGTTCTGCTCCGGCCTGTGACTTTGAAGGAGCAAAATGGACTTGCCTCCCACGTTTTTCCCAGTGGGAAACATTTCACTATAGGTGGCATTAAACACTAATTACCAATCTCCTGTTTGTTAACTCTGTTGCAGTTGGCTAATGTCTTTCTTCTGTACTCATTATCCTCTTACTCTCTTAAAAACAAACAAAAACACAGATTTATTTTGACTAAGACTCTTGTCTGTATTATCCTTTGTTTAATGTGACCTTTTGGGAAAATAAAAGGCGTGAGAGGGGTGAAAAAGTACCATTAAGGTTACTGGCCAGCAGGAGCTGTCTTACACCAGTTGCTTAGTTTTTTTATTAAACAAATGGCAAAAGTAGCTGATGTTTAAAAGTAGTTGCTTTTCCTAACATTTAGAATGTTGAGGCTGTTTGCTTGGTTATGTTTTTCTGTTTGGTTGGTTTTGTTTTGTTTGCACTTTTGTTAAGTCTGAGCTGTGCGAGGCATCACAGGAAGGGTTTGGCATACCTGCTTCCTCTAGGAATAGTTTAGGATTGGGCTGTTGATTCGTGAATGTACTTCCCAGAATTCATACAGCTTTGCTCCACCTGGCTATTGTTCATTCCCAGCTTGTCAAATGCACCTTCTCTGAGGCATTTTGCCTTACTTCACTAGCAGAGTAGGCTATTTCTTGTCACACGATTAAAATAGAGAAATACAGCAAAAACGATAACTGATGAGTGATGCCTGTTTTTGATACGGAATAATTTTTCCTGGTATGGCTTAGAAGCAGGCTGTGTCTTCAGCAGGTCTTGCAAACTTTCTGGAATCGGTACCACATCCACTGAAATATTGAAAGTAAAAAAGTTTCCATATTGTTTTACATGAAACAGAATTTAGACTTGCTGTTAAACAAATTACAGGAGGCAGGGGCTGACTTCAGATAGAACAAATGCTCTTGCATAGTTTATGAAGAGATGCTTTCATCTTCACCTATCTGAGAGATTAGGAAAAACTGCCATTCTCTTAACTATACATCCAAGGAAAAAGAAAGAAAAGGAAAAATCTGAGCAAATAGTAACCTGTTAGGTGACAACCCTGAAACAAGCTCAAAGGAATTATTTTTTCCTAATGTGATGAAGAAACATCTTTTCATACTTAAATAGGAGGAAACTGTTGTCACTGATGCTTTTCTTGAAATGTGTTTAAGGCTTTTGTGTTTAAATCTTGTATACTACTTGTTCTACTTTGCAAAATTCAAAATTACCAGTGGTGCTGTGTTCATATGTGCAGTGCACTTATTGGACTTAAAACAGAAACCCTCTCACCTGCACTTTTATCACCTGAAAAGTCATTCAGGTCCTCCTCTTAAGCATTTATCACCAATATTCACGTTCTATGGATAAATTTGACCTATGCCTATAATGACCACCTGCCTCTAGTTTTCCAGTGACTTAGTGCAAGTGTTCCTGCCACAAGAACATAGCAAACAAGTGACGTACTGACAGAATGGCAACCCAACTACTACTCTCCCAGAAGCATAAGAACACACAAATATTAGGTAAGATATGTCATTTTTGTGGTCAGCTTTGACAGAGCACTATACCATCTATACAAAACTAGAGGATCACTTCCTTTATTTATTAGGGTATCAGGCCATTTACTTTAAAATGTGATAAACCTTGGAGGTAACTAGCTGCAAGCATGAAGGAATAATACAAGGAATGCTCCCACCCCCAGTTACACACTTAGAATTGTTACCTCAAATTGTTATCTCACCTCAAGTCTGTACAAGAGTGATCACGCTTAGGACAGCTGAATTTTAACAGGTTTCTTCTGAGACATTGCTGAGCGAAGAATGGAAACAAAATTCTTAAGGTGGCTCAAAAGAACTATCTAAAAAAGAAATGAGGGAAGAGGATGTCAAATCCCAAAGCTCAGCCAGGTACTGTTTCAATTACAGCTATAAAATGACAAGAATATTTTGCTGATCAACTAAGCACTTGTGGTTAATGCAGGAGCTATGCCTTGAAGAAAAGGAGATTCTCATTTTCAGGTATCCCTAACAAAAGGTGAGGGTGTAGGTGACAGGTATCTTTATCTTATTCATAAATTGCTGGCTCTGAAAACAGGAAAGACTGAATTCTTTCAAATGTGATTTTTGAGTCTGCATTGTTACAAGCTTTCCATGTTAACCTGTTGGAAACATTTTTATTTCTCTCCCTTTAGTACAGATGGGTTCACTCAGGCAGTATTTCCTGTAACTGAAACACGTTCCCTTCATGTGTGTTTTGTTCTCATGAACAAGGCAGCCACTTAATAATGTGACATTCCAGGTTGGATTAGCAAGATGTGATCTGAAGCTTACCTGGTATTTCTGGGCAGTGGTTTGAGCTTGTCTGGGTTGCAATAGCCAGTTCTTTCCTGTCCAACATTCTTTTGGTGTTTCAATTCTTTCTCCAATTGTTAATTCCTGCATTTCATTTACTATAGCCTTTCTAGGGACAGCTAGCCCGTGTGTACTACACAGCTTTCTCATGTTTAAGTCTAAATGAGAGGAAGCTACAGTCCAAGGGCAGAAAAGTACAGTATGATCTCAAGAGCAGAGTGAGTGGACTGGATCTCCTGTGTTAATGAAGATGGCAAGTCAGGTAATGCTAAAAGACATTTCAACAGTCAAACAACAACCAGACCTCAACACCAACCTCCTGCAGTGTTTTTGTTCCAGTCTTGGATCTTTCCCACAGTCTGTCAATTGTACTGCTACGGTATACTGGAGCCAGGTCAAGACCAATCTTCCATTTCTGGTATGATCGCCATTTACAGTGTTCTTAATAATGAAAGATTATTTAGATTAAATAATGAACTATTAAATTATGAAAGCTCATTATTAAATAATGAAAGCTCAGTGAGTTACCTGTCTCATCTGTCTCCAGCACAGAGTGTGTAAATTTGTTATTTTCACCTTCAAATGAATATGTCCATTTTTCTCATTCTGTATGTGCCTTTTTTCTGTGATCAAATGATGGTTTTGCTGAGAATGCCAAAAGCACACACCCTCCAGAAGCATGCCATTACATTTCTGGCTGCTCTTAACAGAACAAGGGCAGAGCTGGCCTTTAATTTGTTTCATATA